TTAAAAAAAAAAAAAAAAAAAAAAAAAAAAAAAAAAAAAAAAAACAACCACCGAGAGAGAGAGTAGGATGGTGATCTAGACAACAACTTCATGCTCCTCAGGCTGGGTTTATCACTGAGTTTTATGCCCATCTCGATCATAGATGGAAGGGGACTGCTCCTGCTCTTTGCTTCCCTGGGCTGAGGGCAATTGCTGCTGGAGATGTTATGAAGCAAGAACGGTTGGCTCTGGTCTAGGTGGAAAGCAAAACACTTTGCAACTTGCGTGGAAGTCGCAGGCACTCCTAGGCTAGAGACGGCCCTTCCCTACTGCTCCTTGCCGCCTACCTTCAGGTTCTGTTTTCTTCTTCTTTTTTCCGAAAAAGAAAAATTGCTGGAGGCCACCAGCATTGCCACCGTCATTGTGGTCGATGCCTTGGGCATCGGTATGTCTGCGTGGGCCAACGTCCTGACCGCCGAGATGCTTGCCCGGGCCGCCGAGACGCTTGAAAAACAATGCCGGAGGGCACCGGCATCGCCACCGTCGTGCCAAGCTTCGTGTTCGGTGCTTTGGGTATCGCTATGTCTGTGTGGACCCGTCTTGCACCCCCCCATGTCCGGAAAGTTGATCTGATTGGGCACCTTGCCCCTCGGTTGGAGGCCCTTCGTTCAAGTTGGAGGCGTTTTGCCTGAGTTGGGGACATTCAGCCCGATTTGGAGGCTTTTGAGGATTTCTTTTGGAGACCCTTCGTATCTCGGGTTGTTTAAAGATCATTTGGAGGCCATCGAGGTTCGGCCTATCTGCAGCCCTGCGTTCCCGTGTAACTTGGGGTAATGTACACGACGGGGAGTACCCCATTCTCTTCTCAGGCGGTTATCTTTATCCGGACCTCCAAGTCTTGAGCTGCGATCTCGTCAATCTCAACGCACGTCAGATTGGAGCACACTCCTGTACCTCTCACATACTACTTATGATCACGAACATATATATCTTTGTCTCGGGTAGCTGCAACTTGAAAAGTCTACTGTCGTCTCGGCAAGACATGCACAGAACAAAATAGAGCCGCACAGCTATAGACTCCCTGTTCAGTACGAGACGAAAGTTCCCTCATCCAATTTAATGAAGACACTAACATGTCCTCCATTACATGTAGACATGACTACTGCTTCCCAGAGCCAGATCTCGCAATGGCAGGCGGCGGCGGCGCAGAAGCGAAAAGCAGTAAATGACCTGATCCCTTCAGAATGGATTCTACCCCGCACTTTGCCATCGGCGCAAGAACAGCAAGATGTTACGGGCGACTACATTCGACAGTTCCTGACGGAGTCCGAAATCCAATACACCGAAGCCGAGGCGTCCACCATACTTCAATCTATTCATGCCGGTAGATGGAAGGCCTATGAGGTGCTCAGGGCCTTTTGTCACCGGGCAGCTCTAGCACATCAAATGGTCAGTACCGGTCAAAGTTATCTTCACCACACACACACTTCTGCTTAGTGCTCAGTCTTCTTGCACGCACTTAAGCTGGTCAGGGACGGGATAGTTAATTTCTTCACTGGGAGCAGACCAATTGTCTACATGAGATCTTCTTCGAAGCTGCGTTGGCCGAAGCAAAGAGACTTGATGGCATCTTCGCAGAGACCGGGAAGCCGGTAGGCCCATTGCACGGGCTTCCAATTAGTCTCAAGGACCAGTTCCACGTGAAGGGAGTCGAGACTACCATGGGCTACGTCGGTTGGATCGGGACCTTTCAAGGTCAGAAAGGCACAGGTAAGGAGAAGGTCTTCGAGAGCGAGCTCGTGCGTGAGTTGAGAGAACTTGGTGCGCTGCTCTACTGCAAGACAAGTGTCCCCCACACGCTGATGGCGGGCGAGACTATCAACAACATCATTGGCTACACTCCCAATCCGAAGAACAGGCATTTAGCCGTGGGAGGCAGCTCCGGTGGAGAAGGCGCCCTCCTCGCCCTCCGCGGGAGTCCCTTGGGGGTGGGGACGGACATCGGCGGTAGCATCAGAATACCCGCGGCGTTCAACGGGCTGTTTGGACTGAGGCCTTCAAGCGGACGGGTTCCGTATGAAGGGATGGCAAACAGCATGGACGGGCAGAGCTCCCTCTTGAGTGTTGCTGGCCCTTTAGCGCCGTCGGCCGGCTCACTCAAGATTTTCATGGAAGCAGTCCTAGAGACCAAACCCTGGCTGCACGATCCACTGGTAGTGGAGCTGCCGTGGAGGGATTCAGCCTTCCAACAAGCTTTGCACAGCAGTAAGCCAATGGCTTTTGGCGTCATGTATTGCGATGGCCAAGTGTCACCTCATCCACCAGTCACTCGGGCGCTCAAAATACTTGTCGAAACCCTCGAGAGACTGGGGCACAAGGTGATTGAATGGAACCCTCCTTCTCATAAACGAATAGTGGATATAGTGGTATGTATTACCCTTTTTCCCGAAGCGAATTCTCACTCTAACTCGATCAGTACGACATTTGGACATACGACGGAGGTCAGGACGTACACAAAGCCTTCTCGCTTTCCGGAGAGCCTGTCTGTGAGCAGATTGCACAGGTTTATGGGCATGAACCGAGTGCTGAGAAGACTGCATCTCAAATTGCGGCGATCAATGTTGCGAAGCGTGCGTATCAGAAAGAGTACATGGACTACTGGAATTCTACAGCCAAGCTTACCGGGTCCGGGGAACCTGTCGTTGCATTCATCGCTCCGGCAGCCCCATTTGCTGCGGCACGCCCGGGGAAATACGACTACACTGGTAATATGGCCCCCAAGCTGAGCAGACTAGCACTTTGATGGTTGACCCTGCTTAGGCTATTCGATGTTCTCCAATGGGCTAGACTACTCTTCTGTGGTGCTTCCGGTTACACACTGTGACCTGAACGTGGATCTATTCGATCCAGATTATGTCCCACTCAACTCTCTTGATGAGCGTGTGTGGAAGTCCTGTAAGTTTCACAGTGTTATGCAGATTCTCTCGCTTCCGCTAAATACCGATTTCAACACCAGATGATGCCGAACTCTATGACGGTCATCCGGTCGGTCTGCAGATTGTGTGTAGGCGTCTTGAAGAGGAAAAGGCTCTTGGCTTGGCAACGATGATATCACAAGGACTTCATGCCATGCCATGAAACTGGTGATTGTCTCCCATGAACAACGTTGTTGGTTTGTCACGGTACTTACCTGATTAGGAAAGAGGATCTCTTGGCAAGTTTCTGTGGAGCAACGAGCTGTGAGGTCAAGCTCGAACATGGAAGTATAAAGATGACCCCTAGATGTATTGAGTTCCTTGGAAAGAGAGTCTTTCGAATAAGGAGAAAACACTACTGTTCAAATCGTCTTCTAAAAAATTTTCAAAGCTAAAATATCGGCTCTCGACCGAGTCTTGTCAATATGCTGCCCAAGGGAGACAAGTTCCTGAACGTGGTCCTCGGTGGCTCGGCGGTAGGAAAGCCTTCCTTGACGTGAGAGCGTACATAAGACCAGGTTCTGGGATTGACGTATCTAGCATAGATTGGAGATATGACCAAGGACTCCATGGCCCGTTTCGATACGCCGGATGAAGTGACCGTCTTCCTCACCACCTTCGTCAACCGCGGGTACAACCAAGTCGATACTTCGCGCATGTACTCACCTCAAGCACCAAGGTCTTCTGAGCCAAGGGTCGGAGCTACGTCCATCAAAGACAAGCTGGTCATCGATACCAAGGTCACCTCGAACATCCCCAGCGCCCACACCACGGCCAATGTCCTCGCCGAGATCGACGCTTCTCTTGAAGCGCTCAAGATCAAGCAGATTAACATCGAGTACCTTCATGTCCCTGACCGTGGCACACCTTTCGAGGAAGCCTGTGTAGCCATGGATAGGGCGTATAGGGAGGGGAAAATTGAGCACTGGGGCCTCTGCAGCTACAGCGCCGAGGAAGTGCAGAGCATTATTGACATCTGCGAGAAGCATGGGTACGTCAAGCCAAGCGTCTACCAAGGCCAGTACAACGCCATCGTGCGAGGTGGAGAGAAAGAGCTGTTCCCCGTGCTGCGCAAGAACGGCATGGCCTTCTACGCCTTCAGTCCCGCTGGAGGTGGCTTTTTCGCCGGTAACCACAAGAAGGCCAGCAAAGGAGGAAGATACGACAAAACGGCAAGTCCTGTCGCTCAGCGCCCTGAGCCACTGCTTATCACCCTCGCTAATCAATCCTCCGTTTAGCTCCCGCTCGGCGCCCTGTATGGAAGCTTCTACGTCCAGCCGGCCATTGAAGCGGCCACCGAGAAGGCGCTTGCGGTAGCGTCCAAACATGGCATTGGAGGGCATGCAGCGGCTCTGCGCTGGACGGTCTATCATAGCATCCTGGATAAGGACTGTGGAGACTCGGTTCTGGTCGGTGCCTCGAGTCCCGCGCAGCTGGAGTCGAACCTGGACATGATCGAGGCGGGGCCATTGCCGGGGGATGTTGTGGCTGCCATGGATGCCATTTATGCCCAGGCTGGAGACCAGGTCCCATATTATTTGTAGGCCGGTCAAGTGATGGTCAGATTAGTTGACGGACTGATAACAGAAGTTCTTGACTATCCATCGAGCCCATTGGATTTAGGTAGTGGGATAGCCCTTCTGAGTTCTAGGGCAAGGTTGATTGTTAAGATTGAGGTAGCTCCTGATGAACTTCCGTCAACTATTCAGACGCCCACTTGGCCGGTATCGATCGGGCGCTAGGCCGAATCTAGGAGGAGCAAGTCTTGGCAATCGGGCCACTCGATGACAAATCTGTCCGTCCGAGTCGGCATCAGACCTTGCAAGGCCAATTAAACCATCAAGAAAATATATCTGTCAAGACTCCTGCAAGATAGACTCTGCCAAGGACCATTCATAAGCACCTTGAGCATTTCGCGGCAATGTGAAGATTGGACCTCGGCCAGCTTCCCTTCGAGATGGAGTTTGTCTTCGTCCAACAGACGCTGGCACCTCAGGATTCGCGCCAGACATCCATGCGCCATGCCAACTCGCACAAAGCAAGAATTGCACATGCGAGGGTGAGGAGGCGCCGCACGGAGGACTACTTGCGCAGCAAAAGCTGCAACGAGATTCAAGGAGCGGCAAGTCTTGATCAGCAGCGCCGAGTTGACGACAGCGCCTTGATCCTATCACACCCAAGTTCAAGATTGGTCCATCAGGCGCTCCCCCAGACCGTCTCCGGGGCTTTTCTTCACGAGCCATTGTCGACCTTTGTGGGTTCATTGACTGCCAGAGAACGCTTTATCTTCGACCATTGTAAGGATTCCCTCCAACCGCACTTGTGTGGAGTATTACGGTATTGACCAAGACCCCAAAGACGTCAAGGTGGTGGGCCCGGAAACGCAAGCCCATTGCCCGATGATCAACTATACTGGCCAGTATATGGACAGTCTCAGAAGTAACTGGGTTCTTTATGCGTCCACGGATATCGAGTTCCTGAAGGGCTTTTTACTCTCGGGCTGCCGCCACCTGGCTACTGTGTCACCGACCAAGGAGTTCAGCAGCCTGACAGCCCAGTACAAACTTCAACATCTTCGAGACCTCCAGAAGGCCATCTCGGAGAGGAGCGTAGAGTCAAGTCGTGCGGCTGTCGCGAAAGCGTTGGTCCTGGCGTCTGACGATGTAGGCCACGACCCCAGTGAACTGTTCAGAGCGCATGTGAGTCGAGAGCTAACTGAAACGTGCTTCAGGTTGCGATTCGGGACATGGGCATGGCAGCAAGCCATCTGACGGGCGCTATCAACATCATCAAAGCAGCGGGTGGACCAGAAGCGCTTTCCCTGAGTAACCTTGTCAAATGCATTCTGTTTAGTTGCGTGTACGGAAAACGATTACTCGACTGGGACCCCAGCCAGCCGTCTCGGGATGTTCCCCTGGGCTTCGGCATCGAAGATATTAAAAGTTTCTAAAAAGCTCTCTGAAACTTAGCCAGCCTTTCGTGTCACTCTCTACACACACAGCGAAGTCTCAAGCAAGTTGAGAAAATGAGCCCTTCCTGTGTGGAATTGAGGCTTCCGCGCGGATGAGGGACACATGTGTAGATAGGACTGCACCGTCTGCACCGCAACGATCGTGTATTTGGGAGGGTATAAAACCCCACTAGCTGTAGTAATTGCAAAATCGTCGTGAAGAGTCATCCGACTCATCTCCGGCTGTCGCCGAAGGATCGACAGCCTTTGTTTTCCCTTTCCGCCTTTTACAAGAGAATCCGCACCTGGTCTTGCCTGAGTGGTGTTGAACTTGTTTATCCCTAGTGTGCCATCTAGACATTTCCCTCTTCAACCCACACATTTAGAACAAGTGTTGGTCCAAAGAAAAAGAAAAAAGGAAAGAGTGCCACAGGCAGACCGATACAAGCATTCGCCTCTCTCTCACTTTGAGTTGACGATAAGTGCTCCTCTAGGCGCACGAAGTCTTGCTGCAGACAATCGGGTTCCACCACGGCGTCTTGTCCATGCAGGAGCAGTGGCAGATGTTCTTGCTGTCGCAATTAGAGTTGCAATAGCCAATGGCGAAGCAGTGGGTGAAGCAGGCCAGGCCCTGGGTGACGCCGTCAATGTTGCAGGTGACGCGCTTCTGCAGAGGGTTGGCCTCGCGGCCCTTGATGGCCGGGGTGGTGTTGGAGTCTGGGTGGTCCAGGGGAACCTATGTCTCTAGCATGAGTACTTTGTTGTATCAAGTGAGAGTGGACCACGGGCTAAAAGGGGCTCTACTTACGACAGGAGCATTGTCAATGTGTCCTTGCTGGCACTCGATGTGACCATCGTCGTGGCCGGCGCAGGTGATGTCCTTTGCGGGGACATACCAGCTATTGCCGGCGGCCGAGACGGCAATGAGGAGGGTGGAGATAATGGAGAAGATGGCAAACTTCATTGTGAAAGTGTGAAATAGTAAGAATAGTTTGTTCACTCGATTGGTCTTGTTGATCTGTTTGATCTGGTTGAAGATGAATATCCAACACCGGCTGCAACCCACCCTTTTATACTTTTAGGGCCTTGAACATTGCTGCCGAGATTATACTTCAGGCACACTGCAAAACCTAGCATACTTCCACAAATTCCCATAATGCCCAGGATATCTTCAACCTGAATGTGCCTTGTCCCCACGCTGAACGAAGCTACCCCCGAATCGAGACTTGCAACGTCGGATGAAAGATGGCTCCGTCTGACAGGAAACAGTATATGATGATGACCCAGTACGTGCTCAGGTCATGATCAACATTCCACCAACTTTGATACTTGCGCTTCTGGGACTGGTCCGAAGCAAAGCTCGTCTCATGCCCCGCAAGTCAGTGTATGACCAAGCTCAGAGGCTCAACAAGGATGTATTCTTGGAGCCGTAAGAGCGGATGAATACAAAGAGTAGGCCAGACGTCAGTCCCGGGTCAAGGTCAGGGGGCCAATGAGAAGCCTAGCCAACGGTCCGTGGGTGTGAGCGGGAGCAAGGGAGACCCGCATCTAGTGGAAGCCACAAAGTGCTTGGTGCGCCAATCGATCGAATAACGTTGAGAAGCTCACACTATGCACATCAATGCGATGTCATGGTGTTCTTTCAGCTCTCGCCGATCCCGAAACAAGATTTACGGGGCTGCACACCCGTGTAAGTGAGACATTGGGCTGGATCGCCATGAAAAGAAACCCTTTTCTCCTGACCGATCAGGGCGTAAGTTGCCGTCTCGCCCGCAGTGGCGGCATTCATCCAGAAGAATTCCACTGCTGGCGCACGGGGTAAGGCGATGGCGCTGATGATCTATCTGCAACATGGAGACCGCAAGGCAGACTTCGCAGACTTCAGACTACCCGTTGTTGTACTACGATAGTGACGATAGGGATCGGTCCACCAGTTGGACAGAGATGCTCTCGTTTACTCTTTATGGAAAACGAAACGGCTTCCATTGAGGCAAGTGTGGACAGGGTTATTGATCTGGAAAGTTTGGAAGGGTTCTGTATGGACACACATGAGTGCGGAGTCGTACCGCCATAGCTCCATCAATGTGCGGGAGCCATTGCTTACAGGCTACTGGAATGGAAGACCTGTGAGCTTGGCTTGCTCCCTGAGTTTTCCATTGTCTATATCCAGCTGGAGACTTCAACGCGTGCTGTCGGCATACATCTTACCGTCGCGCTTGTGCTGAGTTTCTTTGCTAAAATCGAGCTTACGATGCTATTTCTAGCACTTTTAACCATGGTCTATGGCACGTCAGATGGGTGGTGGCGTCTGCACCTCAGCAAGCATGGAAAAGCTGCCGTGCTCGAAGAATGCTGACTTGCTTCTGGTGGCTGCCCTCACGTCAGTGGCTTGCGCCTGGCGTCCCGGAGAGCAGATGCTAGAGGTCAGGCCATACTTGTACAGAGCGTGGCATGATAAAGTAAGAACACTTGCATGGTCCCTTTCATTTAACATTAGGGCTGCGGCTGAGCGTTGCAAGGGCTACCTAGGTAAGTTGGTCGCACTACTTCATGCTTAAAATAGGATGATCCGCCCCAGGTAAAATAAAGGGATCTCCAGCGGGGCTGTGCCGGCTGTGGGGACGCCAAGCTTCGATTTCGGAACAATGACGAGAGCGAGTCCACAGTTGTTTCGAGAGAACAGGCTCTTGGTCTATTGCTCTTTTACGACATCATGGCTGTCTGCTGAAGCAGCTATTCGGAAAGCCGGCAGAGCGGTTGGACCGGCGTGATGCGTCTGAACATCTTGTTTGACCGGCCGGAGACAACGATCTGCCTAGGATCGCCATTCTTCTTCCGCGACACGCGAACCTTGCTTCTAGCACTTACCTAATTGTCCATGGATGTTCTAGGTGATCATGTCGATCACTGGCACCTCGAGTGGTCCCGTTATGCGTCTTTTAAGCTCTTTCAGGACACGGCAGAGACCGCCGGATGTTGACGCATGCGTGATGAATGTTCCCCGATTCCCAGGCTGCTCCTTTCTCCTCGAGACTGCTTCCGATGCCCTCAAAAAGACTGAAATAGGTTCCTCCTGATAAGAGAGTCCAATTCATCTATTCTGTAGCGGTTCCGGCCTCGATATCGTCATAGCTCTTCAAGATCCTATCAAAGTACGACTTCTGCATCCCCTTGAGCTCCGGGTGCGTCGCCACCCACTCGCGGTTCTCCTTGATGCCCCTCACGATCATGCCGCTCACGTCCGACGCCGGGATCCGCCTCGCCACGCGCTTCTCCCTCTCCACCTGCTGCGGCGCGCCGAACCTCTCGGGCCGCGCCCGCTCGCACTGCATGATGTCCGTGTGCGTCGCGGCGACGATGACGCTCGTGACGCCGACGCCGTGCTCGGCCGCCTCGAGCCGCAGCGCCGCGCCCAGCGCCATGACGGCCGCCTTGGCCGACGTGTAGGGCCCGTGGTTGGAGAACCAGGTCGGGTTCATGCCGGCCTGGGAGCCCGTGATGACGATGTGGCCGGCCCCGCGGCGGCACATCTCCGGGTAGTAGATCTGGACGAAGTTGGTGACGCCGAAGAGCACGACGCCATAGACCCTGAATCGCCTTTGTTCAGCCCGAGGAGAAAAACTCTTACGCATCTTCCAGGCTGCCAAAAAGACTTACCAGTCCCAGTCTTCTTCTCGATGGTCGAGGAGGGGCCCGCCAGTGGTGACGCCAGCATTGAGGACCAGCACGTCACAGGGGCCGAACGCCTTTGCGGCTTCGTCGTGAAGGCTCTGGACCGCCTTCTTGTCGGACACGTCGCACACGATGGGCAGGCATTGCGCACCAGCACTGCGAATCTTCACTGCGGCCGCTTCGAGGCGCTCCCTGTTGGTCGAAGCTATGACGATCTTGGCGTCGCCTTCCTTGGCCAGGTCCAGCGCGAGTGCCAGTCCTATCCCCGTAGCACCGCCTGTGATGATGGAAACTTTCCCCTTGAGGTTGCGCATTGCTATACTCGGCGCTGGGGCGGCAGACACGTCGTATGGCTCCCGGATCGACATGTTTTGCCAAATATTCGCCGCTTTGTCTAGAACGTGATGACGGTGAGTATTGGCACGGCGATCATCAAGATCCGCAGGGCAGGTATTGATTCTAGGCCCAAACTCGACCTCCCGGCGACGTATTTAAGTCAATACGGCCGAAATCGCACTGACAGTTCGGCCAAGTAATGGTAGGTTCAAGCTCGGAAATGTAGTCCCAGAACGGCGGAGGCTCGACGGAATGGGAACCCCTACCCCGCGCTCAATTGCCGGCCCCGGCTGGGCAGTTGAGTCTCCGGATCCACGCCTGTAAACATGGACATTTCAATGCTAGAACCTAATACCGCCCTAGACAGGTTCGGTGTATGGACCAAAATGCTTACACCGAGTCGAAGTTGCGCCTTAGCAGATGTGAGTCTATGTCGTGTTGCCAGAGTAAAAGCGGGCTCAGGTTGCGCCCGGAAATCCATCAGCCAACGGAAAACGACAGTGAAGGATGAAGGACAAGCGTCCATCAAGTCTAAGATCACAGTTTTGCGCAATAAAGTGTTGCTTTCAAAGTTGGCATTGTTGTCGTACTGTCGTGTGGCCCAGAATATCACCATGGCAAACATTGGGGCAGGAAGTCTATTCGATATCAAAGAGATGCTTTACATCATCTCAGCTGTCGGTACCGATGAGTGAGAGTATGAAGTTGGACGGGATTATGTGCCCTGATGGCACGTTGGGCGGATTGTATCATAGTCCGGAAACTCCACATTCTTGACCATCGACTCGGCAAGCTAGATCATCCTTGACTCGATGATTCTAGAAGGGTGTTGCTGGCATGAACCTCTTCGTATGCAGGCGAGCAGGGGCTTATATCAATGGAAACGTGCTCTTGATCGATCGTGGCCAGCTCTATGGTCTACCAACGATATATAAAGCTAGGACATGTTCATGGAGCAAAAGGACCCTCACCCAGAGATAGATTCCCAACGAGCCACTAGCAGACCTTTGCGTCCGCAGACACAATAACGTTATTTTGCAGTGCCGGGGTGGTCCATGTCGTGGGACCAAGATCCATAAATCCCTCCCCACAACTGTAAGCACAGCGCGGCACAGGCGTTGCACCATATCTAGTTTCGAAATCACATGTTGGTAGCACAATTGCGATGGCTGGGGAGGGTTGTTGGTTCGATAATGGCAGTGATTCGCATGCCCGGGCCTCCTCCAGACCCGCGACATGTTGGCCTGTTCCTGAGGCTGAGTTCCAACTCCTGTATGCACATCAAATCGCATCATCACCAACGTCCACCTCCGCATCTGAGGCGACGGCCCGGCACATGGGTCCAACTGGAAATCGGCGGCCAATGAAAGTAGGGCTAGGATTGCCTCTTCACACACCGCAACTCCGCTTTGACGCCCGGCATCACAGATCCCAGCCTATGGCGGAGCGGGGCTGTGCCGCTGTGCCGTTGGGCTGCACCAACGGACCCAGATGCCCAGGTTTCACCGTGGGTCCCTCAGTCGTCCTTCTTTGGCGCTCTCTATTGTTGGAAGCAGGCTATGTATCCGCAGCAGACTTTGATGCAGAGAGGCTGGCCGAGGAAGGACCAGCCAATCTATCCATCTTGGCCCGCCTGCTATTGGGCAAGATGGAATCGGCACACTCCCATCACCCTCCCCCGATGTCCCTTGTCCTGCAGAACAGGCATCCCCACCTCGTGTGACTGATGCCTGCTCCGCTGCCTGGAGCAGACTGGATTTCGAGGAGAACGTATATATACGCCTGATGCCCAATAGTTTGTGCGATGAACCCACATGCTCCTGTCAAAAATTTGTGAATCCTTCCAACAAGTCTCGAGAACCGATCTATAGACCTCGCGCATAACCGTCTCCCACCCCCCAAGACCACCAAGAACACCGAGAACAATGTCTTCCATCATCGGCCTGGGTCTTAGAGGCTTCCTGGTAAGACGGCATGGGACGGACAACCTCGCGCTGCGCGACCATACTGACACAGTGACTCTTATCTCAGGTCCTCTGCGGAGCCGTCGTCCTCGGCCTGTCGGTTACGCTGGCCAAGAAGCAGCTCTTGGGCAGCCCCCCGTCCGAGACGAGCTTCAGCGCATTCTCGGGCGCCTTTGGCATCATCGCCTCTGCGCTGGGCATCGCCGCCATCTTCTTCGACTCGATCCCCGTGCTCGTGGCCGCCGCCGTCGATGTGCTGGCCGCCATCTTCTACCTGGCCGCAGGCGTTGTAAGTGCCCCCCACGCGGAACGACTCAATTCCACACCCTTCCCAGAGTCTCACACACTGATTCGCGACCCTTTCAAACAGGCCATGGCCGTTGCCCTCAAGGGCGTGTCGTGCACAGACGGCTCCGACAAGGGCGACTTCCTGCGCTACAGCAACAAGCTGATCAACGGCGGCTGCGTCGACCTCAAGGGCCCCGTCTGCGGCGTCGGAAGCGAGAGCGACTGGAAGGGCGCCCTCAAGTCGCGGTGCACACAGGTCCAAGCCGACTTTGCCTTTGAGTTTATCGCCTGTGCCTTCGGCCTCGGCGCGCTCGCGTTCCTGTTTCTCTCCTCCAAGCGGTCGGGCAGGACTTCCTATGTCTAAGAGAGACATACTCGCATGGACATGATACTGGTCACTGATGCTACGCATCTTCTCTCGACAAAGTCTCAAGAGATGCAACGATAATGAATAGTCGGAGTATTTCGTTTTGGATAATGCTGTGATGTTCCGAGAGAGGGAAACATCTGAGATCGGAAGCCGGCTAATACTGAAGGTTGCCGGATGGATATTTTGGGTCCATTTTCATTGATTTGACTTTCCACACGAGTTTGACGAGATAGATATTCCAATGATACCTCTGAGTTCCTTGTACCCCGGCTCCGGATCAGGAATGCGCAGTTGAGTGCTGTTGGGGTGATACCTCTAGTCTGATTGCAACACCGGCCGCCTCTCGTTGATCCTCGAACACGGCATTTACAGGTTCTACGGCAAGTCGACGCGTGCGTCAAGAATAATAGCTCCTTGCAATGAACGCACCTATGTCAGTGCGATTTTGCGCTAACCAAGATCAAGTACTGTCGAGCAACGCCCGCGAGTAATGAGACGAATGAACGCATCAGTCTGCCCCCACCAAACCCAAACTCAGCTCGGCCTCGCTCTCAATCCTGCCGCCGAGGCCGAGCCGGTCGTACATAATGCTCAACCTTGCACATACAGCTGGGGATATTGAGCTGGCTCATAGTTATAAACATAACTCCGGGCTCTGTTCTGATAACATATTCCATTAAACAGTGCACGTTCACCACACGTCATGAACCCCGGCGCTCGGCCCACAGAACCATGAACAACAACAACAACGATACCATCACCACTGCAGCCAAGCCGGGCCTCAGTCCTGCAGTAGGCACAGAGGCGGCCCCCTCGGCAGCGCACACGCACCCCTCGGACCCGCCAGATGCGGCGCCCGCCGCGCGCCGCAGCCGAGCCAGCGCGCGCAACGTCGAGCGCTCCTGCGTCGTGTGCCACCGCCGCAAGGTCCGGTGCGACAAGAAGCTGCCGTGCGCCACGTGCCGCCGCAACGGCGTCCTGTGCTGCTACCCGCCCGGCGACAGGCCGCCCCCGCGGCGGCAGCCCAGGTCCACCATCGCCGACATCGCGGCGCGGCTCGTGCAGCTCGAGAAGACGCTCGTGGCCATCTCGGGCGATCCGCCGCTGCCGCTGCCGCCGGCGGCGGCGCAGCGCGAGCGCAGGGCTTCGGCGGCTGGTCGCCAGGCAGGCGCCGGGGATGCACCGAGGCGGCTAGTACGCGCAGAGTCGGAGGGTGCCGGCTCGTCTGACGGGGATGAGCCGTCATCATCAAGCATGGCGTCAAGGGATGAGATTCTGGTCGAGCATGGGGCTTCGAGCAGGTACATCAATGAGGTCTTGCTGTCTCGCATGCTTGAAGAGGTGAGTACCTAACATGTTGTCATGAAGAGAAGCATCAAAGTCCTAATCTAGGTCTCTTTTCAAAAGGAGGAGGAACTGCAGTCTGCAATGGCATCACCCGGCAATAATGAAGCGGGCGATCTGAAGACCGCTTCTGTTCAGCCGTTTAGTATCGGGGGCCTGCTGCCCGGTTCCTTCGCCGCGCGGATGGATTTGCGGGAGCTCTATCCTTCGCCATTCCGAGGGATGCAGCTGTGGAACTTCTATGTCAGTAATGTCGACTCCATCAGCAAGATCCTGCACATACCCACGGCCCAGGTGGAGGTGTATACCGCTATCAGCAACCAGTACGACACCACGCCCGAGATGCACTGCCTGCTGTTTTCCGTATTCTTTGCGGCCACCGTAGCCATGGACCCAGAGGATGTGCTGCATATGCTCGGGCATGATAAAGTCACCGCCTTCAACAATTTCAAACAGGGGCTCGAACTGTCGCTGTCTCGGGCGGATTTCCTGGAAGCGCCGACTGTAAAGTCGATACAAGCCTTTGCACTGTTTCTCGTAAGTCTTCCAAGAAAGATCCAACTCCCATCTCCAGGTCTCTCCAAGCCACCCCGCTAAGTACCACTCTCTCCCCTCAAAAGAAAATGTACCGGTCTATCAACAGCGGCCGCGCCGTCTGGATCCTATCGGGCGTCGCCCTCCGCGCCGCAAAGTCCATCGGCCTCCACCGCGACGGCACAAAGTTCGGCATGCCGCCGTTCGAGTGCGAGATGCGTCGCCGCCTCTTCTGGTTCGTCAACTCGCTCGACGCCCGCGCCATCGAGGACTTTGGCCTCGTCGTCGCCAAGGACCTCGACCGCAACACCGACGTCGAGCTGCCCATCAACGTCGGTGACGCCGCCCTGCAGCCCGGCATGGCGGAGCTCCCGCAGCCGGTCGCAGGCTGGACCGAGATCTCCCTCTCGCTGAGCATGTACCACGTCGGCATCGTCATGCGCCGCCTGCAGCAGATGATGACGGGCTGCCGCCCCGGCTCCGCCGCGGATGACCAGGGTGGCGGCAGCAAGGGCGGGCAAGCCGCCGTCGAGGACGACGAGGAGCAGTCCCGCCGGCGGCTCGTCGACGGCCTGCGCGCCCGCGTCGACGCCATGTTCCGCGACTGCAGCGCCGTCGTGCCGCAGCAGCGCACGGCGCGACTCGTGGCGCAGATCGTCGTGCGCAAGCTCGACTTCGTCAGCCGTCAGCAGGTGCGCTGCTCGACGGCCTCGCCCACCACGCACCGCCGGCGGCGGCGGCAGCCCGAGTGCACCGACGAGAGCCTCGCCGCGGCGGCGGGGGTGCTCGAGCTCAACTGGGAGCTGGCGCGCGACGAGATGCTGCGGGCCGCGCGCTGGACGAGCGAGGCGTTCCCGCAGTACGACGTGCTGCTGTACGTGCTGTGGACGCTGAGCCTGCGGCCGCGGGGCGCCGTGGCCGAGCGCGCGTGGGCCGCCGTGGACGGCGCGTTCGCGCAGGAACGGAGCCGGCGGGAGCGGCAGCAGGTGCAGACTGCTTCTGGGGTCAAGTGGAGCGTCATCAAGGCGATGAGGGACAGGGCCTTGATCCGGCGGGAGGAGGCGGAGAAGGGCACGGCAGCGGCCGAGACTCCTGTCGTCAAGACAAGCGGGTCAGGGTCGGTGGTTGGTGCTGGTGAGGAAGGTGCTGTGGATGGTCATCCGGACTTGTTCCCGGCCGAGCTCACTTCTGATGGTCATATAGACATCGCGCCGTGGTGCAATAGCTTTATGGACTGGGCCTCTCTTCTCGAGGACTTCAGCGGGCAGGACCTGGACTTCCAATGACTCGGCCTTCGCCCAGTGTAAAATCATAGTAGAGCTATGTGGACTTACAGTCGGCTTACACAACTGCCCTGAGTTGACGATCAGAATTCAACTAATAATTTCTTGTAGGATTCGGTTACAAAGAGACTCTAGCCTATAACCATTCTATCCAATCCTTTGATTTCTATGTCTATCAGGCCCAGAGGCCTGTCATGATTTTGATGCGGAGGACAACTAGGTCTTACAAGACGAAAATAAGATGAGACCAGAAATAAAATATAGCGACACAGGAACGTATTTGCCAAGTGGGGATATCGTGTATCGGAGGGAGTATTGTATGAAATAAAAGAGGTACAGGTGCGTATTGCGTTGGGTAGAATGACGAACAAGCACCTTGCATGGTGTAGGCAGCAATTCTCCATGTGGGCTGCCTTTGTCCACTGCTCATGAAAAATACTATTCGACTCAGAAGATCACAGTGGGGTTGAGTCCAGCATGTGTGATCCTGGTCATCAAGATAAAGGTCGTACCCGTGAGGCAGAGCACGCCAGCAAAGACCTTGAGGCCAACCCAGCTGCCCGTGTTGTCGAGGATGGCACCGGCGATGGGGCTGGTGGTGAGGCCAGGGAGAGAGTTGACCAAGAAGACAAGTCCGGTCCGGAAACCGATCTCGCGGAGGGGAGAAATGGCGGCCACGAGGGCGCCGATCAAGGAGACGTAGGCGCCTGACGTGAAGCCAAATACGGCGGCGAAAGCAACGGTGGTCGCCGAGCTGCGGCCGGGGATCCAGAGGGCGAGAATGAAGATTCCAGTGGCCGTACAGGCCATGAGGAAAGTGTTGTACTTGCCGATCTTGTCCGAGGCCCAACCTGACAGGAGCCGGCCAAAGAGACTGGGAATAGGATGTCAGAAAAGGAAGAACGAGCATAATTAAAGGGGAATATCAGGGTACTCACCTTCCAGCATTCAAGATGGCGACAAGGTACTGGACAAGATTGGGGTCCATGCCGTCTTGGAAGGCCTCAACCTGGATATAAGTGACGGGGATAAAGATGCCAAAGGTGAGGAAGAACATCCCCCCCATCAGGAAGAGGAAACCTCTCTCGCGGAACGGCTGCATCATTTGCTCACTGGTAAGCTGAGTGGGATGGGGCGGTAGGCGCGAAGTGATGGTGAGGTTGGCAACGATGAGAAGGCCGAGAATAAGGAAGGCGCACACCCGCATGGCCCATCCATAGCCGATCTGCTCGATCATACGACTCAGCATGATCGGAAAGATGACGCCGCCGAGTGATGAACCGGCCGCGACCATGCCGAAGGCCGCACCTCTCTTGCGGTTGAACCAGGTGTTGATGCAGTTGATGCCGGGCTGGAAGATGGCCGCCACACCGATGGCGCTGCACACCCCCTGAGACAGCATGAACTGGTAGTACTCTTTGGAGATGGATGCCATCATCAGCCCAAAGACGTGCAGGAATGTGCCGATGAGGACGATGTATCGCGGGCCGTACCTGTCGTACGACTTGCCGACAATCGGGCCCATGGCCATCATGAAGAAGATTTGCAGGGAAGGGATCCAGGCGATGTTGCTTGAGGAATAGTTGCGGAGGGGGCCGGCTTCGTAGTACTGCTGAAAGACGCCAACGCCTGCTAGAAGTCAGTATCCTCGCGTTCAATTCAATGGGATGGTTTATAGAGACTCACTGTTCAGCCAGCCGAAACTGCAGATCGAGGTGCAGAATGCACCCAAGACGCAGAGCCAGGCCCAGGTGCCGCCATCCGGCGCATCGCTACCCCAACCGCCTGGGCTGGGCTTGGACCCTGGCGCTGCTTCGACGTCACGCTTCTCGGGATGAGGTTCGTTGCCTTCAGTCTGGGTGTCGGTGTCGTTGACTGACGGCGAGTGCAGATCGGTACGATCCGCCTGCACGTTGTTGAACTGGGTTGCTGATGTCATCGTGTTCGAGTCAATGACCCAAAATCAAGTATGGAATATTATGAAGGGAATGGAATGAGTGAGCTCAAGAGGGAAGATTAAATAGGTAGGTATTACTGTGTCTAATTGGTCGAGTGAGCGAACAAAGAGTGGTTGGTGAACTTTGAATCTCTCTCCCAGGGAGGGCAGTCGCATTTATGTAGATCATCGTTTGTAAGATGCATGAATATCAGATAGAAACCTTTCCTTTTTCGCATAGAATCCGCCTGAACGGGACCCAAGTCTCGGCTGCCGAAGATGCGCGTTGGGAGTACCGCGACTCATTTGATTGTGCGGCTTCCAAGGGCCGGGCGATTCGGCGGTGGCAGCCAGATCATGACCGAGGCCGGGGCCCCACTTACTCGGCACTCTGGTTCTTATGCGAGCTTATCCGAAAGCTCAGCGATTCAGTCTGCACAGAGGCGCACGCGTGTGCACTTATGCGCGCGACTTGGCGCCGAGCAGTTGATCCAGCTTGAAATGTGCCGAGAAACATAGGAGTTTCTAGAATTAATGGTTGGTTATTAGAGACGGACGGGTCGGGAGACCATGAAGAGAGAGATGGTACCTGTGATGCTTGATTGATGCGTTAGTGGAAAAGACACTCAAGCTAAAATTTTGGCCCTTTTATTGTCCATCAGCCTCCTGCTCCCCTTACACGACTGGTCACTAGACAAATGAGCACATCTTGGCTGCCTGGTTGGTTTTTCACTAGGGTTGCTTTGCAGGGCACCGGTGATAGGTCACAGCACCGTCAGTGTTGTGTTTTGAGAAAATGAGCTGGACTAAGAAAGTGCGCTGAGAGGAGTGATGCAGGTTTCTTTCTACCCAACATCTCTCTATTTGCTTAGGTGATACTGAGGCGTCACTGTGACTGAATCTCGCCGGTGAGGATGTAATTTGCAAGGAAGGTGAACCAGGTCGTATCAGCAGGGTCGTCACCTGAGGCACCCCACTGATGGCCCTGCCGCTTCATTCTGCCCATTTTCTAGAGCACAGTCAAGTAGTTAATCTTGAGGTGTGGCTCAGATGTAGCCACACTTCCCTTCAAACACTTCCCTTCAGCCACTTCCCTTCAGCCAACTCTCGCCACTGCCAGCGTACGTCACCTGTTACACAGAGACAAGTTCACAAACGGCCCTGACAGAACCCGACAACAGCACGGATCTTGACAACTCGCCTTTTCGTTTGGACTTTAGTTATCATGAGGATTTGGGCACCCAATCTACGGTGCGGCAAAGCAGAGAAGATCGTTCAGCTTCTGAACCGCTTTCGACCAGAACTTTCCCCCTACGAAGATGTGTACAAGCGAATACACCAGAATCCGGAGCTGTCGCGTCAGGAGCTGCAAACCTCCAGGATTGCCTCGGACCATCTCAGAGCACTAAACTTCTCGGTACACGAAGGTATAGGAGGCTATGGGGTTGTTGGCGTGCTTGACAACGGGCCTGGCCGCACCATTCTCCTCAGGGCCGAGCTCGACGCCCTTCCTGTACTGGAGAAAACGGGTCTCCCCTATGCCAGCAGGAAGCTCATGGTCGACACGGACGGAAAGGAAAAACCGGTCATGCACGCATGCGGGCATGACATGCACATTGTAGCCCTCATGGGAGCTGCTGCGCTTCTCCATGCCGCCAAGGAACATTGGCAGGGACGCTTGCTCATTCTATTTCAGCCCGATGAGGAACGTGGTGGCGGCGCGCGTGCGATGGTAGACGGCGGTTTGTATGGTCTAGAGGGTGTTCCCAAACCGGACTTCGTCCTCGCCCAGCACATTGTCAACAACAAAGTTGGAACTCTCCAGATCGGTTCAGGCTACTCGCTAGCGGGCAAAAGGACGTTTCGGATCACCATACCGGGAAGGGGAGGGCATGTTGGTTCTCCTCAGGACTGCATCGATCCTGTCATCACCGCTTGTCATACTGTCGTTCGCCTCCAGACGATCGTCAGCCGCGAGATCAATCCCAATGATACGGCCATCGTCACTTGCGGGAGTATTCGTGCTGGAGATACGCCAAACGTCATTCCCGACAACGCCGAGCTTACTGTCGATGTCAGAGCGTACTCCCCTGAGGTACTAAGCAAGGCAGTCCACGCCGTCAAGAGGATTGTGAAGGCGGAGTGTGATGCGTCCGGCGCTGAGGCAGAGCCGGAAATACGAGAGATTGAACATGTTCCGCCGCTAATCAACGACCTAAGAGCCGTCAGCCCAGTCGAAGAACAGTTCAAGGCATTCTTCGGTGAACATTCAGTTGAAGCCATGAAACCCGACATGGCGAGCGATGATTTCTCAATCCTGGCTCCCGTCGGCGTTCCGTACGCCTACTGGACACTTGGCAGCACAGATCCACGAGTCTGGGATGGGTTTGAGAAGGATGGAAGACTACATGAACTGCCTGGGAACCACTCGCCACTGTTTTCACCTGTCATTGAACCTACCTTGAAGCATGGGATTGAGGCTCTGTCAGTAGCTGCTCTTACCTTCCTAAGTACTTAGGCAAATAGAGAGACATTGGGTGGAAAGAATGAGGGGCAGCCCAACGTCGGTGTTTCGGTCGAAGTCCTGGGCGACGACGAGGCCAAAGTCCTCGATGGCGCGGGCGTCAAGCGAGTTGGTGAACCAGAAGAGGACCTGTATTATCACTCCTCCCAGCGCACTTTCTTAGTCCAGCTCATTTTCCCAAACATTTCACCCGTCCCACCATTCGCCTGCAGATTTATGTCTAGTCACCGGACAAGTGAGCACATCCTGGCCGCCCAGTTGGCCTTTCACTAGGGTTCCTTTCCTCAGGCACCAGTGACAGGTCACAGCAGACATGAAGCCCCAAAGGAACGGAGTGGAGGAAATCACACCATGAATGCTGTGTTCACAGGATTTCTGGCCCTTTCTCTAATTGGTTGAGTTCCCGGCGCAGATCAACACCGTGACCGGGTAGATTGCTAACAGCCCGATCGCACCAGGTTTGTTCAGAGGGTGTCACTTGAGCACTACCTAGGTGCATTTAAGACCGCTCTCGACTCCCCACCCTTATGAAGCCGCCTTGCCACCCAGCTCTTCAGTTCCCATCGTGTTTCCCCCCATCCGCCAGATCGACCCAAAGTATTCTCTCGATTCGCTCCAAGTCTCCAGCATGCTTAAGCAACAGACCCAGCCAAAGACGCGGCCCTGGATCAACATCCTGGCCTCCCACGATCAAATTCCTGGATACAAAACCCCAAAGCAAGATATCCCAAAAGGTAACTCGACCTGATTACACCCCTCAACTGCTGCCAGCACCTAACATAGACTAGCTTTCGGGATTCATACTATCCGCCTCAATGCGCAAATCGACATGCACGGGACAATTAGACTAGCGGGAATGGCGGATCTCAAAGGTTGAGCACCAGGAATTGAACGTCAACATGCGGTTCAGATCTCAGGGCAGGGGTGGTGTTGATCTTGGTTGATTCACTGAGTGCTGGTTTGCTCAAGATGGCTCAAGATATCTCTCGAGAATGCATTTCAATCGGATGCCCTATTGAAGATATATTTCACGCGATTTTGACGCTGCCTGCAACCTGCGACTGCCAGACATTGTCCTGCTACTACTCACCCTTTGGCGATAGCCACATAACGGTCAGCCGTACTTCTATGCTCTCCCTGATTACCGCCGTGTCTTTGCTCGGGTCTTCAATAGCTGCGCCGTGTGGAGTATGGCCTTGCGATAATAGTCTAGGTCAGCCTGAGGCCCATTGATTGATAACCAGTTCCAGTGCCGGTTGTTCTTACTAGCAATATCTCCATCCTGCACCGAGTTCCATGAGGTGAATAATATAATTTCCTCCGGATCTTGACTTGAAAGCCAGTGGTATTTCTGAGAGTCCCTGTACTTTAGGGTCATGCTTTGTTCCACCTTCGTTGGCGCCACCTGATCAACATCCAGGATGTCTTCGGCTCGAATTGTACGTCGGTCGCAGAGAACTAACGGTGCGCTCTGAACTTTTCGAAGAGGCCTCCAAATGCTGTGCGGTCTTTTAGGAAAGCAAAGTGAAGGGGCCGGTTTTTTTTTACTCACTTGACAATCCTCGCCCGGTATTTGCCGGCACTAAAATCGGCAAATTCTTCCTTGGAAAGGTGTATCTTCAGCGTTTCAAGGCCGCCATCGTAAGAGTAGTCTGATGCGAGTCAGTATGGAATGTGGGAATGGAGAGGCTCGACTTTGAGTATACCACAGTGGATCAATGAAGCTGGAGACAATGCCCGGTATCTTGCATCTTCCAAGCTGTCCAATTGACCTTTGACGTCGCAATCGGCATTTGTTCTTCTCAGCTATCCAGTTCTGTCAGCCTTTGATGTCATGCTTCACGGTTGTTTATTCCATTTTCTTTGAATATCCCAAACAGATATGAAAAGAACAAAGAGTCATCACATACTCTCCAATCGAAGCAAAGAACCTTCGATGCTCCCAAGAGTGCCTCACCCAAGGAGATTGTTTCCTTCAAATATCTCCATATTTCCTCTCTCTCTGTGACAGATTTAAAGATAGATGCCTGCAGAAGGCATTTGGATGGCCGTCGATGAAACTCAAAGCCACATCCGTCCAAGGTGTAGTCTTGCTCATGCCCTCTGGCATCCTCAATAAATACGTCCTCATGAAGTTCGTACTCGCAATTTGTCTGTGGCTGCATGTGTTCTGGAAATCCATACAGAGTGAAAGGCTTCTCCTCTGTATATCTCGGCAGATCAGCGAGGAATTTAAGGGTTGTGAGCATTTTTGGTTGTCGTGCCTAGTATCTGAGAGGTTCTTGCATCCTACCTAGCACATGAGGTAGGTATTTTCACGCCTGGCAGGAAGCAGTTCTTGATATGGTGGCTCTTGAGATTGAGAAACACAGAAGCATGCCTGATCCTTATCTCGGAGAGAACTGGACGGTATTTGTTAAGAAGATACATACTACGACGGCTCGCCATTCAAGTACTCCCTAAGGCTGTAACCACCATTCCCCGAAGGACTTTTGATCACACTGTGTCACTGCACCAAGATATGCAGCAACTGATCATTCGTCGCTTTATCTCAGACCACGCCTGGATTGGTTCGGTGTACTGGCGCTGGTGCTGGTGCGTTGTTACACGGCGTGGATGGATCATTAATACGAGTGATCATGGGGTAGGACGCCGTTGAACTGCGTGAGATGCCTTTTGGAAAGAGGTCTGGTGTGTTGCACAGCTGCCTAGATTACGTTGGTGTGTTGGCCACCGCACCTACCTAAGTCACAGGCACAGACCTTGTGTTCCTTTCTCAGTCTCAGTGCATCAATGGCGTGATGATCAATCATATCAATCACATGAATTGGTCAATGTCTCAACTGCACGCGTCTGGTTGGTCCTGCCACATCGTCCCGGCCCGACCAACGCCCGACGCAGGTCACATTTGATTGATTCGAGGTCTGAATGTACGTACCTAGGAGTCTTCACTGTCGATACCAACCAAACCTCAACCACAGCCCATCCAGAAGAAACGCCAAGAAAGTCAGGTTGGAATCTGCTCCTTGTCCACCTTTCAAAAATAGAAATCCTCATTCATCACGCCCCGAACTTCTTTTCTCGTTCCTCGCGCGCTGAAGATGCGATCTTTGAAGCCAATTCTCTGGCTTATTACTGTCACCTTCTCGCTATGAATGATCAGGAGCACGACTCAATGGCGCGTCAGAAGCCCGGCATCCTCCGCCGTGTATGGCCGACCAGTCCTGTTGATCCAGACACCTTCAATATCAAGTAACCACCCCTGAATCCAAAGTGAAGAAGGTCCTAATCCCACATTATTAGCCTTGTCATTGTTCCCGCAGTCGGCGCTCCAGCTGTCGATCGATTCTTGAAAAGCAATTGGGCTTGGTTGATCGAGCTGGCCAGGTATTCTGAGGTGCATCCCCGGATCTTTCTTTTCGACTATGTCACGGAGAAGACCGACGGCTCTATTTGGCAGAGTATTGTGTTCAGAGGATCTGAGTTGACGGATCTGCTTGTCCACGATACGGATGTACGTCTCCGCTGGATGAGGTGATGGATCTGCGATGCTAACTAGGCCTTTAGGCTCTGGCACGGCCCCTCATTTTTGTGTCTCACGGACTTGGAGGCGTTATTGTCAAACAGGCGAGTTTCTCGTGGGTGATGTGAACATGAGGAACCAAGACTTATCGTTTAAAGTAGGCACTACGCCTAGCCGACCAGCAAGGATACAATCCTTCACTTCGACGGTTTCTCGAAGTTCACTCAGGCACTATCTTCCTTTCTTCGCCCCACCCAAAGTATGCTCGTCGAAATGATGATCGGATCCCCCTCTCTCATCTTCTTCGATGCTACATAAGCCTTTCCAAGGCTATTTTAGATCAAGCCGGAGCCGAGGAAGCGATCATTCAGACCGTGTGTCGGAAATATCAAGAAGCTGCCATCGAAGTTCCGGTCATATCTACTTTTGAAACGAAGCCAACAAAAATCTCGATGGGACTCTTCAGGTCTTGGAAAGGGATCGTAAGTACTCCACAGCATTTGAAGAAAGAAGGGGGTAATGTCATTTTCGCTAACGACCTCTTGTAGCTTGTCACACGAAGCTTTGCTGAAATTGCGCTCAAATATGAACAGCTCTTCGCTACACAAAAGTCCCACACCGAGGCCAACATCGTGGATGCTGGCAGCGACTTATCCGAGGAGATTTTTAAACTACTGTGCGCAGTAGTCGCCAATAGACAGAACATTCATGTTCCGTCAAGACCTCAGCGTACGTAAGAGGCCCCAAACTCTCAAGGCATAAACACTGACTCTGATGTGATTCTACCTAGCACAACCTGTCCAAGTTGACAATTTCACATGGGCCAGTACCGCGCCGGATCCTGAAGATAGACCTGGTAAGAGGGCTCTCAGACTGGCATTGACAGCCTCACGCTGACGGGGATCCTGTTATCGTGCAAAGATCAAATCGTCTCCACCCCTTCGGACTCCAAACACCTGAGCAGCAACCAAGCCGTTTTTGGCTCGACTGAAGCGTCCAGCTTCGTGTTTGTGCAAGGAGTCAATGACATTACGCAGAGCCAAGCGGTTGCTCAGGTGCCCTGCCTTGTCCTTGGACCCGAGCCACAAAACCCGGACTTCTTTGGGCGTGGACAAATTCTTGACATGATCTCGAATTTCCTCAATCCTATGGCTGGCGACACAGCGGGCGGTTCTCCCGTCACTCGATCATTTTCTTTGTGTGGACTTGCAGGGGTTGGAAAAAGCCAAATTGCGACGGAATTTGTTCACCGCCACATAGCTAGCTATGATGCAATCTTCTGGGTCCAAGCCGATAACGACAACTCTATCGCTGATAGTTTCATACGAATTGCAACAGAAATCAAACTTCTTTCAGGAAACGAAAAGAAGGATGCTGTCATCAGCCGGAATTTGGTCATGGAGTGGCTTTCAAACCCCGTCAAGAGCAGACCCGAGCGGGAGGAGGAAGGAGACGTAACCACCGAGATGGCAACCTGGCTCATTGTCTATGACAACGCCGATGACTTGGACTTGCTCAGCGACTACTGGCCCACAACGACCAGCGGCAATATATTGGTGACCAGTCGGGATCCTCTGGCCAAGTCGTCATCGTCATTACCAGGCGTTGAAGGGATTGATCTCGAGACGCTCGATCCTGAAGAGTCGTCAGCCTTGCTGATGAAGGTCGCTGGGTTCGAGGCATCTCAAAAGAACAAAGAACAATCAGCTGCCCTTGGGAAGCGTCTTGGCGGACTCCCACTGGCATTGGCTCAGATCGCTGCGGTTGTTCGACGACGGCACATGACGTTCCAGGAGTTTCTCGACGTGTTCAACGAAGAACCTTCAAATCGCGAGATCCTTTTGGGACAAGAGAAATACCAACATACGCTATCCACCATATGGCACCTCGACTCACTCTCCTCGCAGGCCCGCAGCCTTCTCAGTGTCCTGTCCCTGCTTGACCCAGACGCCATCTATGAATCTTTATTCGATCACGAGTTGAGCCAAGCCAGAGATCGAACATTTCCATCCACGAAGTTGGACTACCTTGATGCCAGAGGCAGTCTATTGAAATCATCTCTGGTAAAGCGCACCGAAGATGAGCAGCAACTTCTGATTCACCGCTTGGTTCAGGATGCAACAAGAGCACACCTCTCCACTGACCAGCTGGAGCAGGCTTTCGGAACCAGCATCGACATTCTTTCCAAGAGCTGGCCAAAATCATCGTTTCTCTTCTCACATGAGACTTCGATTTGGAATGCGTCGGACAAGATTGTGCCGCATATTATTAAGATGGCTCGCATATATGAACAGGATCCTGAACGGCAGTTCCCACTTGAGACTCTGCGTCAGCTTGCGGGCTTGCTCCAAAAGGGGGGTTGGTAAGTTTGCCGTTGCGGCCCTCAGGGCCATCTAATTGGCCACCTTGATTGACTGGTACAGGCACGTATGTGAAAAGGGAAATTTCAAGGTCGCAGAAAGCATGTTCGCGTCCTCTCTTCAGATATGCGAACAACATGCGCAAGATATTCCTGAGGAATATGCCGACGCTCTGTTTTGCTCAGGATCGATTGCCTCGGACACCAACAGGTTCAAACTACACATGGAACTGGCGAAGCGACATTTCAAACAGCGGATGGAAGTCGAGAATAAGAAGCCAAAACTCACATTGGGGGCTGGCCTGGCACACAGTGAGATGGCTCTTGCACACCTCCTCAATAACCAGTACGAGCAGACTATCGAGTATTCGATGAAGGCAAGAGAGATAAATCAAGAGTCAACCGAGTTCTTGTCTGGCAAGTATTGGCCATTTTTCGCCATAATTCACCACGCGCAAGCCCTCATAGGTTTGAACCGACACGAAGAAGCAGAAGGGATGTTGTTAGAAACTCTGCGATGGCGACAAGTCCAGTTCGGAGCCAATGACACTGAATCATTCAAGTAAGATTGGATATTTAAACTCTACCAGCCCCCAAAACAAAGAATATCTAACCTCATTTCTAGAACTGGATATGCGCTTCAGGTTCTCGGCACCATCCGGCAAAAGCAAGACCGCCACGCCGAGGCTTTTGACATGTTCAACCGAGCGCTTGACAATTACAAGGCCACAGTCGGTTTGAGTCATCATCGAACGGGCCACATCTTTGTAAAGCTTGGAGACGAGAACATCTACCTGGGCCCATTTTCAACGGCAATGTCAGTCCCCATCCTCGTTAGAGGCGCTCACTATATTACTATGCTATGGCCGCTGACCCTGTATTCACTAAATCAGGAGCCTCTATAATCAGGCGCTGCAGATATTCGAGAGTTATCCGTCAGCATATGTACAGGAGATTGCTCGAACGGCCTTCAAGAAGGCATTGCTCTACGAGCTGCTCGGAAACATGACTGAAGCAGCTAGGCTGTCTTCTCGAGCGCGTGTGTTGTACTCGGAGACAGTGTCGGAATACGTCAGTTACGATACAACCCTGACGCTTTCGGACTATGATTCGATCGTCTCAATTTGGGCCAGGTAGTTGTTGCGGATTTAGTCTGCCTCAAAAGTCGCTTCTTGGCAAGATATGGACTCGATGTTCCAGCAGGTGAGTCGGTGGCCGAGACGTGTTCAATTCAAGCAAAGATTGACGTTGTGTCAGGCGGAAAATTTCCAAGGTAACAGCAGCTTTGACAAGGAGCTCCAGAAGCAGATTGCGATGGAGCCCATTAATACCGGAACCAGGATGACGAATAGCCAATACATATCCACCTCGCCGGAGCCCATTTGTTTGATATTCATTCCGAATACGCTCGTCGTGAGCGACAGAGGCAAGAAGAAATAGGCGAGTATGGTCAATCGCGTCATCTTTTCTTGTTTCTCAATGGCCTTTTGTGATTCTGCCAGCATTGCACTATTCATAATCATATTGACTCCCTCGAGACATTGAGTTGCTAAGGTTTGTGCTCGCCTGGACAGATCCTCAAAGTCGAACACCAGAATTTTCCAGGTTTTATCGACCAAGTCCTGTCCGGAAGGCGCGCCAGTGGCCCCAGGTGGGGGACGGGACCAGTCACAGAGCTCGGGCTCGTTCAAGAATGCGATTGTCTGCCTGATTAGCTGGACATGCTCATCCAGGACAGTTTTGCTGTGTTTGAGGTTGTTGACCGCCAAGTCCATTTTACTGCTTAGGAAGCTGAGATTGTATGCGATTTGGCCTTGCATCATGTTCAGAAATTGACACTCCGAGGCAGCTGCAGAGTTGAAAAGGTCGCTAAGGGCGTATTGTGGGTGAGCTGCGGCCTCGGCAGGGTTGAGGGTCGACCCGTATTGAAAGGGCAGAAGGCTGGCATGTTGACTGATCTCTTGGACCGTCATTGACTCTGCCGGTGCGTTGCCGTTTGGTAAGTGCTCGGAGTCACTCCCGGCCAGGGCTCCCTTGGGTCGATGGAGAATGACGGGGTTTGAAGATGGGCTCCCGCCACGACTTAACTCTTGGCTGAGAGAGCTTTCAGAAAGGTCTCGCCCGGCGTCCAACCAAACAAAAGCTTCCAACCAGGCAACTCGTTAGCACGAGTCGAGGTTGGTGTCTCAGGGTGCGTGATTTACCTGTCCAGGAACCGTTTTGTTTTCTTTTCAAGCATATAGAGATATTCTGCTCGAGGGTGAAGATTGCTTCGCTATGAATGGACAGTTTCCTCCCAACAGACTCTCCCAGAACCCCGGTTGCCCCGAGCTGCCGCTGATGTTTTTGGATTTGCTCCAGTTCCCCTCTTCGCGCTTGGTGAAGCTGATCCGCGGTTAGACGTAGCTGACGGGTGAAGATTGTTGTCAACCTCAGCTGAAGAATGCCACGGGTGCTGGACAAGAGAGGTGGCAGATCGTAGAACCCACTAAAGGGGGAGAAATCGAGGTGTCTCCGAAGGTATTCGGGATCGATTCTATACTTTGCACTAAGCGGGAGCATCCAGTCGTGGTGGGAATGGCCTCGAATGAAGACGATCCTCCCAGTGTCAGCCGCCGGTAAAGGGAGCCTTTCGAGGTCTTGCAGGCCTGTGAGTTCGTCGAACATGTATTTTTGTCGCTCCTTGTTTGCGTGTAGCTCGTGCACCACTATATGAACAAAGTGCTGTCTTGGCTCTACTCCAAAGCTCGGCAGCTGCAAGGCCGGCCCAGAACTGAGAAACTTTGCGAGCTGTCGATAGTGAGACCCTGGGTGCAGAAAGCTATCCTGCCTGCGCTCGGAAAAGCTGAAAATGGTTGAAGCATACTGCTCAGGGGTACCTGAAAAAAAGATTAGATCGACGAGCAATTATCCCGTCGAGACTTTCTGCTTAAGGCTCTTGTTACCTGGGATATTGTGGCCTGGAGAGGTCCTTCCCGTGATTTTGCCAAGGTTCACGGCTGAGCCTTTCGTGAAGCCAGTAGGTCTCAACATCGCCAAAATCGTACTGGCTACGCAACGTGGACAGCTGTATTGGCAAAGTTCGACAGTGGTCCATGGGTCTCTCCCCGCCAAACTTGGGTTGCAGTGCGACTTAAATAGCGTGGCCTTCGTACCGCAGGCAAGGCAGATTTCTGAGCGTGAGACGGGCGAGTGAAGAGTCTGCCAATGCGGACAAGGCCCTGGATATGGCACTCAGTGACTTCGTTACTTCCACTGCATGGAGCGGCCATGGGGTCTTGGTCGAATTAGGGACTGGAGGACGGGAACAAAGCACTCACACCGACACTCATTCACACATTCATGCTTGGCTGCATGGGCAGGTGACACTTCCTGCAAATTTGCCCTTCCGAGTGGTCATTAGAAATTCACTCGGACTTGTGTGTTACCTTGCGCCGTTTGTCGGGCGTACTTTGTCCTTCCAGTGCTGGTCTTTTTTGTGGCCTGCAGCAAGCCTCCAGCTGCACTCCTGATGGGATAATACTAGGCGAGTGTGATAGGCTACACTACGTAGGTAATGTAGATTCTGAATGATTGACTGATTGGTTCCCCCCTCCCCCCCCGCCCAAAAGAAAGTGCAGAATCAACGCGTGCGCGCCAGCACACTACATTTGACATCGTGGACCCATCCATCTCTCAGAAAAGGCTGTCCATTCCGACTTTGTTGTTCTCAGCCTAGACGTTTCATGAAATTGTGCACCAGCTCTCCAACATTTCACAGCCTCCATGTCGGGAAAGCGTGTTCTGGTCATTGGTGCGTCATTGGATTTTGAACTAACCAACGCACTGGGAAACCCATACTGACAGTCAGGTGTTTCGTGCAGGCGCGAATCGCGGGATTGGGTTGAACCTGATCAAGGAGTTCGTGAAACGAGGATGGACAACCTACGGAACAGTCCGGCCCCAGACCAGGGACGATCCATCCTGCGACGAGGTACAGCGAACACACACACACCCTCTTCTGTCTGTTTCTGTTTGGTCATTGGATTTCTGGTCGGCGGTATTGCTAATAGCTAACTATCCCTGCGATTCAGCTGCGCGAGACTGGAACCAAGATCTTCGAGTTGGACTACACTGATGACTCGACCATCGCCCAAGCTGCCGAAAAGTACGGCAACGAGCCACTGGACTGCTTGGTCAACTGTGGAGGTCTGCACACCGATGCAAACAGGCTTGTGTTGTCGGAAGTGGCTAACATTCCGCTGTGCAGGAGTGGGACCGCAACCTTTCGCTTGGGATGCCGACGGTCGCGAGCGGCTTTTGGAGATGTTCAACATCATGGCGGCGGTGTGTCTCACAGCGTTAATTGATCGCAGATGTAGCAAGCTGACTCAAATTCCCACCAGGGCCCCTATCTGGCGACAAAGCATTTCATTCCCAAGCTAGAAAAGAGCTCGAAGCCCGTCGTTGCCAATATCTCGTCTGAGTTTGGTTGCATTGCCCGTTAGTAATATCTCGATGCCAAATAGATCTCTACTGACAGCCTGACTTGGTAGCGAACGAGCGCGGCGGATTCTTAGGTTACCGTATGGCCAAGGCAGCACTGAACCAGCAGACCAAGACCATTGCGCAGGCTTTCAAGGACGGCGATAGTAAAATCATCTTCCTCGCACTCGAACCCGGATACCTTGCCACGAGACTCACGGGATGGAAGGGCGAAGACGATATGGAAGCAAGCGTCAAGGGCATGGTCGACATCATACAACGTGCTGAGCACTCTGATACGGGTCTGTTCTATACGTATGCTGGTGAGAAGCTGCAGTACTGATGTAGAGCATGGCGCTCCTCTGGGAGAACGAATGGGAAAACAGCGGCGGTTACCCGCGATATGGTCACTGGTTAATTGGTGGTAGTAAAACATCCCTCTATTAGTGTTATTAGCTTAAGTGACCATCCTGAACTTCAACATTGTGTTCTTGGCAGCAATCTCCTCCTTCTTAGCCTCCAGCTCCTGCACATCCCACGTCGCGCTGATGAACCTGCCGTTCAGCCACTCGGGCCTCGTCGCGGCGAGCCACACCATCACGTCCGCCGGCATCTCGGGCTCGTCGGTCAGGACAGCGTGCATGTACTCGGGCATGTTGGTCGCCAGCTCCGTCTTGATGCCGCCCGGGTGCAGCGCGATGGCTAGGACGCCCTCGTCGCGGTAGTCGCTCTCGACGAACTCGGTCAGGCGGCACGACGCGAACCGGGAGCCCTGGTACGCCGATGCGCCGACGTTGGTGTTGTGCGCGCCCGCGCTCGTCAGGTTGACGACCATCTTGGTGTCGGAGCGTAGCAGCAGCGGCAGCAGGAAGTGCAGGCACAGGAAGCTGCCCTTGATGTTGACCTCCCACGAGCGCCACCACTCGCCGGGGTCCGTCTCGCCCAGGCGTAGCCACGTCTCGAGGTAGCCGGCGTTGTTGACGAGCACGTCCAGGCCGCCGCCAAAAGCCCGCTCCGTGGCCCGCGCGGCGGCGCGCACCGAGTCCTCGGACGTGACGTCGAGGTTGAGGGACAGGACCTGCGGAGCCGGGCGGCCGGCGTCTTCCGCGGCTTTCTTGACCTCTGCCTCGACCTCGGCCAGGCTCGAACGCGCGCCGATGGCGATCTTGGAGCAGCCGGCCATGGCGAAGCGGCGGGCGGTCGTGCGGCCGACGCCCTTGGAGGCACCCGTGATGAAGACCGACTTGCCTGAGAGGTCAGCCTTGCGCGGGTCGATGTAGTCGTAGGTGTCGTGGTGGTTCTTGGTTATGAAGTTGGCCACGGCCATGAAGCCTTTGCGTGAGTCGTCGTCGGCCATTGTGCAAGATATTGTATTTGGGTCTCCGCCTTGAATTGCGTTTACTGTAATGGCCCGGGATCACATTGATATTATCCTCTTTTGAATGAAGACAACACTTGCAAACATGACAAACCTGTGGCTTTTGTAAGATTCTTTACAAGCGTCAAGCGGTAGGCTGATGCCACTTTTCCGGAAATACGAGGGTGTTCGCGAGCCGAGATTCGATGCAATACATCATCAGTCTCGCGCACGGACAAACGGACTAAACGACGGAGCAAATCATCAACTGTGGGCTTAACGACGGAGCAAATCAGCAAATGTGGGCTTTCCCGCACGGCGCTAAGCCCTGTTATCACCGGAACGCCAGGTCACTACTTGTGCCGCGAGAAGGTCTCCCAGGCATACCAGACATAGCAGATGCCAGGGGCCCTATTCCCGTAGCATAACCACCAAGTCCGAGCTGTTTAAGCGCACTACCCGAACTGACCAACGAGCAAGCCCATACTCAAGGTAGGCAAGATTTATCTCTACGCCGGACAGCTTGCAGGCCAAGCGCCGTCCCTCGTTTGACTATTCTGTACGCTGGCAAGGCTAGTAGCTAGAGAAATGAACGTGTTTGCATCGACTGGGCAATCTGATGAATTCTGTTGGTCAGCCCGAAGCTTGTCTAGAGCACATGTACTTGTAACGAGTCGAGGCCGCGTCAGGCTGACCAGAATACCTGCTGGTCTTGGCTTAGCCGGAGGGCTGGCGTGCCCTCGAGACGGGCCCGTCATTCATGGCAGATTTGTCATGTGAGTTGCGACTCAGCAGATATAAAAGGAGGAAAAGAATGAAGACGCAACACGAGCCCAATACTGAAGACAGCACAGCATAACCGACTACCATACAACAATCCCAAACGTCTTTCATAATGTCAGAACAGGTTCTATCTATCAATGGGCGGACACTGGCCTACCGCATCTTCGGCGACCCCGACGGTAGTCTGCCGCTGATATGGTTCCACGGCACCCCGGCCGGCTGCACGCCTCCACCGTCGCTCGTCGCCGCTGCCAAGACATCCGGGGTCCGCATCATCGCGCCCGAGCGTCCGGGGTACGGCGACTCCGCGCGGCGGCCCGGCAGGAAGATCATCGATATGGTTGGCGATGTAGAGGCCTTGAAGACTCATTTGGGCGTGGACAAGTGCCTGATCGCAGGCTGGAGCGGTGGCGGTAAGAATGGACACTGATGAACCGAGAAAGCTGTCGCTGACGATTTCGCGCTCTCAGGACCTCATGCTCTGGCCTGTGGCGCACGATTGCCTGGGGTACTCGCGGTACTGACCATTGCCGGCGTGGGCCCAGCCGACGCAAAAGATCTCGATTTTTTGGCCGGCCAAGGCGAAGACAGTGAGTCCCTTGCTTGAGGCATTTACCTATCCCGCGAGCGTGCGTCATCTAAGTCTCTTTAACCCATCCATTCAGACGTCGTAGAATTCCACGCCGCCATGAAGGGCGAAGACGCACTACGGGAGTTCTGCACCGCGCAGCGAAAGGACATTGTGTCCGGCAGCGTCGCCCGCGCCGTCGCCGCCCTGTCCTCCATCCTCAGCGGGGTGGATCTCGAGGCGAGCAAGGGCGACCTGGGCGTCTACCTCGTCGAGCTGCTGCGCGAGGGCCTGCGCAACGGCATCGAGGGCTGGGTCGACGACGACCTCGAGTTCGTCCTGCCGTGGGGCTTTGAGCTGAGCGAGATCAAGGTGCCTGTGCTGCTGTACCAGGGCAGCGACGACAAGATGGTGCCGTATGCGCACGGCAAGTGGCTCGCGGACCATCTGCCAAAGGAGCACCTGAGGGCGCATCTGATCGAGGGCGAGGGCCATGTCAGCCTGGTGGCCAAGGGAGAGGCGTTGTTATCGGAGCTGATTGAGGCTGCGAAGGCGGCGTCCGGGTAGCTGGTCGCCCTAATTGTTGTTTCCGGTCTGGAGGTGTTATTCTCAGGTACGATCATAGCTTTGAAGACAAATGTAGAGGCAGGCTTTGGTTGTTCCCAGAGCCTCCACAACCTTTTCGTAGACTCAAGCACTTTCTTGTCAATGAAACGAAACGAACTGGAATTTTCCTTCAAGAATAAAACTGCAATCGTCTGGCTCCTTGAGGTAGATGATATCCATCTTGCATTCAGGATATATCAGAGGTACGTGTGTCGCGACGAAAAGGAGGTGGTGAGACACGTCCGCCTGAAGATGATCCCAAGACGGAAGCTCCGACAGAAGAGCTCCCCGCCGGGGTTGCGGGGCCACCTTGCAGGGTCGAAGGACAGCTCATCAGCGTCATCCGCATCGTTCTGGGGTGACAAATCATCCTCGCACATTTCTTGTCATGAATCTTCTTCTGCAGTAGACATTCTGGCCTACCTATTCCTGTGCGAATTGGACATCCAACAATCGATCACCTCAATCCATTGACAATGTCCGCCGTGCAGACTATCATACAGACGGAGTTGGCTGAAGGTCCAGTTACTGTCCTTCCTCCTCTTGTTCAGAATGCGTCGGCACCGCCCACAATCCCCAGTGCAGGGCCGAGAGTCATGCGTGTATTCAATGTCGCGCCTTCGAATACCATCAGCCGTAGCTACCGGTTCTACATTACTGGTCTGATTGTTGCAGCAAACCTAGTCCAGGCATGACTATGACCACATTCTATAATCCCCGTGCCGGTGCCTAGCTAACCAGTGACCACAGTTCATCTCTACCATGGTCACCGTCGGAGCCGGTCTGTTCCTGAGCAAGCAGCTCGGCCGCGACGTCGGTCCAGGCCAGGCCAACTGGATGGCAGCGTCATTTGCGCAAGTCTCCCCCCGTCGCGCGCGCCAGGAACGGGTCCGCTAACGACTTGTCGCTGTTGTAAATCAGCTTAACTCAGGGTGCATTCGTCGTGATGAGCGGCAGACTCGGCGCTGTGTACGGGCACCAGCAGGTGCTCCTGGCCGGCGGCGCCATCTTTGCGCTCTTCACCCTCGTCACCGGCTTCTGCACCACCTACGAGTCCTTCGTCGCCTGCCGCGCCCTGACGGGCGTTGGCGCCGGCCTCTCGATGCCCAACGCCGTGGCCATGGTCACTATCATGCTGCCACCGGGCCGGTCGCGCAATGTCACGGTGGCGTTTTTCGCTGCTGCGGCGCCGATCGGTGGCTGGTTGGGCACCCTCATTGCCGGCTTGTTCATCGAGTTCACTAATTGGAGGTGGATCTTCTACTTCTTGTAAGCAAAATCCCAGTTGGCTACAGGGCCTATGGCTCAACAAACATTTAGGGCCATTTTCAGCGCAGTCGTCTTTACCGTTCTGTACATCTCTCTGCCGCCGGAGGAGCCCGTTGACAGGGCCGGCCGGGTCGACTATGTAGGGTCGTTCCTGGGTGTTAGCGGATTGCTGCTTTTCAACTTCGCATGGAAGTGAGTCGACTCTGGCTCTCCTCGACTTTGCTCAAGACCCATCATACTGACAACTACCAGCCAAGCACCTTCAGTTGGCTGGGCCACTCCATACGAGATCGCCGTTATCATCCTCTCCGTCGTCCTCCTGCTAGCCTTCGCCGCGTGGGAGCACTACTTTGCCAAGGAGCCCATGATGCCCTTGTCCATCTTCCGCGGTCCCACTTTTGCCGCCCTGGTTATCGTCGTGCTCCTCAGCTACATGTCCTTTGGGATCTCGCTGTGGTACATGGTCGCCTGGGGCCAGCTGGTGCGCGGCTGGAGCGTGATGGACCTGTCCGTCAACATGATCCCCTTCGCCATCGGCTCCACGGCCTCGGTCGGCCTGGCCGCCTGGCTCATCCCCCGGGTCGCGGCGCAGTGGATCGTGGGCCTCGGCATCGCGTCGGTGCTGCTGTCCAACCTGCTCCTCGCCACCATGCCGGTGTACCAGACGTACTGGGCCCAGGTGTTCCCCGCCATCGTGATGGGCAGCGTCTGTCCCGACTTTGTCTACGTCGCGGCCCAGGTGATCGCGAGCAACAGCGTCAGCCGCAAGCAGCAGGGCATCGCCGGCAGCCTCATCGGGACGCTCAACCTCTACGGCAACAGTCTCGGGCTCGGCTTCGCCGGCACCATCGAGACGGAGCTTACGCAAGGGGCGAGAGCCGAGGTGCCGGTAGACCAGATCCCGGGCTATCGTGCCGCCCTCTATTTTGGTGTTGCGCTCGCGGTAGTGGCCCTCGTTCTGGACTTTGCGTTTGTGAGGATGCCCAAGGATGAGAGGGAAGGGTGGGAGGGGGCGGATGGTGAGCAGGAAGATGTGGCTGTGGGCAGCACTACAGGCATCCAGCTGCCGAGCCGTGCATGACGTGCCTGCAATGGAAACACCAGAACCGTCACTGAGGTATCATGCCGGAAGGGAGGAAGTGCCAAGGCCTGTTGCGAAGATTGGTTGACTAGATTGATCTAACAAAAGCCATTCCATGGGGTTTACATGTATATGCTTAGAATAATTTTGATGATCACCGAGATGGACCAAATAACTTCCAGCCCCAACGATCACGATCCATCCTTTATACCTCGCGCTGCTCAATTTGGACAGACTTCTCTTTGGTCAAATTGCCCTCAGTTGGAATGATCTCTCCGTGCTTGAAGTGGCTGAACTTGCGTACAGGCACATCTGCGTTGAAAAGGTAATCGATCTCCTCGAGAGAGAAACCCTGTAGGAGAGATATATTAGACCCTGCTCAAAGTCCCAAAAGACAAGTCTCAAAGAGCTCACCTTGCACTCCGGCAAACAAAGCCAGGTGAACAGAATCGCAAGCGCGGCAAAGCTGCCGAAGATGAATCCCACCTTGGAGCCCAGTGCGGCATAAGGCTCATAGAGGAGGTAGGGAATGCTGAAGTTGACGGCGAAGAGAATGATAATCTGCACTACGTTGCCAGTCGCGTAGGTCACGTCGCGCAGGCGGTTGGTGGGCAGCTCTGCGGCAACTACGTGGGACACGGGCGCCCAGCCGAGGCAGAACCCGGCTCCGAATATGGTCGTCATGGCCGTGATGCCGATCTTCATGCTCTTTGTCGGGCTGGCGGGCGTGCCTAGGCCTCCCATGGCCATCAGGGATCCAAACTGGAGGAAGGCGCCGACATTCAAGAGAGCCCTGTCCGATGTGTTAGGAAAGCTGCAGTGCCTCGGAAGGAATCTGGGATGGTCTACTCACTTGCGCCCGGAGATATCAGTCAAATACATGCATGCAAGAATCGTAAACAGGTTGATCAGTTGATTGACCGTCTTCATAACGAACGGGTCGATGGCGCCAATGTCTTTGACGAAGATTGCTCCGTACTGGGATGAGAATGCTTGGCCAGTTGCCTGTACGTAGTATCGATCATTAGCCCTCGGGTCCAATGCTGCTTGATGTGGCATCAGAGCGTGGCAACATGGTTCGGAAGAGGTGCGTACCTGGAGGAAGAAATTGACACCAATTGTCATCAAGGTACGCGATCTGTTCTTGCCCTGCCAAATCTCCTTGAAAGACCCCTTCTCGACTGACACTTCGAGGCCAGCCTGGAGAGCTGCAAACTCTTCGTCAATCTGCTGTTCGGTGAACTTGCCCCGCCGTATCATTGCAAGGTTCTCTCGGGCCTCGGTCGTGCGGCCTTTGATCAATAGCCATCGAGGAGACTGAAATTGCGATTCGCAATTAGCAAGCCATCAACGCATATAGAGTATAAAGAGAGTACTCCTTTTCCATACCTCAGGGATGTAGAATGTACCAACGAAAACAATGGTGGGCACGATGAAGAAAAGTCCATAAGGGATGCGCCAAGCATTATCCCCCTTTATCTTGCTGGTTCCAAGGCAGACGCACGACATGATCAAAGCGCCCATCTACACAAAAAGTCAGTACTCTTAAGCATAGGCCAAGGAACCGCGGTCGTGCAACTAACCATGAGACCTAGCTGGTAGGTACCAACCACAAACCCTCTGACGTTGGACGGCACGAACTCCGCCTGCGCGACCGGGATGGTGGCGAGCTCCATGCCGATGTAGAGGAAGTTGATCACGCGGGCGACGAGGACCTGCTCCCTGTGCTGCGCGGTGACGGCCAGGATGGCCGCCACCCACGCCCAGACGCACATGACCCAGAAGGACATGCGGCGGCCCCATTGGCGGCAGATGTAGCTGCCGAACGCGACGCCGATGACCTGCCCGACGGTCGGCAGGCTGTTGAGCAGCGAGAGGAAGTAGGGCTCGATGACCTTGCGCTTGCGGGCCGGGCTGTAGACGCCAAACTTGTTCTCAAAGGGCGTCATGGCCTGCGTGGTGCTGTAGGCGATCTGGTCGAGGCCGTAGTTGATCTGCGACAGCATCATGAGCGAGCAGCAGAAGAGTAGGCGCCCGTTGAAGGCGCCCGAGAGATGGGTCTTTTGGAAGATGCCGCCCATGGTGAAGACTGGACGCGAGGCTCTGGGTGTGATTCTGGTTCCCTTGACAGGCTCGGAGGACCCTGAATATCACACAGAAATCGCCTCAACTACTTATACATCGAGATGACTTCCAAGCGGTTAACTTTCGGGTTCCAGGCCTCGGACAACGGGGTGGGTCAAAAGGTTTTTGTCTGCTTCCCGGGGCTCCTCCCGGGGCTCCTCAAAACGCTAATGAGAAATGGCCTTCCCCAGATGGCGCGACAGTCGAGACAGAAATGGTGAACATTAGATGGCCTCCCCGGAATGAAAAATTTGGAGAGCGCGAAGCGGGTAATGAGAGCGCGCCCCATGTGGCTAGACCGTGGCGAACATCAATCTTCATGCTGGACATGGCTTTGCCAAGGCTGCCAAACTCTCGCCATCAGCGGGTCTACGGCTCTCGTACGGAGGTCGGGCTGCTCCAACCAAGACTAAGTCAAACTTTGAGTCGGACATCGGTCAGAGTACCGAAAGCCGACTGCCTCAACATTGGCTGCTGTGCCGCAATGTTGCTCTCTACGGTTAGACACTCATCCCTTGAATTGGCGTCCAATGATGCATTAACCGCCCAGGAATGCCAGAAGATCTCGCGTCCTGCAGGCTTCCTCCCGTTTAGCAGGATATAGATATTGTCATAGCACTAACCTAGGAAGATTGAAAATATATGCTTTTGTTATTAGGATTATGTTTCCAAGAGAAATGTTGAGATGAGCACTGAGTGGTTTGCGGCCAAATGTTGTCTTTCCTTTCTGATTTGTATTTTGTTTTCCTTCGTGCAGATGGAGCTAATCAACGCCAACAGAAAGCAGAAAGGAGAAAGTAAATGAAGAGTAAAGGGAAACAAGTCACCTCGCTGCCTATGAGCATTGGCAGTCAAGAGCCAAAGCTGGACTCCAGTGTTGCTCACCCGAATCTCCCACTCTTCCTGGCCCATCAAAGACCTACAAGCGTATGTCATAGGCTCTCACAGACTGAAATCAGGATCTTGGTTGAGCCAGCATACATTAACCCAGATCATTTACAGAGCCTCTACAAATCAATCTCAATCTAGATGGTTGCCGCTGCAACCTTGTTGATCCAAGCCAGGTACTATGGGCGATATTAGGAAACCAGTTCAAAGACGCGAAGCATAGAGACATACCTCAGCCCTCGCCCAGAGCACGACCTTATAGCCGGGCTTGAGCAACTTGAGAAATCCCTCACCGCTGCCTACCGCCCTCTCATCCTCGACCTCCGTCGCTACGCCCATCGTCCACTCAACCCTGTAGTTCCGAAAGGTTGCACATGCCGTCAGATTGTTGCACACCTTCCACGTGAGACGTCCGTTCTCCCCCTCGACAAAATCCCACCCGTTGGACCTCAAATCATCCCTTGCATGGGAGACATCCCACCACGTGTTGTCCTCGTCGAAAACCTCTTCAAGCACAGTGTCAGCCTCGATTGGGTGGCCACCTGAGCCGGCCCAGGGCTTAAGGATGCTGGCCTCGAACCAGGTGTGGCTGTTTCCAAAGGTGCCCTCCCCGCCGAAACTCGCAAAGCCCTGGTCTGCTGCTCTCGTCTGAAACACGATGCGCCGCGGGGTGGTTATCCTGAGCCCAGTGGGTATGCGTTGACTGCTGAGGTACAGAGCGGCAATGCCATATCCGCCTTCAGTCTCGTCATATTCTGTCGTGTACTCCTCCTCCTCGTCGCGGCGCTTTTGAAGGCAAAGATTAGAACCAAAGGACACGGCTCTCATCGCGAGCTCTCGAGGGAGAAGACGTTCCAAGATGACGCGTACGGTTATGGCGGATAGGACTGGGGTGGAAGGGTTGGTAATACGGGAGCAGGTTCTGGGTAGTCTGGGCCATATTAGTAGAAAAGCGCAGGAACATGACCAGTCAAAGATGCGAGAGTGAAAGGTATCAAGTCAGGGAGAAAATTCTTTGAGGTGCGTGAAAGCTGTCGTTCAAAATCTGTTAGATCTCAGTGAGTCACACAGATCAGGTTGGACGGGAACATGATCAAGCAGCCAACTGCCTCAGCTTATTGAGGTCGGGCAGGGTTGTGCACGCGAATGCTCACCTAACAGCCAGTCATGTAGGCAGAATGGGTATGACAGCATGAACAGGAGGAGCAAGGGATCCCAAGACGACCTCGAAGCAGCCCCTCTCGCCCCTGTAGCTGTGAGGCGGGTTAACACTGTCTTTAAGCAATCGATTAATGGAGCATCAGGCTCGTAATACCTTTTGGCGCTTTCTATAGAGCGACCTGGAACAGCAGCAGAGCCCGCAATCTCCTATGGAAATGACGTCGGAGAACCGGCGGCTGAGTAGCTTGACGCCGCGAGGTAGGTTTCGGGGCTACCACCTGGGGATTGAACCTCTGCAGCCCATACATAATAGTAATTACCGGATCAGAAGCTCCCCTATTGTAAGTGAAACCTCACTGCTTCACATTAATATTCGTTGCCCAAGGGTTTAGCTATATCAACTTCTGTGGCATCTCCTGAATCGCTGGAATAGAACCAACCTAAGCTAAAGTACTTGCTTTGACAAGGCCAATCTATTAATTCAGCAGCATAGGCATTGGGAAATATCTATACTTGAGAATTTCCAACATCTCTACGTTTGATTACTGCAGGTTCGTCTTATTCCAGTGCTCAACAACGTGAGCAATTGTTGAAACGACCTTGTCCATAGTTAATAGAGCCAGTACTAATACTCAACTTAGTGACACACAGCCCAATGCTGACTAACATTACTCATACAAGTTGTACTGGTAAACCAACGTAAATTGTGGCCAGCAGAAGAGAGTTTTCGAAGACTACGGGAATACGTAATGAGCGGTACAAGCTCTGGACACTTGAGCCAGCACATGCAGCATTTGCCCTTCTTCCAGATCCACATCCCTAGGTCTAGCTGCATCATCGTGCATTCCCCGGTCTGTTCTCGTCTTGGCAAGTGTGGGTGAAGACTGAAGAGATCCCCATGCAGGCCGAAGGCAGTGGGTGTGGAGGGGAGCCGACGACTAGCCGGCCGATCTCCGTAAAGCAGTTCCTAAGTCCGCGTCTGGCCCGCTGACAACAAGGGTCTCCGCGTTCTCCACACATGTCAACCCAGACTAATGGGATGATCAATGTAACATTATTCCCGACGTACTGAAACAGCGTGATGGATGCCGAGTTGACAAATCGGGCAGTCCCTAACTCCGTCGACCAATCACACTGGCTTCGGTGATATAATGAAGAGGTATCACCGAGACGAACGCGTTACAGGCCAGAGAACGACCGTTGCTGGTGCGGTACACTATCCAATATTCGTTCCGTTCGGTTTCTACTAGTCCTGCAAAGGAAATCTTGACATGGCGTCCTACTTGTCCCAGGTTGGTTGCTCCCTGCGTGTATTTAAGTTCAATGTCACGTATTGATACTCTCATGTGAACAGCTGAAGGACAAGTCTCTCTTCATTGAGCAATGTTTGGTCAATGGCAGATGGATACACGCGAAGTCTGGAAGAACCTTCAAAGTTGAGAGTAAGACTGCCAAGCTTAATGTCCTGAACACGACTGCTGACCAGTGTCGTCAGACCCAGCGACCGGCGAGGCAATTGGCGAGTGTCCCGAGTTCTCAAAAGATGACACGGAAGCGGCCATAAATGCTGCGGCCCAGGCGTTCAACTCCTTTCGGAAAGTCACAGCTCGAGGTCGGGCCAAGCTCCTTCGAGGATGGTATAATCTTATGCTCGAGAATGCAGACGACCTCAGCTTGTTGGTGACATTAGAGAACGGCAAGGTCTTGGCAGAGGCCAAGGGCGAAGTTGCCTATGCCGCAAGCTTTCTCGAGTGGTTCAGTGAAGAGGCTCCCAGAACTTACGGTGATACAATACCTGCGACCAATGCTGGAAACCAGGTGATTACGATTAAGGAGCCAGTGGGAGTTTGTGCTCTTATTACACCGTTTGTACCTCCCTGACTCCTTGCATGCGGCGTCAGGTCTGATAGCTAAAACAGATGGAACTTTCCGGCCGCCATGATCACAAGGTAAGATCCTACCCCTTTGGAAATTTACCACCAAGAACACCAGCTCAAGTCCCTTATAGGAAGGCCGGCGCTGCCCTAGCAGCAGGCTGCACAGTAGTCATCAAGTCACCAGCCGAAACGCCTTTCACAGCAAACGCTCTCGTCGAGCTCGCACACCGTGCCGGCGTCCCCAAGGGCGTCATCAACGTCATCACCACAGACAGGAACATCGTCGAGGTCGGACGTACACTCACCATGTCGCCCCTCGTGAAAAAGGTGTCCTTCACGGGCTCGACCAATGTCGGGAAGCTCTTGATGCGCCAGTGCGCCGAAACGACACTGAAGAAGATCTCGCTCGAGCTGGGTGGCAACGCGCCCTTCATCGTCTTTGACGACGCCGACATCGAAGCCGCTGTGCAGGGCGCCCTGGTCAGCAAGTTCCGGTCGTCGGGTCAGACCTGCGTCTGCGCCAACCGCATCTTTGTCCAGGATGCAGTATACGACAAGTTTGCCAACAAGCTCGCGGCGCACGTCCGAGATAATTTTGTCGTCGGGGACAGCCTCAAGTCGGCAAATGTCACGCACGGCCCCCTGATCCACGACCGGGCGGTCCAAAAGGTCCATGAGCACGTCATTGACGCCGTTTCCAAGGGAGCTAAGATCCTGGTTGGTGGGCGTAAAGTGCCCGAGCTTGGACCCAACTTCTTCCAGCCGACTGTCCTTGCCGGTATGACGTGTGAGATGAAGCTTGCAAGCGAGGAGACCTTTGGCCCCGTGGCGGGCCTGTTCCGCTTCAAGACGGAGCAGGAGGTGGTCAAATTGGCCAATAGCACCGACATGGGCCTGGCGGCATACTTCTTTACCAAGGACAATCAGAGGGCATGGCGCGTGGCCAAGGCGTTGGAGGTCGGCATGGTTGGGCTTAACACTGGCTTGATCAGCGATTCTGCTGCACCGTAAGTTCGTCCTCGAGCCATCACAATCCACTTTCTTAGATTGTCTGTAACTCACATGTTGGCACAGATTTGGAGGAATTAAGTCCAGTGGATTCGGACGTGAGGGAAGCAAGTACGGAATAGAAGAGTATATGACGGTCAAGATGATCACTGTGGGTGGCATAGAAACGCCCCTGCACAGTAGGCTCTAAGAGAGAGTGTAGATCAAATATGTCTCACTGGGATTGAACTGCATTGTCTAATAGTTCTACTATGGCGTCACCAGTGCAATATAGCACAAACGAGATGAAGACCTATGTTATGTGACAGAACTTGTGTTGTACGTTGAGTCTCGGGAAAATAGCATAGTATTCGATCCGTAACTTGACAACAAAGCTGAGATGAGAAGAAGAAGCTCTGAAGGATGCTAACATAGAAGGGTGAGGAAGATACCATTGTTTGATGGAAAAAAGTCAGCCTCGAAGAGAAGTCATATATTCAAAACATTGGCTCTCCTTGAGTTCAGCAATATTTCCCTGTATTAGATTCTTCCTGGTACCCTGTTCTGAACTTCCTATCAGCATAGTTGGGCCGCCTGTTGGCCCATGAAAACCTCTAAGCCCATGACATCCAAAAGTTAAATAGTGTACATGAACCTAGGGCTTCGGTCTCCAAGCGCCTCTACCTCGGCATCAGACTTGCCGCTAATCAGATGGTCTTCCTTGCCTGCAAGCCGGCGCTTGTTGACATGCCTATAATGCAGCGAGAGGCCACCATAAATGAACACAGCAAGGCTCAAGAGGCCGATCATCACAGAATATCCCATAATGTATCGAGGAGCATCAGAGGTCGGGTAGAGCTGAAAGTCAAGCCGTTAGTCGAAATGATTTGAAACTCATAAACACACGACCAAGGAATTAGCCACTTACAAATGGCGCAAGAATGCCAGAGCAGTTGCACACGCAGATCTGGATTCCAGAAGCTGTTGTTCGCTTACCATATCGCGGATTGTTCGAGGGAAGCCAAGCGAGCGGGATGCCCACAGCGACGAAGAGCCCAAAGGCAATCAGGAAGGTGGCAAAATAATGAACCGGGGCAGACACTGAAGCCATTGAAATGCCATAGCCGACAATGCAAATGACAAGAGATGAGACCTGATAAAAGCCTCTGTTCTGGTGGGAGTCGGAGAACTTGGCCACAACCAAGTAGCTGATGGCACCCAGCGCATAGCAAGGTACGGTGAGAGCCTGCGCCTGAGGAGACGTCCATTGTCCAAGGCCTATTGATGTTATGATCAGACACAGTTCTTATTGACAGGTCAGATAACGCCGGCCACTCACCCTTGATGATGGTAGGAAGAAAGATGGAGTAACTGTAGAGCATCGCATTGACAGTGAACTGGCCGGCAGCAAATGCCCAAGTCTTCCAGTCCTTGGCAGCCAGAATGGCATCTTCCTTGTTGAACTCTTCATGGAATCCCGTCTGTCGTTGCAATCGAGCCCGGCAGAGACTCCTCTCTTCTGGTGTCAGATACCAAGCCGTTCCGGGCTCGTCAGCAAGCAGGTAGTAGATGGCCACGCCGAAAAGAACGGTTGGGGCACCTGGATCATGGCAGTTAGGCTTTGAGGCGAATAAATTCAAGGAGTACTGGCGTTTACCTTCGATGATAAAGACCCAGCGCCACCCAGACTGGCCGGCAACACCGTCCATGAAGCCGATTCCATAGGCGAGCAGGCCACCGCAAGCACCAGCTAGAGCGGAGCTAACAAAGAGGTAACCAATACGAAGAGCAAGCTCCTTCTTGGTGTAGAAGAGGGTAAGGTAGACGGTCAGGCCAGGAAGAAGACCTCCCTCGAGCAAGCCGAGAAGTAGACGGCAAGCAATAAGGCCGGCGTAGTTTTGAACTACGCCGGTCAGGGTCGAGACGATGCCCCACAGGACCGTTATCAAAGCCAACCACTTGGAAGGGGTAAACTTCTTTAGGACAAGGTTGGACGGGACTTCGATCAAGACGTAAGGGACAAACATGATGGCAACAGCGATCTGGTACATATTTCCGTGGAGGCCGAGATCTCTTTCGAGGCCGAACAAGCGGGCATTTCCAATGTTTGTTCGATCAAGGAAACAAAGGAGGTAGGCGATCATGACCATGGGGACAGTATGCCTGTCAATCTTCTTCACCAATTTGGCCTCGGCCTGATGGTCGATCGCCTCGATGGGCTCGACGACGCCGGCGGAGGCCCTCTCGTCAACGTCGTGCTCTGTCTTGGTGAAGGACATGCTTGCTGCTCTGGTGAAGTTCCAGCTAAGGGACCAGAAATGCGGGTGAAGTTTCTGACTGGCGGCTGCGGAGGGTACTCCTGAGTCCTGAATGGATGTTGATGGTCTTGTCGATCCAGGTTCAGAGCGTAAAGTTGGATCCGGAAGCCTATGGGGGTTGAAGGGCTGGTGCATGGCCACGACAGGGACCCTCCTTCGTTCTTATGTCTCTCGACGCCAGGCGAGCAACCTCTAGCGTCACTGCGTCGAGCCGATGGTGCTTCGGAAGCACCGCATCTGGACTCGGACTCCTTGTACACCCAATGGGGGCTGGTTATGGGTTCTGGGGAAGAGCAGGATAAGGACAGGAACTGATTACTCACATTGAGCCCGGTTTGTGAACCACGAAGACCCCGTGGGGAGCCCGGGTGGACCCTTCGCGCGTTATCGGGCTATCGGGCGTGTTGCCGTCGGTCGACGGCATTCCCAAGGGCCCACTCAGTCATTTCTGATATTACCACGATGCTTCAGGCCAAGACTACTAAGCCGACTAGCGTCTTTACAACACTGGGTGCAGCTAAGCAAGGACGAGGAAAGGCATAGGTAGAATGACTTGGACTGATGGTATGCGTTTGCTGGAAAACCCACACGCATCATCTTACCACCAACGGATACCAGTCTGATTCTCTCCCTCCCGATCTTCCCGGAGACAACACGCAAGCGGCGGAAGAGGTTGCTAAGAACTGCGATGGTTCAGAAGAAGAGCAAAGCCGATGTGATTAGGTTCCTGGACCGGGTTCTGCACTGTCAGCCACGAGCTACCGACATAGAGATCGGCTCACGATAATCGGTTTACTTCCGCAAGATTACGGGTACCGAGGTTTAGAAAAAAGTTCCATCAATAAGCTGATTTAGGGACAGATGATAGTGGTATTATACCTAAAATCGCTGAATTGGCAAAACTAGGTCTACATATATCCGGACTAGCAAACAGATCTATACGTCTTACAATTTAGACGGAGCGCTACGACCCTTGGGCAGGAACCAGTCCACATACTTCTCCTGCAGCGTTCTAGTCACGCCAGTCTCCGGGTGGAACGGCTCCCGGCCTCCATGTACATATTTCTCCAGAGCAGTCTCGGCGTGCTGCTCCGCATCGTACCCGTAAACCTCCAAGACGGTTTGCGGGTCGCCGTATAGGTTGCTACTCCGGACGTAGTATTTGCCCTCCAACTCGGGAGCCATGGCGGCATCCCTTGCCCTCTGCGCAGGGCCGTCCGGCAGGTGCCAGATGGCGCCATTCAGGAAGGACACTTGCTGCTTAGCGTACGCCTTGGGCATGCGCTCCTCTTCGTAGACCTTGACCGCCTCGTCCATACGGAGCTCGCCCTTAACCACCCTGGCGACGCACCTGGCCAGGAACGCGCCATCCTCCATGGAGGTAGCGGCACCCTGAGCCATGTGGTTGACCATGGAGTGAGCCGCGTCTCCCATCAGAACGACGTTCTTCCGGGGCGATGACCAGGACTTCATGGGCCCAGTCACCATTAGGGGCCAGCGGGACTATTTGAGGAAATATGTCAGTAAGAATCAGGACCCGTCAGCCGCGAAATAGTTGACTTACGGTCTTGTCGATCATGTCTACGATCCTCTTGATGCGAGGGTCAAAGTCCTTGTACTCATTCCAGAGCTCCTCAATGGGGACATCCTGCTCTGTAGCACGCACTTTCTCGGGACGGTGGTGTGAGAGCACCAGGTTGAACATCTTGCCTGCACTAATGGGGTAGGTGATGATGTAGGCGTTCTCAGCCATCCATACCTCCATCGTCAGCTTCTCAATGAGCTCCTTCGCAATGGGATCCTTGCGGATCTGCTCGTAAGGCACCAGTGCGCGGTATGCGCAGTTGGTAGTCGGAGGCTCTGGGGCGACCTCAGGGAAGAGCGTTTTCCTCGTGATGCTGTTGATACCGTCGGCGCCGATTACAAGGTCGAAAGAGTACTTGTCACCCTTGTAGGTCTCGACGACGGCCTTTTGCGAGGACTGGTACTCGACACGCGTGACGGCAGCATCGATAATGATTTTGGCACCAAGCTTCCTGGCGACCTCGGCCAGACCCTCGTGCAGGTGGGCGCGGTGAACAACCCACCACGGGCGGCCAAGGTTCTCCTCCAGCGTCGCGATCTTGGTGAAGCCTACCCGGGTGCCGTCCTTGCGGCGCATGTTCAGCTCCTCGAACTGGACGAGGTTGTCGCCAATAACCTTGTCCACGCCCCATCGCTGGAGCAGGATAGAGACATTGGGCGTCATCTGAATACCTGCGCCAATCTATGGATCATTCAATAAGCACATGACTAAATATAATGTCTGAAACCCCTGGTATTTAGTGGCTTACCTCCCCAAGCTGCTGGGCGGATTCTAGCACAGTGACTTCAGCACCAGCCCTTCGCAGAGCAATTGCGGCAGCAAGTCCGCCAATGCCTGCACCTACGATACCTGTGCTAATGCCCTATCCTTATGTCAGTATGAGTGCTACAGTGGTCGGAGGTGAATTAGTCTGCTTACCATGGTATTGACTGAGAGAGGTTTGATGTTTGAGAAAGAAGACGAGGCACGAGGATAAGATGCCTTGGCAATAGAGGCCGATGAGCTGTCAGTCAACATCTAAACTATCAAGAATATTCTTTCTTGTTATATAGATGAGGTAACACAATTTCGAGATCACCCATGAGAGAAAGCGTGTTGCGAGTGGTTCACCTTGCCGGGGAGTTAGGAAAGGTGCAATGTGGGCCTGGCGGACTCGGATCGAGTCGAAGATGATCACCAAGCCGCCACTTCTGCTGTTAGCTACTTTAGGGGAGGAGTACTTAATATGGGGTAGGATTTGGATGGCATGATCGACTCTACACAATTTTGCTCGCCCGTACGGTTGCCCATTATTGCTCGAAGACCGCTTGCTTATTTCACATCGTTGACATCAAGTGCTCTGGCATGACAACCATCCATCCATCCACCTGGCTAGAGAAAGACCAAAGACAATCATGGCAGACTCTATGAAGACACTCCAAGTTCCTCACTTGGGAGGCATCGACGTCGGCTACCGGTTGTCGAGCTCTTCAGTAGACAAGGCCAAGCCTACGCTTGTCCTCTTCAACCCCTTCACTGCCACCGCGGACTATTATCTGCCAGAGTTCAAGAACACCGCCCTCAGAAATGCTGCAAACCTGCTAGCCATCGAGCCTATGGGCCATGGACGCACTCGAGCCAAGAAGACTGAGTCATTCACCTACTGGGATACAGCAATCATGAGTCTCCAGCTTCTAGATGCCCTTGGAATCGATCGATTCTTTGCTCTCGGAACATCTCAAGGGGGGTTCATTGCGGTCAGGCTCGCATTAATCGCACCAGAGAGGGTATGTGCTCGATGAATCTGACTCTCTCTTCATTTCATCACTCTAACGCCGAGATAAGGTGAAGGGTGTGATCCCCATTGGCTCATCTATGGACTCAGAGTCTCCCAGGAGTCGTGAGCTCGGCTGCTGGGACGGACCAGGTGCCTGTTCTGGCCTCGTGACCCTCGGCGGTAACCTCGCCCCTGCGCCCGACTTTGAGCCCGGCGACGCGTACTATGACTTCCTGATGGAGATTGGTTTTGGGAAGCACATTGACAAGGCCACCAGAGACTTCTGGGCCGAGACCATCCGGGACAACTACAACGGCGACGAAGGCAAGCGCCGGATCTGCATGGCTGCTGTGACTCTTGCGGGTCGGGATGGACTGCACGAGCGCCTGCCGTACATCCGATGCCCGGTTCTGTGGTTCCAGGTAAGTCCTCAAAAGAAATTGTCACGAATCTTGAGGTCAGCTGTTGATTTGTCATCACAGGGGACGGACGATGTGGTGTTCAGCGTCGCGGAGGCTGAGCAGGACATCAAACTCTTCACAAACTCCGAAGAGGCAAGGTTGGTCAAGTGTGAGGGTGGAGTACACTTCCTGAGCCGCACACACGGAGACAAGATTCATAAGGAGCTGATCGATTTCATCACAAAATGGAAAGCCAATGGTAAGTCGCTTCTCTAAATGCGAGCATCGCATTAGCAAGGGCTCACTCCAAAGGGGCATGCAGAGTAGATGAGTAGCCCGTCAATAACCTCGGACTAGCTAAAGGAGGTCAATAATTTGTCAGACGATATCTTCTAGCATTGATGCATATGGGATGTGCAGATGTAGCTTACTCCTTAGAGTGATCAAAAATGCCAGTTCAAACACAAAATCATTGCCCGGGCATTCCGGTCCACGCCTACTCGCTCATCCACAGAAACTATTCCCTAACTCCCCCCGATTCGAAACAAAGAGGCCGTGCAGATGGTAGGGATTTGGCCCATCTAGTGGAGAGGACGTGGCGTCGATTTCAAAGACCTCCCTCTCTCGGTACTCGAGGGCTACAGTCCCCAGAGCGGTGCACTTTTGGTTATTCCCTATTTCCGCCGCCATACGGGTCTTAGGGTGCGTTTTGAGGAAGTCTAGCGTCGTCAACCCCGCGAACCGCGTAGCTTTCTCCGCTGCCAAGGGCTGACCGCCAGGGCTGGTGCCAGAAACTTGAAGATAGCTTCGAGCTAGACCGGCGAGTTGGTGTGGTTATCCCCGCTACGACGTGGAACCCATGTGCTCCATACCAAGTTCCCGGGTCTCCGCAGAGACAGGGAGGACGAGACTAGACCCGGGGATGAGCAATATATGTTGTCCCTGTCTCCCCGATGGCAATGGCTTGCCGACGCGGTTCGAAACCCGCCTCCTCTTATCTTCGGCACGGGCACAGATCTCTGTGATCACACGAGCATGATATGCCTGCCGAAATGTCAGTCCAGATGGGTACCTCGGACCAAGAACCTGACGCACAGTCCAGCAACGGCTCGGCCTCCGGGTACCGGAGACATGGCCAGGACGGCCTGAACCGACCAAACAAGAGGCGAAGGGTTGCATTGGCCTGCAGCAACTGCCGCCACCGCAAGTCCCGCGTAAGTACTGCTACCTGGCATAGAATGCAACCCAATGGTTCTAGACTGATGCGAATCCCCCGCGTTTGCAACAGTGTGACGGGAGGCGCCCTAGGTGCTCTCTGTGTATCGAATTGGGCTGTGAATGTGTTTACGAGCAAGCCGGCGTGACCACAAACTTGACGGTAGGAAGAAGGTATGTCCATATGGTCTCTCTTGTCCGCATTATATTGCTTGATGTCTAATCCTCGCGTTAGCTACCTTGATCGCCTGGAGAAGCGGTTACAAGACATCGAGTCGAGCCTGGCCAGAGTTCATCAAACTCAAGGGGCGACCGTCGTTGATGTTTCCACGCCGCCTCAAGATGGCCACAATGTGCGCCCAAGACACGGGAGTGTCAGCTCACGGGCTTCAAATTCCATGGTCTATCCCAATGTCGTGGGCATTGGAGAGGCTGAGGGTGAGCTTGACACTGCCGAGGACTCAATCGATGGCATGGGAGCGATCAAATTTACGGACGAGGAAGACTGGGGCTACTTTGGTGAGTCAAAGATATCGGACAACGCCTCAAGCCAAAACAGCTAACCTCTCTTCAGGCCCATCATCCAACATAGCATTTCTCCGCCACATATCTCTAGCCATGGCCCGAATGGGGGATCTCAGCCAGTCGATGCCCTCGCCATCAAATCGGGCACGAGATGTGGCAGGAGGTATGAGTGTGTCCCGGCCACACCCAGTAGAAGACGACACAAACGCAGGACGGTTTGGTCGCCTTCACGGCGGCGTCAACATCTACGCGCTGCCTTCAGAGGCGCGGACTTGGAGCCTCATTAAAGAGTATTTTCAAAAGACCGGACAACTGCTACCGTTCGTTCATGAGGAGACATTCTGCGCGACATTCTTTAAGATGAAGCGGAGCAATTTTACAATGGCTCGTAGGACCTGGCTTGGTCTTCTGAACATTATTCTGGCCATGGCCACGACTCTCCATGTCGATCGCACAATATCGTCGGAGAAGAGAATTGAAGAGTCTGATGTCTATTACCAAAGAGCTATTGGGCTTTGCGACAAGGAATCCCGGCGAAACATCAGTCTCGAGCTAGGTCAGTACAAGTGCATCCTTCTATATATTTTCCTCCTTACTCTCATTCTGAGAATTCAGGCTTACGGTTATTCTAGTTCAATACCTGGTTATCTTGGGCCAGTATCTCCAAGGCACACAAAAGTCAGTCCAAGCGTGGACGGTACATGGGCTGGCCATCACAACGGCGTTGCAGCTCGGCCTGCAGTCTCCCAAGACGAATAATAGATTCCCACCCCTAGAATGCGAGATCCGGAAACGCGTCTGGTTTGGGTGCATTCTCCTTGACCGGTAGGTAACGATCCTGTATTGTTTCACGGTGTTCTTTCTGTCACGCTGACTTATTTCCTCTTCAAAGGACGTTGAGCATGACTTTCGGCCGACCGTCAATGATCCATGAGAGCTACATCAAACTTGACATGCCCATCATCAACCTTCAAGTCGTTGGATCAACACCACAGCCCGACCCGGTGCCACAGATGGACGGAATGTACTACACCGCTACCCTGTAAGAGCCAAACCAATTTTTCCATTCTATGAGCCTCTCTACTGACCTATGCAGCAAATTATACAACATAATGTACCGCATCATCGACACTTGCTACGGACAGAACCTGGGACTCGAGGAATGCCGAACAGACTCGGAGCTCATCTCCATCGTCCTAAGAGTAGAAGAGGAGCTCGACGAGTGGAAGTGCCAGCTCGCTCCACTTCAGATGCGCGTTGTCGAGATGCGTCTGAGCCTCGAGGAGCTCGAGGCTATTGATGTCAACAACAAGATCACGGAACGTTTTTTCATCGTCTTGTCTCTACGATACCACAATCTGCAGATCTTGTTGCACCGGCCGATCCTGGAAAAGTTCCTCGAAGGATGCGGACGCTCTGCCTCTCTTAGAAGCAGCAGCAGCGAGAAGAGAAAGGTGCAGGGTTTGGGTATCGGCAGCGTGGAGACTTGCGTCAACTCGGCCATCGCTATCATCTCGATTGTCCACACAATTGTAACTTCGGACGGGTGGTATCGCGATCTGCTCGGCGCGTGGAACTTCTCGCTCTTCTACAGTGAGCCTTCTTCCGCCTAGTAAGCATGGTCACAGCTAACATGTCAAAGCTTTCAACGCAGGCTTGGTCATCTTTGCTGCCACGCATGTAGCCCGGAACGAAGTCCAGGGCGATCCTAGTCAGCTCTCGCGCTGGAACTTCGTCGAGACAGCAGTCCCGTCGTTCTTCATGGCCATTGAGGCGCTCCAGAATCTCGACCGAGGAAACCGAGTGGTTGAGCGGTGTGTCAACTACCTTTCCCAGCTCACCTTAGTACCAATTACACGTAGGTGTTGGCTACTTCCCGATAATCAGCCATTTCTATGCTGATTAGTCTATACGATAGCTTCCTTGGACGACCCAATAGCACATGGGCAACAGCTGATTCGTAGCATAAACCCTCTCGCGACGTCAAACGCTCTGCATTCGGTCGTGACGCCGAGGCAGGCGCCTATCGAGATTGACCTCAACGAGTTCATGCTGGACACGGATCTGGACGTTCTGAATATGTCTTGGATCAGCTAGGTAGGGGCGGGTGCGCTAGACCAGGAGTCTCCGACGTCATCATAGCGATCTCAGCATTCCCGCGCTAGGAAGCATTGATCGAATTCTCAGCCCTGATGCACGCCAGTGGCTGACAAGCTTTGGCGTGCAGCATTGCTGCCAAACACGCTACAGTGAGCTGATGAATCATGGAGCCGCCTGGCGCTGTCAGAGACAACTGCGGTGTCGACCTCTATATATAGCTATGCAAACAATACCCATACCCCCCTGCCGTACCAAACTGTTGTCATGTCAAGCTACTTGTCATCTGCTTGATTGCGTGCACTGTCCATTCCGCCGAGTCTAGATTTTCCTTCAAGTAACGAACGCCAGCAATGCCTAGCAAGGAGCCCGAGAAGGGAGACAAAGGTTTGCTCACCTCTACTCCAAGGTTTGTAAATCGATACTAATTTGCCCGCGCAGTCAGCTGGAACTGGGGAGGTGGTGCTCCAGGTGGCACCGTAGCTGAGACGAAGCACCAAGGCGAGGTCGCGATCAAGTCCAAGCGCGGCAACACCATCAAAAAGAACGCCGAGCCGAACAACCCCGCCGTCCATATCTCTCGGTCTGGAAATGATGTCGTCAAGAAGGCGTCCGAGCTGAAGATCGACAAGAAAAACTCTGGCGGGTCGTCTGGTGGAGGGAAGCAGAAACAGAACGGCGACTTGAAGAGTCAGAAGGATGACCAAAAGACAGAGAACAAAACTGCGGGAAAGCGCAAGGCATCGAGCCAAGAGGCTGATGATTCCAAAGCCAACGGTCATCACAAGACGAATGCCGACGGTAAGGAGGTGAGGAATGGAGGCAAGTTCGAGAACAATCACAAGAAACAGAAGAGTGAGAAAGACTCATCTGCTTCCAAGTCGACATCTACCAAGAGTTCGAAACAATCCAAAGAGAAGTCGACTGGGTCATCCAACAAACAGCAAGGTGACACTGTTAGCAGCCGTACTCGGAGCCACGGTTAGATTTGTTGCATAGGCGCTCAGGGGCTTGCAGGTTCTCGGCGTTCCTTGGTGTATTACTGTATGTATAATTATCCAACGTTGAATTAAACGACACAGTTATCTCAGGGTACAAGTATTTGCTGCCTATAATCCAAGTCCCTTCATTGTCAATTGATTCTGTTTTATACGAAGGTGACCCAACACGAGCCATCTATGGTATGTTGCTCCTCGTCTTTCATGTCCTTCGATTCGATATGAAGCCAAGTGGACTCATCCACTGCCCAAATTTAACTTCTAGAATCCATCTATGTGATTCTGGTCCTGCAGAAAGGGGCAGAATCCTTCGCAAGAGCTGCATCTTGCTCATATGAGAATCCTGCAAGTGCTCGCTTTGATGTCAGAGCGTCATATGCGGTGTTGGTGACTACTGTTGGAAGCATGTCAGCACCAGTGGCCTGTTTTTCCCCCTAATCTTCCCATCGAGGAACTAACAGAACCGCAAGACAGATCCGGCAGGCAGCTTATGTAGAAACGTTGGGCGATGCAATGGCCAAGCTCTCGCGGCCGCACAGACACGCACAGACGATCTCCGCCTCTCGGCGCTGCAGGACTCGTGCAGAACCAGGACAAGCATCAAGCAGTGGCTTAACCTAAAACATCCGCGCATTACGTACATGCCTATCAGCTCCTACGCATGAATAAGGACAATGGAGCTAAGCTGTCAATTGAGGTAGCTATGAAGAGAGAAAAGCGGCATGCTCGTTTGGTGAGAAGGCGAATCTGTCTAGCCTCATTGAATAGCTGCATTACTCTCTTTTGCTCGTCAAAACCAGTGAGATGGTGTATTGCCCCATACAGCTCTAGTCGGGTCTTTTTTTCTCCCGAACCTCTCGCTTTGCAGATCATAACTGCTTCTTTAATAACATCTTTCTATGCCATACCGTTCATGCAGCTCGGCTAATACCCTTTGCCTCCCGACCACCCCCCAAAATGACGACAATCCGGCCGTGCACACGGCTCAGGCTCCGAGCTATCTCCTACCCGGGAATGGTCCTCCAAAAGGCCCGTTGATCATGGGTGGTGTTGATTCCTGGAGGATCGACAATTGGTCGCGGTGGAGGCGTTCGTGAGCGGGCTTGTCAAGCTTCGGTGCTCACTCTTTCTTTGGTCAAAAGGGCGACGACATCCCCACACTGTCAACATGGATCGGTGACGGGCCCCCAGGGTTTCCCCAGACCATGATCTACTGAAACGCCGATTGTGAATGCTACCTTGACTCTCGCGGCCATTTTACTTGGTTCGTTGAGACACGATCTAGATTTCCACGGACAGACAAGCGTTCTCAAACATCGACTGACCGCATGGCGAGTTCACAGATGGATTTTGATGCAGATTGGCAGGACCAGCACCGGCAGGATGGGCTATTTGCGACGTCGGTGGTCATGGTGGCTTTGGCCAGTAAGCTTCTTCGACGGTGATAATCATGATAACGGTGAAGCAACTCCAGTTGCTAATCAAGAAACACTTGCGTGACAGCGTTCTTCGTCGTCTTACGATTGCTGAGTCGCTTCATCCTCATTCGGAACCCGGGACCGGACGACTACTGGATGGTGGCCGCTCTGGTAATGCTCACAGAAGTCTCGTTTGGAGGGGTTGAAGAAGAACGTGAAGCTCATGCATGCATCCTCACTAGATCTTTGACATCGGCTACTTGGGAGACTTGTTCGTCGGGCGAAATAACCATATGGGGTTTCCCATGACGATGCTCACGCCCGATAACATGATCTCTATTATCAAGGTTCGTCAAGAAGCCCTTCTGCAACAACAACCGTGACGAAGGCTGAGTCTTGGCAAGGCGACTTTGGCGATCGAGGTGATCTACTACACCACGATATTATGTATCAAGGCGTCCATCTTGTTCACCTACCTCCGGTTTGGTATGTCACCGAGTGACCTCATACTGCGATGCTCTCGAGACCTGTACTCACATTCAACAAGCCGTGACCCCTAGGTTCCGCTTCCTGTGCATCGTGACCGTCATCGTGCACTCGGTATTCTACCTGCTGTGCTTGTTTGTCACCTTGGGCCAGTGCCGGCCGCTGCACAAGCTCTGGGACTTGACTAGAATGGAGCCGGGCACATGTATCAATACGACGGCGTTCTTTTACTGTCAGTAATCATACCTTCCAAGAAGAGAAGGCCAGACTCTTAGAGACATTGCTGACAAATCCCCAACATACAGTCACATCAGCATTCAACATCATCACCGACATCTGGATCCTGGTGCTCCCCATCAAGGCGCTGCGGAGCATCGAGCGGCCGACCCGCGAGAAGGTGGCCCTCTTCTTCATCTTTGGCGCGGGCACCTTCGCGGCCATCGCGTCCATCATCCGGCTGCACACCATCTACACGTACACCGAGGCCGAGGACCCGTTCAAGAACAGCCTGCGCGTCAACGTGTGGTCCATGATCGAGATCAACGTGGCCATCTGCTGCGCCAGCGTGTCGGCGCTCAAGCCCGTCTTCAGCCGCGGGCAGCGGCAGCGCTCCCGCGCGGCGCGGTCCTCGGCCTCGGCGACCACGGCGTCCGAGGACCACCAGCACCAGCACCAGCAGCCGCGCAGGAGCACGGCCTCGCGCAGGTCGCTCTGGCACCTGCGCTCCGGCAGCAAGGCCACGAGCAGCTCGTCCAACACGAACTCGTCGTCGTCGCACGACGAGGAGAAGGCGCTGGGGCCGATCGACGAGCCCGCGGAGCCCAGGCCGGTGCGCCCGCCGCCGGTGCCGCTGGTTCTCGACGGCGGAGACGGGGTGCCGTCGCGGATCCCGACCGTCCTGAGGAGTCGGTACGAGAACAACCTCGTCTCGGACACGACTGATAGCAGCATGTTTGTCTTTACGCCGCTGAGCCCTCGGCCCAAGGATGGAGAGGGAGTGGGAGTTGAGAATGGGCCAAGCAGCTCGGGAGATATGCTTCCAATTCAAAAATGAGAAACGCGTTTGAGATGGCGTTGTAATGGCTGGAGGGCTTTCAGATGGAGGAAATTACCTGAAGAAGTTGAGCGCAATTCAATGTTCATTATATGCTATTACATGCTTGAGCTCACTACTGATTTTCAGCAGCCCAGGACCACCATCTGCTTGTGATCTGTAATGTCAAAATCAATGATGGCAAATTTTAATGTGAGCCAGTTTTTCCATTGCCTGCACGCGCCAAACTCATCATTGCAAAAGATGAGACATTCTCCCAATGATCGCGAACGGAGGAGTTCGAATTAGTTGATGGTGAAAACAGAGAGAACCAGAATAAGAAGTGGTAGCTTCTGTTTCTGTAAAGCACATCTGGATGGGGACAAGCGAGCTCAAAGCCAATCTTCACAGCTCTATGCTTATCTCTTCTGTAGATTTCATGTCAACTTGACAAGTATGAAACGCTCCGAAGCCCAGAGTTGCTCAAGTTGACGGTTGTCAGTACTAGGGTTGAGAGCTACCTGAGTAGGTGTAATTAGCAATAGAGAGAGTATATCGTATCAAAAAGATACATGAGGAATCGGCCTAGAGACCCGAGACTCGCCCATCCCAAGTCTAGAGCCCAACTCTGCGGGGTTTATGATGAATACTGTACTTCCGGAGACTCTGATGGCCAGGTCTGGATGAAGCATCTCCGCGTATCTCCCCAGCTTTGCTCGTGGGGCTTATCAGATCTTATCGCGACAGAAGAGTTGGCAAAGCCTGGGGCATGATTGGTCGAACCAAAAACCTCACTAAAATGGCGTCAGCGACCCTGGAAATTTCAGCATCGCCCATTCGACGGATAAGGCAAAGAATTGTCTAAGAGGACGATGGGACCGACACCCGGCTTAGACAGAAACTTCGACCCGGACCGGCCTCGGGATCTGGAAAGTCGAGACGGAACATCTTCTTTCTTGTCTTCCAGACTTATATCTTCCCTCCCTTGAAAGATCACACCTTCTAGCTAATTTGAGACGGGAGAGAAGAACAAGCACCAATTGACTTGCCCTCGAGTGGCGCTCTCCTCTCCGACGAGACTCACGGCTGGCGAGGCCGTCTCTCACACACATCCACGCCCTAACTCGCCTTCCTTCATTATGGCACAACCACAGTCCTCTCCCAGCTACCACACCTCTCTCCTCACAGCCCTCGACTGCAGGTCACACATCCACCTGGTCATCGGCTCCAACCCTCTGGCTGCCGCCCGCTGCGGCCAGAGCATATCCGCCGGCGCGACCCCGATCCTCATTGCCCCGGCCGCGGCAGAGCTTCACTATGGCCTGCAGCAGCGCATCGACGCCGGCGAGGTCAAGTGGCTCCAGAAGCCCTTCGAGGATGCCGACCTGTCTACCCTAGGCCGCGAGGAGGTCGACCACGTCGTCGACGCCGTCTTCGTCACCTCGGGCACCAGCTGCGACCCGGCGCACATATCTGCCCTGTGCCGCAGGAAACGCATCCCCGTCAACGTCGTCGACTCGCCGCACCTCTGCACCTTCTCCCTCCTGTCTACGCACACCGACGGACCCCTCCAGATCGGCGTCACGACAAACGGCCGGGGCTGCAAGCTCGCATCCCGCATCCGCCGCGAGGTCGCGGCTTCCCTACCCAAGGACCTCGGCGCCGCGTGCGCCCGCCTCGGCGACGTCCGGCGGCGCATCCGGCAGGAGGACGTCGCGGCACAGCATGCCGTCGCCGACGACCTCGACGATTCCGTCGACCAGAGCGCGTCCTTCAACCGGCTCGTGCTCGAGGCCGACCTCGACGCCGCCAAGAACCGGCGCATGCGCTGGCTGTCGCAGGTCTGCGAGTACTGGCCGCTCAAGCGCCTCGCCGCCATCACCGACGCGGACGCCGAGGCCGTGCTGAGCGCCTACCCGGGCGGCGGCAGCCTGCCCACGGCTACCACCACCGACGCCGGCCAGACGTCGCCAGCACACAACCCCAACCCGAACAGTGTCCACGGCGGATCCACGAAGAAGGGCCGCATCATCCTCGCCGGCAGCGGGCCCGGCCACCCGGACCTCCTGACCCGCGCGACCCACCGCGCCATCCTGGCCGCCGACCTCGTCCTCGCCGACAAGCTCGTGCCCCAGGGCGTGCTCGACCTCGTCCCGCGCCGCACGCCCGTCACCATCGCCCGCAAGTTCCCGGGCAACGCCGACGCCGCGCAGGAGGAGCTGCACGAGGCCGCCATCGCCGCCGCCCGCTCCGGGCTCACCGTCGTCCGCCTCAAGCAGGGCGACCCGTTCCTGTACGGCCGCGGCGGCGAGGAGGTCGAGCGCTTCCGCGCCGCGGGGCTGGGCGCCGCGACGACCGTCCTGCCCGGGGTCACGAGCGCGCTGAGCGCGCCCCTCTTCGCCGGCGTGCCGCCCACGCAGCGCGACGTGGCGGACCAGGTCCTCATCTGCACCGGCACCGGCAAGAAGGGCAAGCCGCCCGCCCCGCCCGGCTACCGCGACGCCCGCACCGTCGTCTTCCTCATGGCGCTGCACCGCATCTCGGGCCTCGTCGCCGAGCTGACGGAGCGCACGGAGCAAGAAGTCGCCGCCACCGCCGCCGCCGCCGACGGCCAGGACTCTTCCGCGGACGGAAGCAGCCAACAGCACAAGCGGCGCCTGTGGCCGCGGAGCACGCCCTGCGCCGTCATCGAGCGGGCCAGCTGCCCGGACCAAAAGGTGATCCGGACGACACTGGCGCACGTGGTCGAGGCGATCGAGCAGGAAGGGAGTAGGCCTCCCGGGCTGCTGGTCGTGGGCAAGGCGTGCGAGGCGCTGTACACGCCCGGGAAGGGGCGGTCGTGGGTTGTGGAGGATGGGTTCAAGGGCTTGGATTTGGACGAGCTGGTTACTCCTGGCATGGCGGCATTGGCATAGACCGGCATTTTGGGTTTGAAAAGCATCAGCGAGCACAAGGGAGAAGCATAGATAGCATACCGTGATCAATATGACCATTCGGGGCAACTCGAGATTGTAACAACAAAAGACAGCCTTTAAGGGGATGACCAGTAATCATTTCAGCGGGAGCTGTGATTGATCGCTGTGCATCAATGAGCGAGATCGGTGCCCAGAGTTCACTCACAGAGTAGTGGAGGGCTTTCTATGATTTGCAGGTTATTGTACTCTTTTTTTATTTTCACTTTCCCTCTTATTCTCCAGGGACGCCTCTACTTAAAAATCAACGAAAAAGCACTCGCTATCATGACTCAGACGATCCCTCTTCCTCCTCAAACAGCACCAAGACCGTGCCAGCCTTGCAGATATCGCCCTCCTTATGCGCCAGCTTCTTGATCGTCCCGTTCTGCGGTGACCTGATGACAGTCTCCATCTTCATCGACTCGATACTAACAAGGGACAAGATTCATTAGCACACACACACAATCGCTCTCACATAAGCAAAGAAGGGGGAAGAGTTCTTGTCACTTACACCACCAACGGCGCGCCCTTCTCAACAGTCTGCCCCTCCTCGACCTCGTTCCTCAGGATCTTGCACGGCATGGGCGCCGCCACCGACCCGGCGACCTCCTTGAGGCCGAGCGCCTTCTCGAACCACGAGGGCTGCACCAGCGCCAGCTCCGTCTTGGTGCCGAGCTGGAAGACCGACAGCTTCTGCTCGTTGGTCGGGTCGGCCACGAGCGTCGTCTCGACGCGCGACAGCGGGAAGTACGTCCGCAGGGTATTCGACGTCGATCCCGGCGTCGACGATGACGATGATGATGAAGAAGAAAGCGGCTCGCTGACGATGCTGTCAAACTCGACCGGCATCTCGCTGCCCTTGCGCGACACGCGCGCGTTGAACAGGTTGCGCCCGGCCTGCGTGACGCTCACCTCGACGACCTCGCCCTCCTGCTCGCTGTACCCGTCGACGACCTTGAACGCGTACTTGCGCTCCCCGTAGGCCGCTGCGCTGCCGAACCCGAGCCCCTCGCCGTGCGGCCGGCTCTCCTGCCGGCCCTGGCTGCTGCTGCTGCTGCGGAGCAGGCCGAGCGCCGCCTGGACAAAGACCTCGTCCTCGACGCGGCGCGGCCGGAACAGCTCCTCGCGCCACTTGTCGATGAAGCCCGTCTCGACGTCGCCCTCGACAAAGGCGCGGCTGCGGCACAGCCGCTTCAGGAACTCGATGTTGGTGCTCAGCCCCACGACCTCGTACTCGCGCAGCGCCAGCTCGAGCTTGCGGATCGCCGTCTCGCGGTCCTTGCCGCGCACGATGAGCTTGGCGATCATGCCGTCGTAGGCCTCGGACACGGTGTCGCCCTGCACGAAGCCGACGTCGATGCGCACGTCCTCGCCCGTCGCCGGCGTGGCCAGGTGCACGAGCCGGCCCGAGTCGGGCATGAAGCCCTTCTCCGGGTTCTCGGCGTAGATGCGCGCCTCGATGGCGGCGCCGCGCTCGGCGATGCGCGCCTCGATCTCGTCCTGCGTCAGGGGCAGCCTCTCGCCCGCGGCGACCTTGAGCTGCCACTCGACCAGGTCGGTCCCCGTGACCATCTCGCTGACGGGGTGCTCGACCTGCAGGCGCGTGTTCATCTCCATGAAGTAGAAGCGGTCCGTGTCGCGGTCGAGGATGAACTCGACGGTGCCGGCGCCGACGTAGCCGACGGCCAGGGCCGCCGTGCGCGCCTTGTCCCACAGGTCGCGGCGCAGCGCGTCGTCGAGCAGGGGGGCCGGCGACTCCTCGAGGATCTTCTGGTGGCGGCGCTGCACGCTGCAGTCGCGCTCGCCGAGGGCGACGCAGCCGCCGTGCCGGTCGGCAAACACCTGCACCTCGACGTGGCGCGGGCGCACAATGTACTTCTCGACGAGCATGACCTCGCCGCCCTCGCCGAACGAGGCGCGGGCCTCGGCGCGCGCGCTGCGCAGCTGGGCCTCGAACTCGGCCTCGGCGTGCACGATGCGCATGCCCTTGCCGCCGCCGCCCTTGACGCTCTTGAGCAGCACCGGGTACGTGATCTCCCTGGCGCGGGCGGCGAGCTGCGCCGCGCCCTGCTGGTCGCCGTGGTAGCCCGGCACGCAGGGCACGCCGGCGGCGGTCATGATCTCCTTGCTGCGGGCCTTGTCGCCCATGTCGGCCATGGCGGCGGCGGGCGGGCCGACAAAGGTGATGCCCGCCTCCTCGCAGCGGCGCGCGAACGCGGCGTTCTCGCTCAGGAAGCCGTACCCCGGGTGCAGGGCCTGGATGCCGTGCTGGCGGGCGAGGGCGATGATGCGCTCGCCGTCGAGGTAGGCCGAGGGGGCTCCCAGGGCGAGGCTGTAGGGCGTGCAGGTGGCGTGCTGCGAGGTGGCGTCAACGTCGGTGTAGAGCGTCGTGGTGCGGATGCCAAGCCTGCTGGCGGTGCGGTGGATGCGCAGGGCGATCTCGCCGCGGTTGGCGATCAGGAGGGAGGTGATTGGCGTGACATTGGGGGCGGCCGACGAGGGTTGCGACGAGGATTGTAGGCCGCTGGTGGTGGAGAGGAGACGGAGGGGATTGCGGAGGGGGAGCCGGGCGTGTGTGCGCTTGATGGACCGCATGGTGGTGGCCCGTGATGCTTGATGATGATGACGACCTGGGGTGTCCTCACTCACACCGTGATAGTAGCGCAGCCTCTTGACATGAAACAGAAGAGAGAAATCCAGCAAACTAGAGCAGGCCAATCCTCAGGAGAAGAAAAAGACGATACTAATTCATTTCCCTCCTCAAATCAGAGAAAATCTGGGGAAGAAAGGGGATAGAAAGAAGTTGTTGTTGTGTGCACAATCCCAAACCCGAAGTCAGCCATGATGGCCGTGAGTAGCCGCATTCCCGGCCGCTGGAAGCCGCCGTGGCCGCCCTCCACTGTGCCTGTTCCTTGTGACCCTGGGCGATAACGATAACGGCTTCTCCGTGGACGTCATTTCTGCCAGGGGGCGTGTCTTTTCCCCAAACTTTCCCCGCTCCCAGCAGAAAAGAACCCCCAGCTCTTGACTAATCCGGAACGCACATGGTCCAAGCTTCTGGTCCAGAACATGAGATGATGAGAGAGACAAGAGAGAGCAGCAAATCTCAGCCCACTGTCTGACCTCGCCTCACACAACAGCAGCCACCACTTCGCAGCAGAAGCAGCAGCAGCACAACAAGATCGACAAGCCATGGAGCAGCAAATAACACTGAATCACGAGGCGTCCGCCGGCGACACCCACAAACGATCCACATCCACCCTGCCCCCAGAGGTGGTGCAATGCCTCGAGAATGCCCGCTTCGTACGTCTCGGACTGCCCCTCACTCGCTCACTCGATCATCAAGAGAGAGAGAGAGAGAGAAGATATGCCCAACTGACAACATACACACACACACGAACAGCTCCACCTCGCGACCTGCACCGACAACCAGCCGCACGTCTCCCTCATGAACTACACCTACCTCCCCTCGAGCCCCTACTCCCCCGCCCCCGTCATCGTCATGACCACCAACCCGGCCAGCAAGAAGACCAACAACCTCGTCGAGAACCCCAATGTCTCCCTGCTCGTGCACGACTGTAAGCCTGGCTGGCCTGTTATCAAAATCCCATCCAGACAACAAGAACATGTCTCTTTACTAATCCCATGTTATTAAACAAAAAAAAAACAGGGGTCTCCCACCGCCCGCCGACCTCGCACCGCCGCCCCTCGGGCGGCTCCCCCGGCCCGGAGCACCGCTCCTCCCTCGCCTCCCTCCTGCTCAACCTCAACACCTCGGCCGTCTCCTCCATCAGCGCCACCATCGGCGGCTCCGCCCGCCTCGCCGAGCGCGGGTCCGACGAGGAGGCCTACTACCGCCAGCAGCACCTCGAGAACAACACCTTTGACCAGGAGGTCGTCCCGGGCGCCTTCCACAGCCAACACCAGCAACAACAGCAGCAAGACAGCAACAGCACGGGAGATGGCCAGGGCTGCTTCGTCGCGGGCGAGGAGGTCAGGGTCGTGGTGGTCAACATCAAGGACGTGAGGATCAGCGACTGGAAGGGCCAGGTCAGGGACTGGGATATCGTCCCGCAGGACGGCCCGGCGCCGGCGATCAACGGGGCGAGGTAGTGTGCCAAGTCTAATATGAATGTAAAACTCTGCCAAGCGTAATCTCATCCGTGACGTTTGTGCGACATTAATGTTGTTGCAATTGAGAGAATCAATGTCCATCGAGGTGGGCGGGTTTGCTCTCCCTCTAGGTATCTACTTCACGCAGCCCAGTAACTCTGTTTTCAGTACATCTGGTAAGATGCTGCTTGATATGCGTCGAATTGCGTTGCATTTTGCTACACCTTGACTACCCCAAGGCCTGTTGTATTATTTTGACTGCCAATTTTGTCTTGCCCTTGTTTCCGTGTATTTTTGGCTTTGATGTTGCAAACCAGACCAGACCAGACCAGACCAGACCAGACCGTACCACCTTAAAAAAAGGAAATCATATGCCGTATGGAAGACCAGAAACGCCAAATGCCGCTAACCGAATATGTGAAAGAGAGAAAGAATGACCCGTCCTCTGGGATGGGACGAATATTCCTCACTTGGCCCACTCGACAACCTCGAGGGCCATCATGACGAGCACCAGCGTCGACGGCAGGATCCAGATGACGTAGCTCTGGAACAGGATCCTGCCCATGACGGACTCGTACACGCCGTTGATCTGGCAGATCTGCGCCAGCTGCAGCGCGCTCGGCGCCCCCGTCAGCAGGAAGCACACGATGACGAAGATGGGGTCGTCGAGGATGCTGATGGGCACAAACTTGGCGAAGAGCGCCAGGACCGGCGCCATGACGAGCGTGGGCAGCAGCATGCGCGACACCAGCGACGCCACCAGCAGCCTCTTGCCGATCTGCGCCTCCTCCGGGTCGCGGCTGTCGTGGTTCTGCGTGTTGCGCGCCAGGTTGGCGCCCAGGACCACGAGGATCAGCGGCACGGCGACGCCGGCGCTCTGGCTGACGGCGCTGGTGACGCTGTTCTTGACAAAGGAGCCCTCCTTGAAGAAGAGCTTCTGCAGCTCCGGGATCGACGCCACCACGATGGCGATGAGCATCGCCCACAGCGGCGGGTTCATGAACTCCCAGAGGAAGGCGTAGAAGCGGAGCCAGCCCCGGTGGAGGACTATCAGGGTCTTCTGGGCCCAGGAGGGGAGGCTGGCGTAGACACGGCTTCCTGCCTTTGTAGCAGATCCCGTGACTCGTTGCCTGGTCTTGCGAGCCAAGATCCGGACGCGGACTTGGACTCCCTTCAGGCCCTCGGGGATCTCGATGTCGTCATTGTTACGGATCCGCGGGAAGGACAACATTCCATCGAGGGAGCCATCAGACAGCGTCCTATAATCGCCGTTGATAGGACCGGCAATGTGTCCCTTGCCCTTCTTCGTCGGCGTGTGGACGATCTCCTCCTCGTCATCCTCCGAGTCGTTGGGCGAAGCTCTCGAGTGTGATCCAACCGGTGTTCGACCGGCGGGCTCATAGCCGTCCGAGTCGTCAAAGATCGAATTATGTTCATGAGCTTCATGAGCCTCCACAACAAGGGCAGGATCGACGCCGGTGATCGCGGGCACGGCGTCTTCCTCGTCGGGGTCGTCCCGGTATCTACCCTCTTCGGCGTTTTCTTCGCAGTACTCGGGATACTTGCTCTTGGGCGCAAGCAAGACGTGGTAGCCCCAGCTCCAGCGAACCAGCTGCCCGAGCTGCTGGAAGACCAAGAGGTACAGGATGCCTCGAGCGCCGACCTCGTCATCGTTGTCGCCGGGGATCCGGTCCCAGTGCAACCCCGATATGGTTTGGGACAAGGACAGCACGAGCGAGATGGGGAGAGAGTTGGAGTTGCCAAAGACACCCATGGCCGTAACAAAGTTCGAGGCCCGCTTGTTGAAGCCAAACACCTTGGACACGAGCCTCGAAACGAGCAACGACACCAGGGTCTGGATGACGAAGATGACCGGGATGATGGCGAGCTCGAGCAGCTTGTCCGAGTTCAGCTGAGAGGCGAGTTTGGTGAAGATCAGGCAGGGCGTGAAAAGCATCACGTTGAGGTTGGCCAGGAACTTTTGCTTGTCGGCATCGAAATGGCCAAGTCGTGCGACAATGTAGCCCGGCAAGCTGACGCAGACGACCTCCATGACGGCCTCGAAGACCAGGAGGACCAGGTGGCTCATCGATGGGTGTGTTTCATGGCGATTCTTCTTGAATACGACGAATGGAAGCTGGCCCATGCTTTCTTGCATCTCGGCGATCCTGAACGATTTCGGGGAAGTGAAAGTCGCCATCGTGGCCGAACTTGACTCGTATTTTGGCGACACTGGGAGAAGCGCTTTTGGTCCCTTTGATAAGGTGGAATTTGGGGGCTTTCACCCAAAAATGCGGTGTAAAATCAGACAGTCGGTTCGTGATTTATCGATACGATGTTTGCAGTGATGGATTGGTCTATTGGGAGCAGCTTTGGTCTCAAGGTGTGCTACTGGTCGGGATTCTCGGGTGATTTGCTTGGAGGTTGGCAGGGACCAGCTGCGACGGCACTGATTTAGTCGATCATGGTCACTGTGATGGTGGCAAGTGGCAGTCTCGTGTGGGTGTGCGTTGGTGAGGTTGAGAAAGCCGCCGATGTTCTTCACGGAGATTCACAAATAGGTTTGTTGTCGAGCAAGAGAGAGAAGAGACGAGCAAGATTAGAGCTGGCTGGTCGGGGATGTCGAAACAGTCTGCGAGAGTTTGCTGCGGTGCGCAACACTGCTGAAACTGCCTGATAAGGAGTGTTTCCCACAGAGTTACACTGACCTGCATTTGCCTGCATTAGGGGCCCCACATCGGGTCAAGGCCGCACCTCCAGGGCTGTGATTGCACCACGGCGAGCCACTCAGAGGCGGAGAGGGGCGAATTTGGTCCGGGCTGGGCATTTTGGCGAGCTAGAGACACCTAGAGGCACCTAATAAGGCTTGTCCAGAGGGGGTGTGCCCGCGGGATGTGGTGAACAGATAGTGACGACGCCAAGCTGAGTGTTGTGTTGCCCGCCTTATCAATGACTATTTTGCAGAAATGGATCGAATGCTCTCACGGCTCTTGCGCTCGTCTCTCCGAGCCTATGTAGCTTATTTGGCCCCTCACAACCCCATACATCTCAACCCTCGAGAGGATATTCGAGCATCATGATATTTTGAGCATGATTTGTGTGCCTCTAAATGCGAGGTAGAGGTAGCTGCTGCCTACCTACAGGTAGTTTTTGTTAGCCTCAGAGTTTAATTGCCTGCAGCGCACTTTTCCGGAGCCGCCAAGGGAGGGAGTCCGCGCGCGCTTCCAGGCCTCCCAGGCCTCCATTCCGCCATGGAACAATTGCTGCGGCCAGCGATGACGCTGACTGACAACACACCACGCACGCCACCGGCAAGAGGCCAGGTATCCACCGTGTTCCTGACAAGGCCAAGGCTAGCGCTTCTGGTACCGCGTCGGGACATCCAGCCAGAAAACGTGGCCCAGCCTCGACACCTTGTTGGAGGGTGCTCTCCGGACCAATCATGGGCCCCAACTCCAAGAAAGACGGCCTCGATGCCGGGGGCGGTTCTTGATGGCGATAAGGCCCGCAGGACGAAAAGGTAGGTGGCTGCTCCCGCTTCCCGACAGGATCAGCGTTCTTGAAAGGGCCCCCCGAACCCCGCACGCACTTTCAGGCAATCAAGATGGGTATCGAAATCAAGGAAGAAGGAGGCGTCGCGTGCCTTTCAATGTGGACAAATCCAGGGACCTGGAGCTCTTTCAGGGCATTCTCTTGGGAGCTGAGGCCTGGGGTGGTATCCGATTCGTCAGCGGCGTTGTTTCAATCTGGGGCAATGCCCCTCTCAGCTCGTTGAAACAGATGCGGTCCATTCTGACATGTCAGTATATGCTGACAGCAAATCATCCCAGTTCTTGCTCCGTCGCTCGGTCTCTGTTGATCAATGCAAGCAAGGCCAGGCAGGCAGGTGGATGGATCAACCGGCCAGAGAGCTCGGAGGCTTGGCTGTGTCGCCTTTGTAGCACGTCTTCGATGCTGTGTTGCCATGCTAAGCCCGCTGGATGGCGAAAGACGCGTACCCGTGACATGGGGAACCTTTTCTTATCTATCACTCCCACCGCTGACCAAGAAAGAGTGGGAGGTTCATCCATGACGGTGAACAAGACAGAGCATTGGGCCCCTTTAGAAGCTGCAAGTTAGCCATCCTGTAGGTCTCGTGATGGAGCTCGACCTGTGTTGTCACATATCAGACCAGATGACGACAGATCTGCTCAGTTGGGTATCTATCGACATACTTGTAGACGGAGAGGCGCGAACTCCATAGGTGCAGCAGGACGCGGAGGGGAAAGGGTAGGTGTCTAGTGGCTCCACATGTGCACCAAGAGCCCGGAAAGCAAGCAAACGGTTATGAGGGCTGCTGTACCTACCTACCTAGAGCCTAGGTAGGTACATGCGACATAACTACTTGTACGTGGACCAAGGAGTCTATCATATTCTCGTGAAGGGGCTTTCTGTTGCGTTGGGCCAGGCACACCAGTCAAGGTGTTTCGCCACCCAATTGATGTGTAAGGAGAGCTCTTGCGCCAAGGGTGGCTTGGCTGGGAATCGTCTGAATGTTCTCTTTGAGGCATCTGCTGTATCTATGCTGCTATTGGAGATGTAACATCAGAATACTACCCGGGGCCAGGGACCATTTGACTCATGAGACTTGACCAGCCATTCAGGATAGGCAAAACCGAATGAAGTCACAGTCAGCAGAGCAGAACAGCAGATCCCACGAGAGGATGGCGGGGGGGGCAAGCCAAAGTGTCTTGTTTCAGATTGGACAGGGGATCGAGCTTTTTGGAGCTACGATCCTTGATTTTCCTCGAGGATCGGCGTCACTCCGCCTTCCATCGACAACGGCAATGGGAATTCTGGTTGGCCACCATGGCAATGGGCATGGGACAAATCCGCATGGACCCCCGGCAAAAAAAGACACAGACGTCAACGACCCGGCTCGTCTTGCAGGCCGTGTGCAAGGCCGTGCTAGGTCAAGCCACACCAAGGAAAATCCAAGCTTCCAAGCTTTGGGCCGCACCGTCAACGTCATCGCCCCAAGCCGGCTGCATAAGGCGAAGGATCTGGATACATGTGATAATGCGCATTCCACCAACGTGCGGTGAGTAGATACAGAGGGGCTTTCTCTTCACGATGTCGAATGGACCATGTTTCCAGAGAGACCATTCGATAACACTGTCAGTTGCATGATCATGAAAAAGAAACAATTGACTTTTCCTGCACATTGCTGAGAGTCAGAGTCAAACAGAGTAGAAGCATCGAAGTGCAAGGAAGGAAAGAGTCAGGCCAAGTCTCTGTGGCTCATTTCAGGCGGGCTACCTAGGTAGTGACTCGGAGCGATTTCCCCGCTGTCGTAGTCCTTGGAGGCAGGTAGTTACCTCTCTAGGGAGTGACATCCATGGACTGGCGCTGTAACCTCCGCATCTGTAACGGCGGCTTTCCACTGGAAGAAAGCCCCAATTCCTCAAGTAAGCTTGACGTTAAAGCGCGCAAACCCGACGTCTTGGGCCAATGGGCGCTAAATCTGGGCATCTCCAACTCGGCCCAGCAGCAGCAGCAAGAAAAATATGCCCACTTGATGCCAGAATCCCACCATTGACCACCACACTGCCTGTCCACTCAAACACTCAAGCCACTCTTAACCCTCTCACCCAGGACTGCATGCATGCAATTTCTCTCCATTCTCTCCAGATCACCACTCCTCTCTACCCAGAACGGACAAGTCTGGCTTTTGCTCTGACGCACGCACTGCATTACGACCTCAGTCTCCGTATTCGAGGATCTTGCCCTCTCTTGTTCTCAATCCCCGGCCAGGGTCATCCTCGTCCTCTTCGATAAAGCTACCCTCGCCTTCCGAGTCAGTGAACAACTTTCTCTCTCTGTGACTGAAAACACAACTCGCACGTCTGTTACGAGAATCTGCAACCCACCACTAAGCCAAAGGATTTTTCTACTCAATTGTTTTTTTTTTTCTCGATTTCGCCTCCCGGGAAGCACTGCCACCATCGAGAATTGCCGCCGCTATCTTCTAGGCCGGTCTAGGTCCACGGTCGATTTCGTCTTCGCGCACACCCCCCCGTCTCGGGTCGGATCGCGGGGTTGTAGTCTTGCCCGAACCTCAATTCAACCTTGACCACGACGGCACTACATATCCTCAGTCCCTCGCAGATTTTGAATCTCATGCTGGTGCACCGATAGAACGGGAGAAAACTTTTTTCGTCTGCTGCCACAGCAGACCCCGAGCCCTCTTGTCCGGGCACCCAACCACGACACGATGGACGACTCAGACTCGGTCCCCGCGACGCCCGACGAGCTCATCGACAGCAATCCGGCCTCTCCTGGTTCTGTCGACAACTCCTCAGAGGCCAGCACTCCCTTCGATCCCCCCAGCTCCAGCTCGGACCACGCCCCTCCCCTGCTCTCGAAAGATGCGCCGAAACGAGTCCCCTCCCTCCGCACAGTGTCCGACCCGCAGGGCAGCAGCCACATGAGCCCGAGCTCCAGCGTCACGGGGACGCTGACAAACGCGAGGCGGCCGCCGCCCTCGGCAGGCAGCCTGCCAATGGATCTCATGGCCAAGGCGCGGGCATTACAGCAGCAGCGGATGGGCATGGCCCCGCGCCCCGGCGTCCCTGGCCCCAACGGCGGGTCCTTGTCAGACTCGCATTCGCCTATCGGAGCCGGGTCGCCCATGGGCCAGCTCCCGGGCGGTGTTCCCGGTAATCTCAGGTTACCGCCCAACCTCGGCATGGGCAGGCCGTTGCCACCCGGATTTCCAAAGTCGGCTCCTGTCGTGCCCAGCGTCGGCGGGCGGAAACCGGGGCTTAGTGAGCGGAGGCAGATGAAGCTGGGTGGCTTGCCCGGCGGTCCCGGTAGTTCAGGTGCAGGCACACCAAGACTGTCGGACCTGGGCGGGGGCGGCGGGCCACAGCGGCCTTCGCTGAACGGCACGAGCAGGGACTCGAAACTTCACGACTTCAAAAACTACATCGACGCCGAGAAGGGCTGGATCACCTTTGAGGGCGCCGCAACGATCACCAGGACAGGTGTCAACTTTGCAAGCGGGCAGACCTTCTCCATCTCCCTGGACGAGATTCAGGTCTTGGACGAGCTGGGCAAGGGCAACTACGGGACGGTGTACAAGGTTCGCCATGCGCGGCCGGTCAAGCCCCGTTTTGGGCAGGGCCTGAGTGGCTTCAAAGCCCCTTCCCGACAGAGCTCCGGGACGGACAAGGACGACTCATCCCTGGAGAACTCGTTGTCGAGCCTCAACTCGTTACCGGCACAAGGTGGTACATCAGGGAGGGTCATGGCGATGAAGGAGCTCCGCTTGGAGTTGGAGGAGTCCAAGTTCACCACCATCCTCAAGGAGCTGGTCATTCTGCACGAGTGTGTTTCGCCTTACATCATCGATTTCTACGGAGCGTTCTTCCAGGAAGGCGCAGTGTACATGTGTATCGAGTACATGGACGGAGGCTCTATCGACAAACTCTATGCGGGTGGCATCCCTGAGAACGTGCTGCGGAAGATCACCTACTCTACCGTAATGGGGCTGAAGGAGCTCAAGGAGAAGCATAACATCATCCACCGAGACGTCAAGCCGACCAACATCCTGGTCAACACGCAAGGCCAGGTCAAGATTTGCGACTTCGGAGTGAGCGGGAACCTGGTTGCGTCCATCGCCAAGACCAACATTGGCTGCCAGAGCTATATGGCTCCCGAGAGAATATCGGGAGGCGGCAGCTCGCAGGCCGGGGCCAACTCGGAGGGCACGTATGGTGTACAGTCGGACATCTGGAGTCTGGGGCTCACAATCATCGAATGCGCAATGGGCCGTTACCCTTACCCGCCAGAGATCTCCTCGACCATCTTTAGCCAACTGAGCGTAAGTTTTCTGCTCATCACACTGGATGGTGTAACGTGATGGCCTTTCCTTTTACTAACCGTGGTACACAGGCAATCGTCGAGGGTGACCCTCCAGACCTCCCTGAAGAAGGATACTCGCCCACCGCCCAGGACTTTGTCCGCTCCAGCCTGAACAAGATACCCGCGAAGCGGCCGACGTACCCCATGCTGCTCGCGCACCCCTGGCTGAAGCCGCTGACCAAGCCCGAGACCATCACGGAGGATGACGAGGCCGAGGACGGCGAAGATGCGCTTGCGGACGCCGCTGCCAAGCTGAACCTGCAGCCCGGTGCCGGGGACGCCGAGGTCGCGTCCTGGGTGACGGACATCCTTGAGAAGAAGCAGAAGGGCCTGGTCTCGGATAAGAGCGAGAAGCCTGCGCTCCACGCCGCCCCTCTGGACTCTGTGAGCCCTGTCTCCAGCCCCATGGCGTGACGTCCACTCAACCTCGAGTTCGAAAAGAGAGAGAGAGGGAAGCCGCGCCAGTGACGACGAGACACGATTCCTGTTAGACGGACCAACGGCGTAGGCGGAGGGCTGGTTCTTTCCGCCCCTTTCAAGCGCTACACTTGTCCTTCGTTTGCATACAAAACCCACCGCCTCTTCTCCCGCTATCATACACGCATCTTTGCCTCTTAGTTTTTTTTTTTTTTTTCCTGGAGGGCGGTCCTTTGTTTATCTACTTGCATTCGCTTTGTCGTTGAATGCTCTTGTGTCTCTTTTGTTTTTTGGTACCGCACAGCACGGAGCGATTCGGGCGGTGGGCCAGGAGCAGGCGTTCCCTGTATACGCATTTCGGGATTAAGCCTAGAGGATCGCTTTTTTTTTCTTTTCTTTCTCTTTCTTTCTTCCCTTTTTTTTCTTTTTCTGATTTTAGTTGCGAATCATTGATTTTGAACCCTTTTTGTTTATACTTTTGTTAGAGACAACAATGCACAGAGAGGGAGAAACAATGCATGGAGTGGAAACATCTTGATTTGCTGTTGTACTTGTACCCAAAGACAAGAAAGGCGTAAAGAGACGGGACCCGTCGACGGGACGGGTCGGTGAAAGCATACACGTGGAAAAGAAAGGTTCAGGGATTGGGTGGGTGCAGGATGAGATTCCCTAGAAACACAATTTCAAATGGAGAGATGTCCGAGGCCGTTCCTGGACGTTGAGAGAGATTTGATTATTTGAATCGCTGTGAAAAACTGTCATGTGCTTGCTCTGTCGCTGCAGCACCACAGCCACCATCTTTGCTGATGGGTCTAAATACAATTCGGTGCCAGGCATAACTCGCTGCACCCAGTCCTATGTACACAAACATGTAGTATTGACAAGACTCTTCCCCCCAGCTGCCTGCTCTCTCATAAGGCTCTGCTCTCTCTCTCTCTCTCCCGCCTCGACATGGCATGTAAGAAGCGAACCTCTCTCGGTGCAGAATATACCTGGACCCTGTCTCGCGCTGTGAGACTCCATTTCCAGATGATGATGCCCCCGCCCCCCTTCTTTGACAAGAACTCCAGACTCCGCGCACACCTCGCACACATATACACACCGTCGGCTCTCTCTCGCCTTTTTCACCCAATGGTGATGACAACCATCCCCGCCTCTAGAGCTCCGAGTCCTGCTCACCCTTGCCGCCATCACTTGTCGTTGCCAAAGACGTCCCCGCCGTCCCCGCCGTCCCCGCCGTCCCCGCCGTCCCCACCGCCGGTGCCGCCGTCGCCGGAGCGTCGGGCTTGCTCTCTCTGGTAGTGGGCCCAGGCATCTCTCCATTTGCCAAGCCAAGAATCCACGTCACCGGGGGTTGGTCCGTCGGCGCCCTCGGCGGGGAGGAGGACGTCCCCGAGCCGGATGCGCCTGTAGGGGCTGGCCGGCTTGAAGGGGCTGGTGCTGCTGCTGTTGCTGTTGTCGCCCTTCTTTCCTCCTCCTCCTCCGCCTCCTGCGTTTCCCGCTCCTCCTGCTCCTGCTCCTCCTCCTTGCTCTGCAGCGTCGTCAGTGCTGCCTTCTTCTCCCTATCGTCCGCGTTAGCCTCCCCGTCCGTCAGGTGCAGGGCCTCCTCGACCTCGTCCGCCAGCTTAGATACCTCCTCCTCCTTCTCCTCGGCCGCTCTCTCCCTCGCCCGCGCGGTGCCCAGCTGCCTCTCGGCCTGCTCCTCGCCGACCGTGGCCCTCCACCGGCGCTCCAGCTCGTCGCGCCAGCCCAGCGCGTCGGCGAGCTCGCGGACGCCGGCGTCGCAGTCCTTGAGGACGAGGACGTCGTCGGGCCGGGAGCCGATGCCGCCGACCTGCTCGAGGTTGAAGAGCACGCGGGGCAGGTGGTGCGGCGTGTTCTGGGGCAGGAAGGCAAAGGGCTGCACGCTGAGCGACGTGCCCATGACGAGCACCAGGTCGGCGTCGTTGCGGGGCACGTCGCTGGCCTCGAAGAAGCGGCGCGGCAGCTGCTCGCCAAAGAAGACGATGTCGGGCTTGACGAGGCCGCGGCACTGCGCGTCGGCGCAGCGCGGCGGCGTCTTGGCCTCGACGTGCCGGCGCATCTCGTCGGCGGGGAAGGCGGTGCCGCACTCGATGCACCGCTGGGTGGCGAAGGAGCCGTGGGCCTCGACGATGAGCTCGTCGGGCACGCCGGCCTCGCGCTCGAGGCAGTCGATGTTCTGGGTGAAGAGCATGCGCAGCAGGCCCTTGTGGGCCAGCAGCGCGATGAAGACGTGCGATATCGTCGGCGCAAAGTTGCCCGGGTACAGCTCGTTGGCCAGGATGTAGAAGGGCTCGGGCTTCTGGCGGAAGTAGTCGAGCGAGAAGACGGCCTCTGGGTACGGCAGGCCCAGCTTGGCGAGGTTGCTGTACAGGCCCGTCTTGGGCGAGCGGAAGTCGGGGATGCCGGCGGCGGTGGAGAGACCGGCGCCGGTCATGACGACGATGCGCTTGGCGTGGCCCTTGTTGATGAGCTCGGCGACGCCCTCGAGGCTCCTCTCGGAGAGTGTCTGTGGCGGGGTGTCGGCGCCGACGAGACCAGACTGCTCTTGACCCATCCTGCAGTGCCGCGGCTTGGATGAGTGGTCCTTGCCGTGGTGACGAGGTCGGCGACGGCGGCCTATGGTTGTGGTGCTTGGGTTTTTGAAATGAGACCGACAGCTAGGTTTGCCTGTGTTCGCGCTATGTCAGTGAAAAAGGAGTCGCACACATATATATGGTGGGAGAAACAGACGTGTTGAGATGTTTCTGCCTGGACAGTGGTCTGTCTTGGGTGAAGCGGGGGTCAGGATAAGATCAGGTAGCGATGAGAATGAGAATGAGCAGAGTGACTAGATTTGCAAGTTTCCGAGCTCATGCAAAGCTGCTGCCATAGAACCCCTAGTGTAAAAGGAAATCACGAGGCGAGTGACAGGAAAATGGCATGAATTTGATGCTGTGCGAGAGTGAGCAGGACGATGGGATGGCGAATGAGTTTTTGTGCTTCATCAGCCTGGCTGGCTGGATGGCAAATCGAGAATCAGAATCGCACTCGCCGCCGGAGGATCCACATTGAAATTCGTTATCTTATCAATGGCAGCTAAAGAGCTTTGCATGGGAATTGATGGACATATGTTGACTAAATTGATTGATTTTATGGGTCAGTCAAGTCAGTCCTGTTCATTTTCCACGTGGAGAACAAATTGAATCAACGCAAGTCAACCGTGAATGCGACCAGTCAACAACAACAGTCTTACCTCCCTCCTCTACTCGATACCTTGTGACTAACACGGAGCCTGGACATATAGGTACGATGAGGGCCCGGGACTGTGCCACTGTTGGTCAGTCAGGTGCGGACAAAGAAAAGAAGGCTTCCCAAAACAATCTCAGTTGTTCAGACAGTCAACTCTTTGTGACAGCCGAGGACCAACCTTGTTTCCTTTCTTAAAACAACAGCATTGTTCCATCAACCATGGTACAGGCGAGAACAAAAGAGTCAAACTGTAGCCTTTTGGGCCTTCCAGTAAAATATAAAAGCCACAGGACACCTCCCCGAACGTATCTCCTGCATGTCTATAAAAGATGACATTCCATACAAACCCAGCAGTCCAAGCACCGTGACAGGTTTGTCTCGGATCACCTCCCGTACAATGTCTCACACATCGTCAATCGACATCTCGACGAATGCATCGAGAGGATCAGCACCAACTCCATCCACAATGTCCAGTCACTCTGCATGTCCATATCATTCTGAATGTCCTCGCACGAGAGCCAGAAAGATCCAATACGCAACCATTTCGGACCGGATCGAGTTCACACGCCAACCGTCCCTCCCCTTGACTCCACACCTCTCAGGTATCACCGTTCTCTTGCAAAGCAAGGACAACAACCGGGCGGCAGACAAGTCAGTGCTCGACGATGCTGAAGTGGCACAGAAGCTAGCCATTTCCAAGACTCTCAGACGCCGGTCAGATGAGACAGAAGAGCAAGTTGCTTTCAGCCTCAAGCAGGAGCAGAAGCTGCTGTACAAGAATGATCTCGCTGACATGGACATGGCCAACGGATCTTGGAACTGCTGCAACTGCGGCACAAACAACCTGATGTGGGATGCGTCGTGTTGGTACTGTAGAGTCCACTGTAGAAATCGCACTTGCTGCGAGATCCTCAAATGTTGAGACTATCTTGGTGTTATTCACACTTACATGCTCACCCACGGGACGGCCCATTGATTATTGAAGCTTCAAGATTGTACACATGTTGAACCCGAGACTGCTCTGGACTGGACACCAAGACGCGTTCTTCGTTCTCAAAGATACAAAATAGAAACACATGATAAAGACATAAGAAAAGAAAATACATTTAAATTACCTCTTGTGATCTTAAAAAACAATAATATGTGTGTCCAACTTTTGAGTGGTGGCCATCTGATTCTTTGAGTGAAGGAGATCAGGGTCCAGGCTCAGTGAAGCTCGTGTGGGTCTGTCTTCGCAGCACCAACGTCGATCTCCCGCCAACCTCAAATCTTACCAGACCTCGCATCAACACCAACCCCATGACTAATCTGCACTGCAACAAGCCACCGACCTCAAACACTGTGAACAACCGTTCAGACCAAAGTGCATGGTGCATGCCTCCTATTCAAGCTCGACCCATCACCAAAAGAATGGCATAGCGTCACAATAACCACACAAAAAGACAGACTGTCCATCACCACCCCGTACCCAGGCCATCTCCCATCATCAGCAGAGTGCGTGCGTGCACATGCAGCGCATCTCACCACACGGCAAGATGCGGCTGCGGCACATCCACCTGCCCTCGGACCCCGCCCGCGGCATATTTCCGTCTTACCGCGCAGCAGCCTACATCCAAGACCGCCTCCGCCGCTCCCTCCTCGCCGCCAAGGCCGCCTCCTCATCAGACACCACCAGCCCGCAGCCGCCACCACCTCCCCCAACCCTCCTCACCTTCACCCCGCAGCCGACATACACCCTCGGCCGCCGCCAGTCCTCCACACTCCTCCCGCCCAGGACCCTAGCCCGCCTCTCCGCGCCCTTGCACGTGGCCCCCCTGCCCAGCCCCTTCACGCCCGCCGTCCTGCCCTCCCCGCGGGGCGGGCTCACGACCTACCACGGCCCGGGCCAGCTCGTCCTCTGGCCCGTCCTCGACCTCCGCTCGCGCGACCTGGCGAGGCCGCCGCAGCAGCAGCAGCCGCACACGGTGCGCTCCTACGCCGCTCTGCTTCAGGACACCACCGCCACCATCCTGCGGTCGCGCTTCGGCCTCGCCCCCTTCACCACCGAGGACCCGGGCGTGTGGGTGCGCTCGCCGCCGACACCGACACCGGGCGGGAGTGCTGGCGGCGCTGCTGCTGCTGCCGAGGAGGAGGAGGAGGCAGAGGGCGGCGAGCTGCGCAAGATCGCCGCCATGGGCGTGCACCTCCGCCGGCACGTCACGGGCCTCGGCGTGGCCGTCAACCTCTGCACGCCCACCACCCGCGGCAGCGGCGGCAGAGCGGAAAGCACCACCACCGACCACCATAGCCCCGAAGGCCAAGATGAGGCGGCCAACCCCTGGGCGCGCTTCGTCGCCTGCGGCCTCGAGGGCAAGGGCGTGACCTGCGTCCGGGAGGAGCTCGACCTCATCCGCCACCACCACCACCACCGCCAGGATGCAGCGCCGCCGCCATCGCCGTGGGAGGGCGACCCGGCCGACCTCTCGGGCGCGGCGGACGCGTGGGCGGCCGAGCTGGCGCAGCGGCTCGGGCTCGGCGCGCCGTGGCGCCTGGGCGACGGCGCCGCGCGGGAGCTGCTCGCCGCCGCCGAGGAGGAGTCGCGGCGGGAGGCGGAGATGGAGGAAGCTATTACGGAGGAAGGTGTGCAGTGAAAGTAAGTGTGTGTGTGTGTGCGTGTCTGTACGACTCTTTTCAGGGAAAAGATTTGGCGATGAGCGCCCGGGGCCGCGCATTGGAGAATTCTCTGGCTCGTCTGTGGCTTTTTTGTAGTATAGGGACCGTTCTATCTTGTGTATTATTACCTGTGTATCAACACCTAGGCTCCAGGTGGGCTCATTCCTGGTTAGAAGAGAGAGGAGGCGGCAGGCATCGACGATCCGTCCGACCTACAGGGTATATTGATACAATCTGGCCTCTCTACCGCCACCATACGCATGTTCCCTTTTCACTGTTGGCTCCCCTTGTCTTCTTCTTCTTCTCGGAAGTACCCTTCCCAATCAATGATCATCCATCCATCAGCCCAAAAACCCCCGAGCTTTGCACAGAGCATTTCACCTCCTACCTCAAAGCCACAAGGACACACACACACACACTCTCTCTCTCTCTTCGTGGTAAAAATTGATCGATTCTCGCTCGCCGCCAGACTAGTCTCTACTTCCTTCACTGTGGTCACATTTCCAGTCTCTCCCCCTGCGTCATTTTCCCGAAACCCTCATTTGACGCGCTGGCATCTCTAATAAAAACCCGTCCCAGGCTTGGAAGGTCTGTTTTCCCAACAAGAAAAAAAAATGGAGAGACGGAGAGAAGAGAAAGAAAAACAATACCAAAACGACGGTTCTCCAACACTCATAAAAAGATGCAAAATGCGCTGACTATGCTCTCTAGTACGCAAGTGTAGTAACAAGAGAAGAGTGCCAAAAAAAAATAAAAATAAAAAAAGGGGTAAAAAGCAGATGCGTACAAAACCAGGCCAAGCATCCAAAGACTTGGCCTAGCAAGACCAGGTTAGCAACGCACAAAAATGCATCTTTATTTTTTTCAGCCAAACTGCCCGCCCGCCAAGAAAGCCCTTGTCGCCGCATCGAAGAATAGTGAAGAAATCCCCTCCCGTCCCTTTCGTCAATATGGATCGTAGCGTCCTTGCTGATGCTCTTTGTGATAGCTCAAAGGGTCTCCTTCCCAGTCGTTCGAGTTCCGTCAAGTCGAGGATATGAGAATTCATCGCATCCGTCCCAGTAACGCTGAACGCCCTCATGAAACCATCCGTGGTCATTGTCCCCGTGGCCCTTGGAGATCACTGGCCCTAATCCTTTCCCGTGTACCATTGTATCATTCCCGAGTGTTCATCTCCTACCATTCGCTACTTGAATGGCTTCCTTGCTTGCTCCTCTTTCTGCCACACATCTTCTCACGGTCCGTGGCCTCCTCGCCGTCGGGTCGGTACTCCTCGGGCTGGAAATTAGGGTTGTTGTAGTGCGCGGTGTTGAAGTGGCTGTTCTTGAAGGTGACCGTGCTGAAGGTCTGCTCGCTCACCGGTGCATTCTCCACCATGCCGGGGAAGTTGTACTTGCTAAACCGCAGCGGGTGGTTCATCGGCCCGACGGGAGTGGCCATGGCCGGCTGGGGTGGCGAGGGAGTCGCCGCCTGGTGCTGCGACAATGAGGGTCCGAACGGCTGCGCCATCCAAGGCGACTGCGGGCTGGGAGCATACGGGTCGGCAAGCGGGGAGGCATCGGGCCCCGCCAACGGCGAGATGCCAGAGTCACCAAAGCCGGGGATCATTGCCAGGGGGCTTATGTCGAGTGCTGCGAAAGAACCCAGGCTAGAAATGTTGCTCGTGATCTGGTGTTCGTGAGAAAATGACGTGGCCCGGTTCACCTGAATGTTCAGTGGCGCAGGCGGAGGTCGGTACAGGATATCATAGTGGTCAGGGCGGTACAATAGGCAGATAACCGGTCCCAGATTGGCCAGATCTTGTCCTCGGGCCTCTTCTGGCAGGCGGTAATTGTTGACCTCCTGTCCCTCGGACCGATCGAGATACGCCACCTCCAAAACCATACCGGCGGGCTTGAGGAGCACGTTGAAAAGAAGTGCGATGCAGAGGTGGTCGATCTCGCGATCTGGCGGCTCGATCCACTCGCTGCAATACGCCTGGACGCTGCCGTGTCCCTGGATGAAGTGCTCATACTGGTCGACATTGCCCTTGAGCCAGGAAGCAGCGAGAAGACGGAGGTGGTAGATGATGGCGTTGGCCGAGTCGGGGTTGTTGAACTTGGCAGTCAAGAGCGCCATGGCAGCGTCGGCATTGGGCAGCACCGACAAGATCTCCTGGTAAAGGATCTGGGTCTCCTCCACCATGTCCTCGTAGACGTATGGGCTGTAGCCTCCAATGTTGAGAATGAAGTCATTCAACTGCACCACGCGTTCCATCTCGGCGCTGATCTGCGCCTGGTTACCCCCCTCGATGAGCTTCTCGAAGTATGAGAAGCCGATGGCTGTATTCACTCATGGTCAGTGATGCCGCCTCCAAGAGAATAATAGCCCATCATTGGCCGAAATGAAATGAGGCAGATGAATAAAGGGTTACGTGTCATCGAATAGCTCAAGTCATTGCTTCAAAGTAGAGCTCTCCTGGTGAAGCACGCCGGTGTCATCGTTGGACCAGGTCCTAGCCGAGACAGCACGGACATTGCGGGGTAGCGAATGGTGATGATCCAGATAAACACAGGAAACAAGCGCAAAACTCACCTCTCCAGCCGCAGTTGCCATCTCCTTGGATCGGACGGTAGTGGGAGTACGTCTGTGGGAGTGCCTGAGACAGAATAGTGAGCACGCCAAGCACAATTGACGGCGGTCAAGTCAGTCTCGTCCGCCTTCCGCTTCCCGCCCACTTACAACTGTTTTTGTGACATAGATGGGATCTGCCTTTGCATACTCCTCCGCAATGGCATGGCTCGGCGTCTTCTCGCCCACCAACGGCCCCTGGAGACGGAGATCAGTAAGCGAACCATGATAGAGAGGGCACGTGTTTCGAGACGCTGGAACTGGTCGCACAGCATGTGTGGCAGGGCAGCAGTGCCGGTGAGATCGGCAGATGAGGTGAGGGGAGAGAGTAGTGGGCGTGAGAGAGATCAGATGAGAAATATCAGCAGTGCTCCTCACCTCCAAGTTCGGCCGATAGTCTCGTGCTGCCGCCTCCTGCGCGGCCAGGTCCTCGGCGACGGAGGGATCCATCTTGATGGATGACGCGGGGATGTGAAGATGAGGGGCGGTCGTGCGGCGCCGGAGAGAGGCGCCGTGGCCTCGTGGTGTGCTGTGGCTGTAGTGAGAGTGGGGAGGAATGGAGGCGAGTGTGTTTGCGCGGACGACTGTTGTTGTCGTTGACGATGTTGTTGCTCCCGGGGGCAATGAGGCGAAGGCGGCAGCAGCAGCTGAGGAGGACGACGTTGATGTTGGGTGGAAGATGGCGGGACCTCCCATTAGTGGGCGGCCCCCGCCGCCGTGGCGGGCACTGGTGCCACTGGCGCCGCCGCCAATCAGGGCCCCAGCGCTATGGCCGCTGTGGTTAGGCCCATGCAGGCCCAGCTGTTGCGGCGGCGGCGGCTGCTGGTGGGGATAACCGCTGTAATCGGAGAGCTCCTCCCTCACCCCATACGAAGTGGTAGCGAAGGGCAGGTAGGGGGTCGGTTGAGGCTGGAACATGGCCTGCACTGGGGGGGGGGAAACAGCCGAAGAAAGATTCAGGAAAATTAAGCAAAAGGAAAGGGAGATGAACGAGAGGCGGGTGTCGTGCTCGGCGTGGATACTGAGATCCAAGAAACGCGCAAGCCAAAAATAGAGAAAAACGAGCGGTCAGGTTCGTTCGGCCTTTGGAGGATCGAGCAAGTAAAGTATGTAAGTGAGTATCGAGGAGTGGTGCGCTCTAACCAGTTACGATGCGGGATACCACTGTCTTATGGCTGGCCAGACAGGCCGAGCGAGAGAGTGTGCTGCGGGAAAGAAAGCGAAAGTCGATCGCGGGTTGCGTCAATCGTGCCGTAAGCTGACCGGGGTGCAGACTGGGTATGCGACTGGACGACGGACGGGATGGTGGTGGTATCCTCTTGCTCTGGTCGTTTGAGCTCTCACTTTGACGTGTTAGTTATTACACCAATATCCGTGCTTGGATAACACCAGACCACAAAGGTCTGGCGGAAGCAACCACACGGCCAAAGAGCATTGCATGCGCACCTACACGCATACACGCGCGATGCACGCACGCACGCACGCACACACACACACACCCACTCGCTCTCGGAGGCACAGTGGCACCCACTCGACAAACGCACATACGCCTTTCCTTCCCGCCTACACCTAGCCTGTGGTCCAGAGAGACGCTGCACAGAGAAGGCGGGTCTGAGAAGAGAAAACAAGGCAACCGGTGGCAGAGGAGCGTCAGCCAGAGTCCTAGTGGAGCGAAAAAGCTACCCGTCTTGTGGGAGCGGTCGTTGGAGAGCGTCCTGTGATATGGGCGACTTCCCGTCCGTTTAGAAACGCCTTGATGGGGGATGCGGCGAAGCGAAGGGACAGAGGGGAGGGAGCAGAGCAGCGCAGCGCAGCGCAGCGCGGATGCGGATGCGGATGCGGCGTTAGCTGACCGTGAAACGAGTCTCTTGTGTAAGCGGAGCAAACATGCGTCTCCTGCACACACACACACACACCCAAGATGCTTCTCAGCCGAAAAAGGTCGACTTCGGGCTACACCGAGTGCAGAAGAAATCCGGCTGGAACCCGTCAATTACTCCCGGCCGGCCAAGCGGATGACAGGCATAGTAGTAAGTAACCCACGGGATGGGAAGCCACAGCGGTGTACGGCCCGGAGGGTGAAGAACTCGACGCAGCAGAGCGAATGACGAAGTCCGGGTTCTGTATTGGTCCCGCAGGTGAGCGAGCGAGGTGAGCCCAGCGAGAGAGAAATTGGTCGACCAAGATCGGGATGTCGGGACTATGTAGTTGGGAGAGCGGGGGGACGTAAAAGATGGTGATCAAGATAAGACTGTCCTTCTATTCCCAGCAAAAAGAATAATTTAAAAAGGGAAGCGGAAGGGAAGAGGCAAGAAGCAATCAAACAAGAAGAAAACGGATCTGATCTGGTTGGGAGAGCTTTTGTGTCTAAATTGCACGGGAGGAGAATGCCGCCCCCAGCTTCCCACCCACAAATGCAGCCAGCAAACGTGCAGCCTGCAGGATGGACGGGCCCCTTGTTGAAGAAAAAAAAAACAAAGCAGATGCACACTGACCCGTCGCCAGATGGAACAGGGTACAAGGCGGAAAGACGATGCCATACACCACTGGCCGTAAACCATGTAGCCAGTCATCATGCAACGTGAAGAGCAAGCCATCTATCCTATCCCCGTGCAGGACTCTTGTCTCCTCGCCTCCTATGGGATACGTAACTCAAGATCAACTGCACACACGCCCACGAACCCCATACTGACCTCACGTATTTCTTCCTAGGATCTCCCTGCCTATCTGGCACGGTGTCTCCGCGACATCCCGCGCAAGAATCGATCTACTGCCAACTGCCGGCATCCTTAGCACTTGCAGCTGGCAGCTTAACAAACCTCTCCAGATGTTGTACCAACCGTCTCCATGTCCAAGGAGTGGCGAAGGGTCGAGATGATATTTGCAATCCCATTAATGGGCTAGAAAAGCAGCAATACTTGGCGAAGGGGTTACCCCAAGCTGTTTAGCGGCAAAATATGGCATCCTCGTGCGCAAGGACCAGCCGGCCGTCCAGTCCTGGCAGCAAGGTTGGGAATGTGGGAGCCAAGGTGAGCTCACTCTGTCCTTCGTACATCGTACACACTTCGTACCTGTACAGTGGATCGCAAAAAAAAGGACCTGGGCATCCGTTCCTCGACCACTTTGGGTAACCTCTAACGATCGTGTCCCACTGTGGTGCCTCAGTCTGGTTGATCTGGTTGATGGCGTGGCCCGCGACCCACGCGAGCAGCCGGTGTCTAAACGGCTCAAAAGACGATCCCATGTCCGTCATGGGCTTGCAATGGACCACATCTTGAACCAGGGTTCCCGCAATGGCCCAATCCTAGCTGCTGCTGAGATTGGCACAAGGGATTGACAAGACACTAGGCATGGGGTGGGAGGGTCGTTCGCCGACGGTACTGCAGCATGCACGCCCCTGCCTGCCCCTCCTCCACACTTTTTGTCTTTTTTTTCTCTTGCTTCAGATTCACCTTGCTTTTCTCAAGGGCAACGTGTGCTTGCCGCTCCCGTATTCGCTTTGCTTCAAATTAGCTCGTCACATCATAGCTTGAAGACCCTTCAAGCTTGGACCCTGTCGGACTCGGCCCAGGAGTTGGGCCGTAGAAACGGGAAAGCCCCGAACGGCGGTGACAAATATCAGAAGAAGTTGGGGCCTCTGGCATGGTTGCCGTTCTGCTCGAGATGACGATGATGCACTCGACCTCCACCAGGGTGCGAAGATGCAGGTGTTGGCCCAATCAAAGCAGTGCTTCTGGTTGAGTTGGGAGGCCGCAGGGAGCATCCGGAGAGGGACTGTGCGCTTGCCTAGCATGTCTCCCCGTACGCTGTCGATATTGCATGACTGCGTGTATCTCCACGGATATTTGCTTGCGAGCTCCGCCAGCTTGGGCTCTCATCTGGCCTGTGCTGTGGTGACGGATCTAACCCGCACAGAGATCGGGTGTACCTACTTGTATGCACGGTCAATAGTGATCGACAAAGCCAGAGAGCAAATGCAAGACAATTCTCCATCCGTGCGTGTCATTCCCGCGGCCTTGCTCCAACAAAGCTCACAGACGCAATCAACTAGTTGCCGACGGACCCAATAGTATGCTCAGGCTGAAAAGTTGACTGATCAGCTCCAAGCCAAGCACTACTGTTCTGACACCAGACCTCAAAGAGATGTTGTTGCGAAGTTCTACTTGTACCGGCGCGCAATTCGCCCCCGTCATGCTCGGAGCGGGGGCGCAATGACGAAGGTTGCAACGGCAGACATAATCCAACTCCTAGTGCGTGTTAGTTACCTAGCTTCAGCGCAAGTCGATCTGCAGGTCTGCATCGACTGGTGCGGGACTTGACGGCTTGGAGTGTCCACCCGTCAGTGGACGTACCAAAGCATGTCCGGTGCCCATGTGTCACAGAATGCCAAAAGGTGGGCTCCGTTTGATCACAGCGCACAGGCGGCTCTGTCCATCGCTCGCTCAGGGACCGCAAGGAAGCCAGAGCTGCCGGTGGGAAACATTGGCGATCCCTGAGCGGCGGCTGCAACAGGACCAGGTGGGTGTCGTGAGGCTTGGTGGGGAACCTGGAGATTGGGCATCGGACCGGCCTGCCAGACCTTGGCGAAAAGGCGCGCGCTCGCTGAAGCCGAATTCCTCCAATCGTCTGGTGACCTGCGCCGCCATGCTCTTCGTGTGTCTCTGATCGCGGAGGGCATGTTTGCTTGAGCGGATGGCCACGCCTCCGCTGCCGAGTCAAAACAAAAACACCTAGGTGCTGAGACGCAGCCGAGGAGTGGCACTGCCTCCCCCATCCGGCACCCCGTGCTCGTGTCCACTGCCCGGCATGCTCTGATGCGCCATGGCCGATGGTTGCAACGTGTGTCGACAGCACCGCTGTGTGTCCCTGACAGCTCGAATCTCGGTGTACAAGTAGGCAATGGGGTGAGTGAGCTGAGTTTACGTCGGAAGAGAGAGATAGCGTCGCGAACGACCCGCACTGCGGCCACGCTAGGACGACTTGACGTGATTACGACGGGCTTGTCTTGGTCCAAATTAAGATTGATGAAATAGTCAGGCTCCGGCCCAAGCCAAACTCCAATAAATCCGGCCCTAGGTCGACCTAGAGAAATGATATGATTAGGCGAAAGTGCTTCGCTCGCGGGCGTGCCCACGATACACACCTTGGTTAGTTCGTCCAGGTAGCGCGCCGCCAGCGGATCGAGCATGGATGAGCCCTGGTTTGACGCTGTGCTGCAACCTTGATTCCCACACGGAAAGACGGCCGTACCCGCTGCCATCCCGCGCCCGACGGCAAACAAACTCTGGCCCATGATGGAGCCGACAGCTTCTCTCGCACGTTCCTGTGCCTGTGTAGGCAGGGAGCGACTTGAGGTATCTAGCCTTTTCGAATCATCTCTCCCCACCCCACATGGGTCGTTAACGCAAATCGCGTAAAACGAGCAGGGGAACAGAGCATCAATGCCAGCGCACGCGGACAAACTTACACATTGATGACCAAGATCATTGATGGGCCCAATGAACTACCAACGGATGTGCTCCGAGCTTTGTCGACGAAACCCCTCAATTTAGACTCCGCGCTTTTGTGAGAAGCTGTGTTGCAGAGTCGTATCAAGATCCAATGTTCTTTTTTTTTTTACTCGCATCTAGGCGAATGCACCTCTGAAGGATCAATGGTCAGATCACTGGCCAAAGGTGGATTCTCCCCCAATCCTGATCCATAGGGTTTTAAGCCCTCTCTGCGGAAAGCGCAGACAAGGAAGTTACGCAGGGTGTCATTCCTGGAGGAAGAAAGGGTCTTGCCTGGCAGCTTAGGAACCCTCGACTCGCTTGACACCGGCCTTGCGCTGCCACTTCTGCTCGAGCTCTGTCTACCTGCTTGACTTAGTGCCTCGATGATCTGGATCAACGGTATCTGAAAGAAGAGAAGTCTAGATCATCGCTCGTGCATGCAGCTCTGGCCTCCAATCCCTGTCTAGTCAGTGGACGAAGGGTAGGAGTTTGCTGGCAATTGCCTTCGCCGAAGGTGCTGTGTATCGTCAGTTATCACATTGGCGACAGGCTGGTCGTCTCGCGGGCGAGCTCAACTCCCCGTAGCGAAACAACCGATTGCCGTACCAAGGTGGTTGTCCTGCTGGTCCAGTCTCCACAAGCTGAGCGTGCACAGGCGGGCGGGCGGGCGAGCAAACTTGGATGTCTTGCCTTTCCCGTTGCTTTCCCGTTGATTGCGACCGACCCGCTCCCATCGGCCGCGACCCATGGTACGGGGAGACATCCAATGGGCTCTTGGCTCTTGGCATGGCCAACCGGTCAAGATCGGTGAGCACCCGTTACATCCCATCCTATCCGATTGTCATGGTCATTCGGAACCTATCGTCAGTATCTTGTCGCGTTGACTAGGAGAGACAGATATTCTGTGCCAACCAATTGCTCACTCGGTCTATTGCCGGCCGAATACCTGGCCAGGAGACGTCAGTCCATGCGTGATAATACGAAGCATTGTCGTTTCACGTAATAGAAAATGCTTTGCAGATGCGGTCTGAGTACAGAGAATTTGCTAGGCACTGTTCTGGGGAAGAGAAGCCAGTCGCCACTCCATGGACACTTTGAGCGCCTCGGTGTCGGTCCCCCTCGATATGCTGTGCCAGCTCTGTTGTAACATGCATTGCATGCAGGCAAAGGAGGCGGACGTGCCGAGGCAACAACACGGTTCATCAGCATGCGCAGGGGTCGCAGAGAGGAGAGGACGAGAAATCTAGGTAGCTCTAGATCGCGCATCACGTTGTCAGATCCCGCGTCTCGGAGATCGCAGATCATTCCCCAGGGCTCCATCTGCCAAAATCGCTCTCTCTCTCTCTCTCTTCCCATCCATCCCGGCACCAGGACCACGTCACCGAAGTCGGAGGAGAGGAGATAGAAAAAGCAAACCCCCGTATCAAATTCAGACAAGGAGGGTAAACGATCCGGGTCTCACAAGGCGGCGCCCGCGCGCGCGCTCACAGACTGCACCAAGAACTGCGTTATCTCGCAGCAGGCCCGCATACCGCGGGCCAACGCTACCGGCAGATCCCAGATGCAAACGCACAGGCCGCTTCTGTCTCGGCGGGAAACGAGTGTAAGAGAAAGAAACGGATTAGGGGGGGGAGGGGAGGCTGCGCAAAGAAAATCTGATGACACTCCTGCAGCAGCAGCAGCAGTGGGTATTTTCCCTGAAAACAAAGGGGGGGTGTTTTCCCAGCTGCATGGACAGAGAAAGAGCTCCTGACCACCAACTCGGTCATCCCTACGGCGAAAAGCGTAGCATTGGCAGGGTGTCCCATAGATTGCTTGCATGCAGCTACCCGTCCGTGTGCCATTCTGCTCATTTCTCACTTTTCCCAGATCCTCCTCCCTTCCTTTCGCTCTTGGTCCCAGTCCCGAGGCGTCCGGCATATCAACGAGACTCAATAATATCATAGGGGTTGTATTTGGCGTCAAGCATGCAACCTGTAGCTCTGATCAAGCATGCTCGAATAGCCTCGAGTTACCCTCTCGGAAGCCGCTCCCCCCACTCCGGACGGCAGCACCGCAGCGAGAATCCTAGGGATCCTATGCCGCCTCGGCAGGATGCAGCGAAGCAAACAGCAAGTATGTCATGCAGATACACAAAGCATCGCACAGAGCTAGCCCAGTCAAGATGCTCATGCCGCTGGCTTGGAAACCCCGGAGACCACATGGGCAACTGTTGCGAGCCTCTGGACCAGCCATTGGATAGTGAGCGAAGCCACCGGTGAAGTTTGTACCCTGCACAATGTCCTCAAGTGTGGATTGGTCTGTACATAAGTCGTGATTAATGACATCTCTATCCGATGGATCTATGTTCGGTTGTTGCCCGGGGACCCCGCTATGACTGGTCGATGATGACCTTTTGCGTGATGTTCATACCAATAGCACTACTCCCGTCTAACACACAGCATGCGCATTCCTCGTCCTGCAGGCCGTACAGAGAATCTAAGAGACCATAGCGCCCCAATTGCTCTTGCCTTTGCGCATCGGACCGCCTCTGCCGGCCGTTCGTGTCCTCGCTGCCAGATTGACCTCTTGTCCGCTTTCCCACTCCGTTATGAATTCGTGCCCTGTTCTGAAGCCGTCTGAGTCCCTGAAAACAGTGGCGTACAAGGACGCCATGTTCTCAGACAGGGCCTGTATACTCTGGATGCGTTCACCATTGGCCGACGACTCGATCTCGAGGGTGCCGGTCTGCTCATCAATCTTGCCAGCGATTTTGCCATCGACAACAAGGAAGCCCAGAATGTCCTGGGTTTCGGCCTCGCTGATACGGAGCTGCTTCGCGATCCAAGAGAGCCTCATCCGAGTGTAGGGGGCAATGAGTTTGAGGACTGCCTTGGTGCGCATGTTGCGTGTGACCTCGTCGATGTTTTCGGCGATGAAAGGATCTGCGAGCAGATCCTCGTTCTTTTGCAATACATCCTCGTACTTGTGGATGTCATCCCTCTGGTAAGCATCCACCAGCTCGGTCATGGCTGCGATGCGAGGGTCGTTCTTGTAGGGCTTGGTTTCCTGGGAATCGAATGGGTTGATATCCGAGCCCATCAGAATAGTGGTGAGGAGCAGGTACTTGAGCACCTGGATTCGCTGGAGCGAGCCCGCCTCATCGTAGTTACGGAACGACTCAAAGAAATCGCTCTGTGCGTCCTTCCAATTCTCTTCGCTCATGTGCATCTTGCCACCGCACTCTCGAATGATACCCATGATCTTGGGATGTGGTACAGCCGAGCGTACCTTGAGCGCACGCTGATAGAGCCGCTTCAATTGCTTGTTGTTCTTTGTCTCGGCGTACATCTGAATCTCCAGGGCGTAGATCTCGAGAGAGTAAGTGCCCTTGCTGGGATCATCGCTGCCATCCTCCTTCTGGCACGCCTTGTGAAGATCCTTAAGCTTCTTCATGACGGAGTGGTAATCTTTCCGGTCGAGGAGGAGTTTGGCGAGCTTGATGTTGGTCTTGAGCCAGAGCCGCTCGTTGTTTGTGTTCTGAAAGCACTTCAGGGTGAGAGAGTAGAAGTTCTCCATGCATTTGGCTGCCTCCGGGTCGTCGGAGCTCTTCTCGATGTAGTCCAACATGTTGTTGATGGACTTCTCAGAGTAATTTCGAGTGACGGCGGATTTGACGTAGGTGAGAAGCTCGGCATAGTGTTCGCTTGCCTACGGAGATAGAAAAGTCAGCACCGGACTGCGATATATCGAAATGCGACCGATGCTCACCCTCTCATAGCGCTTTAGCTTGAACTCGAGCTTAATAGCTTGCTTCAGGCCTTTGAAGCCCCAATCGCCCTTCTCTTGCTCTAGATCGGGTACTCCCAAGAACTCGTCTATGGCCTCTTCCGGCTCTGATAGCTTCATCTGTTTGGCATTGTAGTACTTGTTCTCGATGTCGACCGCTCCAGAGTCCTCGTCATCGTCATCGTCCTCGTAGTCGAAATCATACTCCTCATCGTCGGACGCTTGCATGAAGTCGTCATCGGACATGATGGGCGATGGGTCTCGAGGATCAACCAGAAGTATGTCAGGTTCGGGTAGATTGCCGTGTTGCAAAGACTGTTGGGAATCCCAGTGAAAAAAGTCGAGGAAGCCTGGGAGATGCTGAGAACTGTTTGCGATAAGGTTGTTGCTCTGGTGTTGGTGGAGGGAAAATTGCGGGGTGTAGTGAGGTTGGAGCTGTTGCCTGTGCTTTAGTTAGTTAGTGGGAGCTCGTCAACACAGCATATGTTGAGACCCCGGGCCAGCTTATCTTATCTGTGATAAAGGCTGGTCTGGGGTGATCAAAGCACAGACCAGCTGTATCCAAATTCTGGACTTTCACTATCGCCACCTCATTTTATCAGGCTGCGTCCATCTTTCTCCTCTTTGCAACTGCACTTTTCCGGACCGCTTCACGGCCAGCATTGCCGATTAGATTCTCAAAATGGGTGGCGGCGACTTGAACCTCAAAAAGAGTTGGCACCCGCATCTCCTCACCAACCAGCGACGAGTATGGGAATCCGAACAGGCGGCGCTTGCTGAACGTAAGAAGACTCAGGAGCGCATCGCCGAGCTCAAGAAAGAGAGGGCCGAGGAGGAGATTCAACGACAACTCGAAGCCTCGGGCGCTCGCAAGCGTGTTGACCGAGTCGAATGGATGTACCAGGGCCCTACCGACGGCCAGGTCGGTACTGCCGAGGAGAGAGAGGCGTTCCTGCTCGGCAAGCGGAGGATCGACACCATCCTCAAGGATGGCGAGACTAAGAAACTCGAGAAGCACGCGAGCCAAGAGAGCTTTATGGCGCTGCAGAATGCCAACAGCGCCCGCGACACCGCATCCAAGATCAGAGAAGACCCACTGCTTGCCATCAAGCGCCAGGAGCAACAGGCCTACGAAGCAATGATGACCGACCCGCTCAAGAGGCGTCAACTCCTAGCGTCGATGGGCATAGTCGACGAGAAGGAGAAGAAAAAGGAGGATCGGCACCACAAGCGCAGGCATCATCACAGACGGCGACATCATGATGACGACTCAGATGATGAACGACGGCACAAGCGGAGAAGGTCAGACTCGAATGAGCGACCGAGGGATAAACGAAGATACGAGTCCGATGACGAGGACCGATCCAGGAGGCACAGGCGTGATTCTAGGGAGAGGCGGCGGCACGACTCTGACGAGGAGGACCGGAGTCGGCGCGACAGGCGCGAGCACAAGGACAGGCGCAGCGGGGATAAGCGCGAACGTTCAAGGTCTCGGTCCCCAAGGCGCGATACTTCACGGGATGGAGACCGGCGGCGGTCACGTCGGGAGGATGGCGAGGAGCGCCAGAAAGGATCGCGGCGCGATTCGGTCGAGGAAGACCGCAGGTCTCGGCGCCCGCGGTCACCTCGAGATGATCGGGATCGCCAACGTGAGGACTATCGAGCAGAGCGGCGCACTGGAGGTGGTTACAGGGACTCCAACCGAGATGGGCCGAATCACCGCAATGACCGGCCGCGAAATAGAAACGGAGGTGGAGGCGGAGGCGGCGGCGCGGCAGACGACAAGGCCGCGGAGGAGGAGCGGGCACGCAAACTCGCAGCCATGCAGGATGCTGCTTCCGATCTGGATCAGGATCGAGAGCGCCGCCTAGCTGACATCGAACAGCGGGAGCGTGCTGAACGGGAAGCTGACGAGCAAGCGCGGCAAAAGGATTCGAAATATGGAGATCGCGCATTTGCCAACGGCCTTCATCGTAAGGCTGGAGATATGGCACTGGCCGACAGGATCGGCAGGAGCCGGCAGGGTCTGCAGAAAGATGATGATTAGGAAGTCCCGGCAGATGCATGCCTATACAGTCTTTGAGAATACCAAAATTGTCCCTTGGCACATGAACATGGCGCTCAGCCCCCCAGATGACGAGTGACAAGTCTATGAAGTACGTAACCCAGGTCTAGATCTTTCGTGGAACTCTTTCGTGGGACCAGTGCAGATGACCCTCTAATACTTTCAATCTTTCTCCTGTGAATTGACGAGTGTATCATTGTTATGAACAGACATGCATTCAAGATAAAGGCTGCTGCCCAGATTCTGCAACCTTGCTTTTCATAACTGCCGCCGCCTCTGCCTTGTCTTGCTCCTTGCTCCTTGCTCCTTGCTCCTTGCTCCTTGCTCCTTGCTCCTTGCTCCTTGCTCCTTGCTCCTTGCTCCTTGCTCCTTGCTCCTTGCTCCTTGCTCCTTGCCCCATATCTTTGCTTCTCTCGGTTCTTTGGCTGTCAAAGCGGGTAAAACAAGCATCTTCAAGGGTCTGGAGTAGCTAGCGTCCATCTAGAACAGGACGCATCCATGTCGAGTATCCATCCAGCTCACCCAATCTGCCAGTCTAGTCCTCGAGAGGGTGTTTTCTTTGATTAGCGTGCATCTTTGTCGCGCGGTGGCCAAGAGAGCGAGCAGCAAATGGGGCACCTAGGCGATCAGTGATTGGCATGTGCATACATACAAGTACAAGTACACTGCTGAACACAAATGATCATCCCAGAATCGAACCTGCGGCAGCGGCCTGTCCAGTCCCACGGAGCCAAGGTCGAGGAGACGCAGCAGCGGCATCAAGGTGAACCAGAGAGATGGGAATCGACCTCATGTAGGTACTTACTTGTAACTACGTGCATGTTATCATGTCATGTCAGCTCCGATGCCTTGCCCTCGACACCCTCTCCTCTCCCCGTCCTCGCCTCCATCCTCAGCGTCGCCGCCTTGCCCTGCCTAAAAAAAGTATCCTTGCCAACCTAACCCAACCTAACCTTACTCCGTACCTCTCTTGATGTTATTGCGCCGGCTCCACTGACCTCATCAATTTCCCCATCTCCAATCTCAACCTGCATGCGACTGATTGACACGTCCCTGGCTGGCCTCTAGGATTTCCCATCAGCCCTCCCCCAATCCGCAATTCGCACATCTCACTGTTCCCCCCCCTCCCCCTTCACGAGCCTTTGATTTGCTGTCCAGATCGAGCAGCTATCTCAGCCTCATATTCTTGTCTCCCTCCTCCTCACCTCTTCCTTCCTCCCTCCGCAATTGGTGTCTCACCTTTTACCAATAACACCACCGGGTCCCCAACTGAGTGTTTCGTAAACGCGCGCGCCGCTCCGTCTGCCCGCTCGCCCCAACCTCGCCTCGCACCCCTCGCTGGACAAGCCTGTCTCTCAACTTTCCTGCTCCACAGAGCACCGAGGGGCCTTGTCCATTCCGACCCGTCTCTACATCCCCAGCAATCGAGTCCGTGCTCGTTCTCGGTACTCCATCTAGTCGAGACCTCCTTTGGACAAACCCAAGACATCTCCGGACTCTCAGATTGCTTTTTTTTCTCTCTTCCCTCTTCGGTTCTCCAGCTACTTACGTCGTCATTCCCACATTCCTTCCTTCCATCATCATCAGACAGACACGCGCCATCCTCGTCCTGCAACCCCACCGATCGCGACGCCACCAAGTACCACCACAACAACCTCAAGATGCCAGCGCTGTGCGGAGGATCAAAAACGGTCCAGCGCAAGCTGGTCTTGCTGTAAGGAGAAGCCTTGCGGTCATGTGCATCTGCCTCTGCCTCTTTTGTCTCCTCCTGCCAAAAGGCAGAGGTGGAAGGGACAGAGGGTGCACATGACGTGCATTTGTTGTCCTGCGCTAACCACTCATTCCTGCGCAGAGGCGATGGTGCTTGCGGAAAGACGTCACTGCTGAACGTGTTCACGAGAGGGTAAGTGGCGCGATGCATCCTGATCATGCATGCCGGCTATCTTGTGCTAACCCGTGCCCTCACATTGCAGTTACTTCCCCACCGTCTACGAACCCACCGTCTTCGAAAACTACGTCCACGGTATGTGCTGCGGTGACGGGTTTTCCAAGGAGGGAGGGAGGCAAGAACTAACAGACTGTTTCTCCGCTCAGACATCTTTGTCGACAACGTCCATATCGAGCTCTCGCTATGGGACACGGCGGGACAAGAAGAGTTCGATAGGCTGAGGAGTCTGTCCTACGGTACGTCCAACCCCTAGGGGGGCAACTGTTGGGCCGTACACCAGAGGAAACTAACGAAAGGGGCGCGAACACCCCCACCGCAACCACAGACGACACCGACCTCATCATGCTCTGCTACAGCGTCGACAGCCGCGACTCCCTCGAGAACGTCGAGTCCAAGTGGGTGGGCGAGATCGCCGACAACTGCCCGGGCGTCAAGCTCGTCCTCGTCGCGCTCAAGTGCGACCTGCGCGAGTCGGGAGACGAGGACGAGGCGGACAACGCGGCCGCGTCTGCCGCAGACGGGTCGAACCCGCAGCCGCAGCGCGAGAAGAAGCCCATGATCACGTACGACTCGGGCCTCGAGGTCGCGCGCCGCATCAACGCGCTGCGGTACCTCGAGTGCTCGGCCATGAGGAATCGCGGCGTCAACGAGGCCTTCACCGAGGCGGCGCGCGTGGCGCTCAGCGTCAAGAAGGACCGGGAGGGAGACAAGTGTGTTGTTATGTAGGGAATGGGAGGACGGCGGAGCGGAGTGGTGTGGTGTGGTGTGGGGGGATGAGATATGTGGAAAGCGACAATCTGCGGCGAGTTTCTGAACGGCGACAATACCCACGATGAAGAATATCCATTCGAGGCGGTCACAAGTCAGAGACGGGATCACATGACATGTCAGAGGCTCCCAGGGCTTTCAGGGCTCGGTACGACGGGAGTGGCGCGTGTCAGAGATGAAGAGATGGAGAGAGTGGCAGAGAGAGGAGAGAGAGGAAGGAGGGACGACTTCGGTCAGGGCTATGGAGAAATACCCCCCGTGTGGCTTACATCTTCGGCCCTTGTTACTCTATTTTTGTTGTGTCTGACTACGGCGTCTTTCATGTGCGTTTCTTCTGGCACAGACCATACTACTTTTTGTTTCTACTATGTCTTTCGTCACCTTTCTTCATGTACATATATTCGAGTACGACCTTTTATTACTCGCGCGCCCGCATAGTCATGAGAATTTTTGTTTTTTTACAACCGCTGGCCTACCGGGCCCTGTTTCGAGCGCCAGATGCTGATATACGGTGACTGTCATGGCTATTATCCGGATGAGGGTGAGATCGTGACGGTAGAGTTGTATCAGAGCCAAAATCGCTCCGATGATGCCTCGACTAGCCTAATTACACAAGGGTATCATTTCGCACAGCAAACACAACACAATAGGCACATGCGCCTCTCACAACGCCAGCCCCTTGGCCCCCTTGGTCCACCGATACAGCGACAGCGCCCTCCGCCTCGCCTTGTGCTCCTCCCACTCGGTCGGGCTGGACCCGCGCACGCTGTACAGCGTCGACCGGAGCACCTTGCGGAAGTTTTTCTACATTTGGTGTTCGAATGCATTGTCAGCCCCGGGCAGGCCCCACCGGAAACCAAGAAGTAGCCAGAGAGAGGGAGAGAGAGAGAGGGTGAGGGAGAAAGATACGGACCTGGAACTCGGTGCTCAGCGTCACGACGCACACCTCGTGCGCGCGGATGATGGTCTCGCACGCCTGCTCGACCGACTGGTTGGGCCCGAGCTGGGGCATGCGGTCGGCGAAGAGGAGCAGGATGAAGCTGCCGTGCAGCAGGTAGATGCCGAAGAGGTAGGGCATAAAGGTCAGCTCCGGGTCCGAGGCGAGGATCTGCGAGACGGCCTGCGAGGCGGCGATGGCGTGCGAGGCGCAGTCGTTGAAGCGCGTCGACGTGATCCAGTCGTCGTCGTCGTCGAGCATGCTGATGGCGTCCCACTTGCCGTGCAGCAGCACGTGCAGCACGTGCAGGATGTGCGTGCTGTAGGCCGTTACGAGCTTGAGCCGCGACGCGTCGCGCGTCTGCTTGTTGCTGTTGCTGCTATTGCTGTTGCTGTTGTTGTTGTTGTTGCTGCTGCCGCCGGCGGCCGCCGCCGTCGAGCTCTGCTGCTGCGGCGACTGCAGGGGCAGGCCCGTCACGATGTCCTTGATGTGCGGGCCGGGCGTCGACAGGGGCGGCGGCGGCGCGTGGTGGTGGTACTCGAGGATCTCGACCTCGCGCGCCAGCGCCTCGAGGCTGCGCTCGCAGCTGCGCAGCAGCTCGCCGACGGCGGCGACGGCCTGCGCGTCGTCGAGGTGGCCGAGGCGCGGGTGCTGCCGGCGGTGGTGCACCTCGATGATGTCGCCCAGGATGGCCATGAGCGGCAAGAAGTACTCGAAGAAGCCGGTGCCCGTGACGGCGGTCGGGGGCCCGAGGACCCGCGGCGGCAGGTCCCTCTGCGGGATGGCGTCCAGGTCCTCCCAGGCCGCCTCCGGCAGGGGCGCGTAGATCTCGCAGTACGAGTCCGGGATGTACAGGACGGTGTTGAAGGACAGGGCGAGGTGCCGGTCGAGGCAGTACAGCAGCCAGAACACCCTTCGCCTCTCCTCCCTCGGCTCGGAGTTGGCGAGCGAGTTGTATTCCGGGTCCCTCCGGCAGGAGCAGATGGGGTTGGCGCATGGCGATGCGGAGCACTGCTCGTCTTCGCGGTTCAGTCGCAGGGACATTGCCAAGCGGACGGCTTTGCTCCACCACTTGAAGCAGTCGGACTTGAAGTCGCCGCCCGACACGGCAATGGAGAGCAGAATAAAGGACAAGACATCGTCGATGACGCCCGCAGGTTCGTTTGTGGCTGTAGTCGTGGGTAGAGCGGACATGAACCCGAACTGGTCATCTGTCTGGTCATTTTCGGCACGGAGACCTCCTGTCTAATTGTCAGCAAGGGCAGGTTTTGGCTTGTTAATACCACTTTGTTATGCATACCGTGTATCCTCCGCCACCGGTCCGGATCTCTTTCCGTGATTAATGACGTCGCCAGACCATAAAGTGCATTAGTGATCTTGGCCCTCGACCCGGGGACGTGCAGCAGGACGATATCGGCTGTCTGTGCGGACACCCAAAGCATAGTTGCTAGTAGAGCAGGTGTCGTTGGTCGAGGGTTTGTAGGATGGAGCAACGACTTCTTGCGGAATATTCTCGTGACGATATAAGGAGATGCGCAGCGGAAGAGGGAGCTGCCCGGCTCCGTTAGGTAGACGTCAAGGAGGTCGCAGGCGACAGAGGCCGGTATGATGTCCCGAATATGGGGCAGCACGGGATCCAAGCACCGATACCTGCAGTCTGACGTTGGCGCCCGGTACAACGAATTCATGCGCTGCAGTTCGGCCAGCGATCCCTCGGCACCAGTCGACGTGCTGTAGGATCGACGATCATTCCTTTGCGGAGCCGGACCAGCACCGAATGAGTTTCTCTCGTGGCTTCGCGGTACCGCTTGCTGGTGAGCAGCAACGCCATTCGCGGCATTGGCCGGTGAGGGGTAGCCGGCGCTGTCATCCGAGACAAGAACATCATGCTCTGATGGCCGGCCTGGGTACACGGCCGCCAGAGAGGGGCTCCCCTGAGAGCCGTGTGGCATCTGTGTGTCAAGGGTAGGTTCTAACAGAGTTGAGAGTTGAAGATGTACGTGACTCCCGTAGCCCGGAGAGGTCAGTGCCTGGATGGTTTGCGCCGGGGCAGGTGGCGCCGTCATAGAAGTGCTTGCGGTACTGCCATGACGTGCAAGCGGGGGCGGCCTATTGAAGCTTGTGACATCGCTTTCGCGGTTTACAGGCGCGAAGTGGGAAATAGATATGGCGGCATCACGAGGGGACGTCACGGGAGGTGATGGGGAGACATCGTTGCTGTGCGGGTTGTTGGCGCTGTTGTTGCCGGAATGAGCAGGGTCCGATGCCACAGACCCTCCGGCCAGTGAAGCTGTGGGCACGCGGCCACGCTTCTTGATCTCTCGGTTGTATCTGCATGTATATCCGTAGTCTACAGTGTGAGAGAGATAGAGCATAGAGGGTCAGCAAATGACTGTGCTTCAAGCCTTGGATAGAGAGCCAAAGAGCGCATGAGATGAGGAGCGAGCGCACCTTCACAACGACGACTACATCATGGAACAGACGACAGTCAGTACATAATTATCATAAGCAGAGTGGTTCGCACTAGGTAGTCGAGGAGTCCATACCATGGGCACTCGCCGTCACAGCGAGTTCGAGATGTGCTGCACTTGTCGCAGGCACGCCGGGTTCTCTTGCGCGGACGGGCGTGCTCGAGCATGTCAGCGTCCTCGTCCGCCCGGGAAGGGGACAGCGTCCTGTCGTCAACAACCATGGCATCCATCACGCGCCATATCCCTGGGTTCATCAAAGCTTGGTGCACGGAAGTCCGGTGCGAAGTGAGACGGTGACGAGTAGCGCGATAAGACGATGGCGCGGCAAGACTGCCCGGCCCAATGGCAAGAGTTTACTGATATTGCCCGGCGCTGTCTAGAGAAGCATGGACACTGAGAGTCCCGTCGCAAATCCACAAGGCGTCACAGATGGATGGATGGATGGTGTTCTGGGGGCTGCGCACGTATGCGAATGCCCAGGCGGTCGCAAATCGGAGTTGCAGGCAGGATGGGATGGTGTAAGCTCTGCCAGGCACTGGTGTGGGGGAACAAGAGAGCTGGGCTAGGCGAGAAAACGAGATCAAATGTTGGAAGTGTGGAAGATCTCGGAGATTTCCTGAGGGGGGGGTTCACTCGCACCCAACGGCCCAGCAGGTCGCGAATAAGGAGTAGCAGGCTCGGTATGCCGCTGCTTGGATGGATGTCGGCGGGTGTCTTGTCTGTGTTTGGACTGCTGGAGATCCGGAACAGCAACAGCAACATGTAGTTTTCCCTTTGGCTGGCATTGAGCTTGAACCCTGGGGCAGATGGGGCGCTTTTCTGCATCCTGAATCTCTCCCCCGCAACTGGCCAGGCAGTTTTCCTTCCAAGCTTCTCCACCATTCATTCCCTTTAGCAGCAGTCAGTGTACGGAGTAGCACCCGACCGCAGTGTCGTGCTGATGATTAGCGGAGGAATTCGCCTCAACTGTAGCGTCCCGAGTGGAGCTCGTCGTTTTGGCGAAATCTCCGCTGCAGAAGGATCAACCACAAACCTGGGACGCCAATTTTCCCTCGAATGCGGACCGGAATACTAATGGCCAAGGGGCCTCCAGCTCTTTGTCATTGAGAAATTATCAATTATCAGAAATGAAGCTACACAATAAGGCTCGACTCCTTAGTCCAGAAGAATGGAGGCCAAGGGGGTACCTCGGTGCGAGAGCAAGAAGAAGTGGCGGCAGGGAGCCCGGTTCGCATTGACACGGGAGCATCGGTCCGGTGAGCCGAATCGTCTCGATCCGGTGCATGCCAGATTGATCCACTCCTCCCGTCCCCGACTACAACCCATCCGCAAGGCTGTACCCTTCGGTCGATAATCTGTTACCACAAGCATAAAAGAAGGAAGAGGAAGAAGGGTAGTCTTAGTTTCTTCAACGTCCAGGATGTCCTTCATTCCGTGACGGGCGTTGTATACTGCACCAGACACTGACCGTGCTGAACGATGCGATTTCCACAAACGTATAGTCGAGGAACGAGGACATTCGGGGGTGATCCCTCATCGAGTAATGCAAACCGAGTAAGTGTTTTAGCATTCGCATAATAAGGGGTCGGGTAAGCCAAAGAACGCATCGGAGACAAAGATCGAATAGAACATTACTATCTTGGGTTACTGGTGCTCAGACACAGGTCTCCGCGCTGAGAGGCACGATACTGGGTCTCTTGCCCTGCTGTGCTGCGTCTATGCGTGAAAGATGACGCCGGTGGCAGCGACGATAGCCTGAAGAAATAGGCCACGAGACAGTAAATCTAGTTAAAGCATGCGAGGGGTCCGGGCGCAGAGATGCGCAAGGCCTTATCAATATTCAGAAGTGTCTAGTCCATCACCGCCTGGCCCCGTGGCCAGGTTGGAATCCCTGACGGTTTATAGAGTTGCAAAGGCAGGCCGAGGAGGACCGAGTTCGATTCCCGTATCGAGTCAACAACCCAAAACCACTACTCGACGACAGTGCGATTTTGGAGCGAAGTAAAATACTTTCGTAGCAGACTTCCCACCGGGCGAGTCTGTGAGCTTTTTGCTGGTTCTGACATTTTCTTTTTGGCATTTCTTTTTGGTGTTTGATGATACCAGTCGGACTCTACCCCTGAATATCCTCATCTACACCGAGAAGTACCGTCCTGATCTTTGGTGAGTAAGTCTGCCGAGTCACCTGTTTTCTCTTTTAGACTTGGCTTTGTTCACCAGCTATTCATCCAGCGGACAAAAGGACTCGCCAATAGAACAATACCTCCATTCTGAACCACACAGTCATTGTTGCAACTCTTTATTGTCCACACCGCTACACGAGTTTGTTCATTCCTTTTAAAAGTGCAGTCACTCGAGCAAGCAGATGCGACTATCGGCTTTCATTCGCTGCGAATCGATACTAAACTGGCGCCCTTTTCAGCCGATTCCAAGTTCTTGGTCGGAATCATTTCTGTCGTGTATTTACAGAAATGAGAAATGATTTTATACTGAACATCCGACTCTTTCTTTACTCTGACCGACAGGTTCTGCCGTCCGAAGAAATCATGTTCAAGTTCAGCCTTTCGCCGGGACCTCCTTTTGAGGAGTTCTATGTGAATCAGAAACTGACACTCACTGTATCTCCAGAGGACCTGTCCGACCTGCCCAAGGTCATCCACGTCCGGATCCGCGAGATGATCTCAAACACCATGTCCTTCACCATGCTGGTCGACATCCTCGACCGCGACGACGACATATCCCTCACCGGCACCTCGACCTTCTTCCTCAAGCTCTTCGACCGGCGCTTCTCCAAGGCCTTTCGCGACCAAGTGCCCTGGTCGACCGCCAGGGAGCGTGCGTTCGTCAAGGCAGCCACCATCGGAAGAGAGGGGCTCGACGGCTTCGTCTTCAGCATCTGCGCTCTCGAGAACTACCGAGAGCAGACGGCGCAGGCCTGGACTGTGGCCCAGAGGGAGGCCTGCCTGGCCGTGGACATCGCAGATGTCTACTACGACGAGCTGTCCGTATACGATGCTCTCCAGGACTTTCAAGGGCAGAGCATCCCGCGGTTCGTTGCCTCTCTGGAGCTCGACATCAGCCCTCTGGGGGTAGACGTCCCGCCGCGAGATCCAAATGCCGCCTTTGCCACCTTCGAGCCGTTTATAGTCAAGGGCATACTCCTGGAACGCATCGAGGGCTTCACCCTCTGGGACATGCCCGACCGTGGTGTACCGCGGTGGCAGTGGCAGGGCCTCGTCGACAAGGCGCGACGTATGCTGGACATACTCGACGACAACGAGATCCTCAACATGGACGTGCAGCCGCAGAACTTTATCGTGGCTCCCCTGACCGACAAGCCCGAGTCTACCGATGACTACAAGGTCTACATGATCGACTTCGGCATGTGCAGGTTCCGTGAGGAAAACGAGTCGAACCTTGTTTGGTCGGTGGCCAAGAACACGTACAATGGGGACGGGAGGCTGTTTTACTGGATGAACATTAGGTTGGAGAGAGAGGGCTTCGTGCTCCGGAACGACGGTTTCCCAGGGTATAGACCATGGGATCCGTCACTCTTGGATGCCATGTGATTGGGAAGCTTGTTGCATAATAATATTACATTTGAATTGCGATAGAAAAAAATACTTGACATAGTGATACTGAATCGAAATGAATGCATGAAAGTCGTCATCTACAAAGATAGTCTCACACGATGCCTTACCACAGACTCCCCAGTTCCCAGCCAGGTAAATCGAGTTCTATCATCCACTCACTACAGTCCTCAGATATCGCTGCCTCGCGGCCACCAAGAGTATGTGACGACACCACACCCAGCGACCCTGGACTCATCACCACCTTGCTGCGCTTCCCACGACCGCCGCCACGGACGTTCTGCTCTTCCCGCCGCCGCTTCTTCGCTTCAGGTGCCGTGCCGGTCCTATCAATGCCGTTATCCTCCGCGACATCCTCCCACCCATCATCATCAACCCCGAGCCCATGCGACGCCGGCAGGACATACCGAAACATCGCATCCGGCAACCGCCCCCGGATCTCCGCCGCCGCCTTCCACGGCGGCCCCAGCGTTCCCGCAGAGATGACAATCCTGTCGGCCCTGCCGCCGCCGCCGCCGCCGAGCAGAATAGCCAGCGGCTCGACCTGGCCTTTCCAGAACTCGGCCGCCCCGGACCGCCAGTCTATCTGCGGCACGTCTGCTGACGGGGCCGCCCTCGTTTCCCGCTGGCCCGAGAGGTCGTAGGCCGCGATGCGGGCGGCCAGGCTCTCGATCTCGGGTGCCGACACGGGCTTCCCGTTGAGGCACGGCGGCCTGGGCTGGTCGGCCCCCGTCGGGCTCGAGGGCGGGCTGGCGGTGCTCGGGGCCTCTTCCGGGGACTGGTCCCAGCTGTCTGCTCTGGAGAGGACGCGACTGCTGAGCAGGAACTGTGGACTCGCGGTGGCGGTGGTCCCGGGTATAATGTAGACCTTGTCGGTCTGGGTTGCCATGGATCGGTATTGTACCGGAATCTCCGTCTGGCGGCTATCTGTCTCGTTCGTCTGCACAGATGTGCTCCGGGTAGAAGCCACCGTGGCCAGCACTCCCGGGAGATCTCTGGGAGCACTCGGACCGAGTGGACTGCGTAGGCGCAAGGGCAGGTCAAATTCGTCCCCGGGGCTATACCCGGGCCTCCTTGGGGAGAGCCTCGGCGGACGCTTCACATCCGGAGGCGACGCCGGCGGGGTTTCGGGCAGCCTGATCTTGAGGACCTGGGGAGGCGAGATCATAGTGGTATCGTGGCCCCCCCTTGGTACCTCTGAGCGTTGGGTTGTCTGATCAAGCTCCAGGCTTGGTGAATCACCGTCCAGCGGGCTCATATTGTAACAAATTACCTTGTTCAAAGAAGGCTGGAGTCGAAAATAGAATTAGGTAGAAAGACTTTCTCGATGCGAAATGCAATCCTACTGAACAAACCCCCGAATGGCACGAGATTTTCTGCTGCATCTTATACTCAACTCATAGTGATCGAGAGGCATCATGCGTCCTGCGTTGCTGCGCCTCGCGCCCACCCGACGCAGGGGAAACGAGACCAAAAGCGGCCGAACCTGGAACCAACAACCACGATCGACGTGCCCAATGCAGACTGGAGCTGAGTCTCAAACGCAGCAATGCAGGAGCAAGGCCTTCAGCCCAGGCTAGTCCGTGTAGGAAGGAGTCAAATGCGGTGCAGCGAGGGCCAATGGGATTCGGCGCCGAAGCGCAGAGCCCGTTGACCTCAGAATAGATGGCCTTTACCCCAGGTCCCGCGGCCCAATTGGCGGCCAGACCGCCGTGGAGCTCTTGAAACATCCAAGTCGACGACAAGCAGGGCGGTAAAGACGGAGGTATGGCGTGTCGCGTCTACGAACAGCGGTAGTAATGCGCACTTGGGCTCTCATCTAGAGCAGGCTCACGGATCCATTGCGAACAACAATCAAGACGTACGTTCTCATTTCCATTCCGACTAATACATTTATCTTTATCAATTGAACCATATGGGGGATTCTTTTTGAAATGCCTCGCCCGGGCATTATCGTATCGAACAGAATCAAACTGAAAAACCAAGTTGCTGTGCGTGGTTGTGCCAGCGAGGTCGTCCTCCCTTACACGTAGAAAAAACAAACCCAAACAGCACGACCTCCAAATAAAAGTAGCCTTCTCTGCTTTCATCCAGAGGGCAGAGCGTGTCAAACGTACACACACAAGCATCGCAACAAGACAAGACCGTGCGAGGAAAGAAGAAAACATTGAAACGGGATTTTGCTCGACAAAGAACACAAAAAAGAAGTTGAGCTGAACGAACGCGAATGGGTATTCTCTTTCCCAAAAAGCACGAACAGCGTTTTGCAAGGTTTGTTCGTGATGACATCCCAAGAAGCAGAAAAAAAACCAAAGAAACACAGCAGTCGACACTCGAGGCGAATGGGGAGGGAGTTGGGGAGTCGTCGCCCTCCCCCTCCGGATCAGCCTTTCTCGTCAATCAAAAGTGTCGTCTTGTCATCTAATCATCAAGTCGCTTCCTCCAGTCAGCCAGGCTCTCGCTGAGCCCCAGGCCGCTGGAGGGATCATTCTCGTCGCCGCCCTTCTTGCCCGGGCCGGCGTTGACGTTGTTATCAAAATCAAAGGTGTTGCTGAGGCGGTAGTTCTTGTTGGTCGCCTCCCAGTGGCTGCGCAGCGTCTCCAGCTCGTTGGCCAGGTTGTCGAGCGCGGTGCTATTGCGCGCCTCGCTCATGCCCCCATATAGACTGCCCGCCTCGGAGCTCTCCTGCCGGTGGTGCCCCTGGCCGTTGGTCGAGGGCGTGGCTGCTGGGGGTAGAGCCCCGGCCTTCTCTAGCTGGTCAGACGTCATGCTGACCACGTTCCGGCTGCGTCGCCGATACGTGTCGACCGAGTGCTCAACCTGGTCTAGGAGAAGCGACACCTTTTGCTCAGCATCCTGAGCCCGCTGCTCCAGCAGGGCGTTCTCCTGCCTGAGCTGCTCCAGATCCTTGCGGCTGGACTTGAGGAGCGTCGTGTTCTCTTCCTGCGACTTCTTGACCATGTCGCGCTCACGCCTGGCCTCGTCAAGCTCCTTGCGCACAGCCTGGATCTGGCTCTCCAGTTGAGACTTGGTCGTCTTGACATCGCTCTGCAGGCTTTCAACCTTGGTCATCAGGCTCTTCCGCTCGCCTTCCCACTCGGCTGGGATCTCACGAGGAGCGCCCGCAGAGGTCTTCTCCTCAAGCTCCTCGACCTCGGCCTTGAGCCGAGTGTTGTCCGCCTTGTAGCGAGCGAGTTGCTCCTTGAGCTGCTTGAGCATCTTCTCGGTGCCCTTCACGTAGTGCACCGCAGATTGGTAGTCGTTCTCGAGCTGCGCCAGTTTGTCCCTGTACGCGCCCTCCGACTCTTGAGCTTGCGCTGCGAGTAGCTGCTTCGTCTCCTCGTGGGCAGCAATCGACGCCGTCAATTGCTGTTCTAGGTCACGCACGCGGGATGCTCCTCCAGGCGACATTTCCCGAGGGCTGCCACGTGCTCTCGCGGCCGAGGTCGGGCTGATGCCACGCTCGCTCAGGATGCTCTTCAGAGTACTGTGCTGAACTGCCATGGCATTCGTCTCGAGTTGCTGGTTCGCAAGCTGGTTCTTCAGGTCCGAGTTGTGGGCTTGCAGGGACTGGGTCTCCCGCATAGCAGCCTGGAGTTGGCGCCGGATGGTGACGCCGTCGCGGCTGGTTTGCTCTTGGTAAGCCTCCAGGCCAGCAATGCGCTCCTCGGCACTCCGCAACCTGTCCGAGGCAGCATCTGCCTCCTGCTGGTAACGCTTCACCAAGGCATTGGCTGCAGAAAGCTGGCCTTGAAGAGCGATAATGCGGTCATTGTCACCCTTACTGGCTGCGGATACATCTCTGGTCGTCATCTTCTCCAGACCGGCCAAGACGGCCTGCTTGTGCGTGCGTGCTTCGTTCGCATGCTGCTCGGCCAGTTCCTGTGCATCTTTGAGGCGTTGGTTGATAGATACGATCTCCGCATTGCGTGCCTCGTGCTCAGTCTTCAATTTGCTGAGCTCAGCCTCGGCAGCCTCGCGCCTCTGTCGTTCTTCGTCCAGCTTCCGCTCGAGAAGGCTCTTCATGTCGGTGGACGCGGTGAGAGCTTCACGGAGCGAGTCGAACGTCTCACTGTGCTCCTTGGAACTGCCAACCGCTTCATCATACTTGATTTGCAGCTCATTCTTCGCTACTTGCAGAAGTTGTGAAGCTGCGACAGCTTCGGCAGCAGTAACGGCTTGTTCTCGAGCCTCGCGCTGAATCAGGTGGAGCTCCGCCTTGAGACGCTCGACCTCGGATGAAGTTTGTTGCTTGTAGTTCTCGAGCTCAATACTCCGCTTCTCGGCCGCGCTTGCTGTGTCGTCGGCAAGCTTCCGCGCCTTCTTCTCTGCATCAAGCTCCGTTGCCACGCGTTCAAGCTGGCTGTGCAAGTCTTTCTGGGTGTTGAGAGAGTATGCCAGTTTGCGGCTGATGTCGTTGAAGCGGTCATCATCATCACGGTCGTCTGGCTGAGGAGTATTCGCAGCACTGCCACCGTGCGCTGCGAGCTTGGCTTTGGCATACACGGCCTCCTGGATGGCGGCATCTCGCTGCTTTTCAGCCTCGGCGATCTGCTTTGCAGCCAGAACGGCCTGCTTATCGACTGAGCTCTGAACATTGGCCAGTTCAGTGCGCATAGCAAGGAGAGCCTCGATCAGGGGTTTGTCGTCATCGTCAAAAGTCTCTGTCGCATGGCTATCAAGGACAGGGCTGAACGACGCATTGGGGATATATCCCCCCTTGCGTGCGAGCTCGAGCTCTGAAGCATACCAGGCATTGCGATTCCTGGCGGAATCCAACTCCTTGAGGAGTGCAACTGTCTGCGAATTGCGCCCAGATGAGCGCCGATTGAGAGGATTACTCGTCTGCCTCGTAGGCGGCGGCGGCGACGCTGGTCGTGGTGTAACAGTCTTCAAGGCGGGTTCAGTGCTGCTGTCCACAGATCCCTGAGCCCGTTGCTGACGGGACGGCTTCGGCTTGGGTAGCTCTACTGCGGGAGGCTCTGATCTGGGAGCCGGTTTGACCTGTTGCTGGGTCGGAGTCCTCCTACCATTGACCGTAGGCGCGTCGACCTCCTTCAGCATTTCCCTAGTCACGGGAGACTGGTTCTGGGTAGCCGAGGCAGGCGAAGCTGCATAGTCACCCCGTTCCGTGGAAGCGTTCCTTGAGCGATTTGCGGATGGGGGAATAATGGTGGGTTTGGGAGGCTGTCCTTGTGGTGGAGGTCCGGCTGGGGGAGACGCCGCGGCATTTCGCGGGGGTTTGGGGACTGCACCAACTGGAGCTTGCGATGCGGTGTAGTCACCCCCATTGGGGCTCCGATACCCGTTCGTCGGACTGTCCGTGGCCGCTACATCACGAGGAGCGCCCCTTCTTGTATCAGATGGACCTTGAGAGCCATCTCGAGACGTACCCTGCCGAGAGGGGGGACCTACTTCGCCCTGACTAGGACGCCTGGTCTTCTGGGCGTTTGCCTGTGCCTGGGAATCATTCGGGTATCGGATTTTGGACGTGTCCAAAAGGTAAACAAGGCCGAGATCATTGACGGCTGTAGCTGCGGAGCTTGGCTCGCCACCGACAACCACGACTGATTTCCCGACCGTGGTCATACTGTGGCCGGATCGCGGCGATGGGGAAGGCCCCATGTTCTGGAAAGTATACCATCGTCGAGAGCTGATTCGGAATGCTGCCAGGTCACCCAGGTCCGCGCCTTCCTCTGTTCGCCCACCGAAAATATACATCACATCATCCACCAGGGCTGCGGCGTGGCCTTCGCGCGGCAGCGGAATGTAGCCTATACAATCAAGCTGGGACCACGCATTGACCGCTGGATCATAGCACCAAACATCGTTGAACCACTGGAATCCGTTGGTGCCGCCAAACCTGCAACGAGTTAGCCTTGGGATCTCTGGATTTGGATTTGCAGTTACATAGACTTACAAGTACATCTTATCGTTGTAAGTTACCACGGAGTGGTTGGTCCTGGCTGGTGGGACTTTGCCGGGTGGAGGGCCGCCACTGTCACTGTTCTGGATGAGCATCTCCCACCGATTGTTGGGCATCTGCAGCTGATTCAGGTCGAACGCAGACAGGTCATTCATAAAGTAACCTTCAACCTGCCCGCCGAAGATGTAGATCTTGGATCCGAGGATGTTGAGCGAGTGTCCATAACGGCCCGACGGTCGCGCGCCGGCGGGGAGCGCCCTGGACCATTGCCGCGTAGCTGTGCACAGTCAATTAGCAAATGCCAGATCTGGGAACAACGCCCGGCGACTGGGGACGGTTGCGCCTACAGGTATTCAGGAGATAAAGGGTCTCGTCGAGAACGTCAGTCTCATCAATCTTGGTGTCGCCACCGTAGACGATGAAAGCGTTGCCGACTAAGAGACTCGCATGGCCGACACGAGGGCCAGGACCTTCGGCAGTGGTGGAGAGCGGATAGCAAGCCATGTTGCCGCCCGCCTCAATCATCCAAAGATCGCCCTTGACCGTTTGGCTGTTGATCAAGCCTCCCATGACATAGATGTCACCTTCCTTGGAGGAGGTCGAGTTGACGGCGGCGCCATAGCGGGGAAAGGGACTCGGATGCGACGAGGTGTAGGTGAGTCTTCTTTGCGACCAGGGATAGAGTGCTGAGTTTGGGTTGTTGGTTGGGGTGCCATTGCGAAACTTGAAACAATCACAGGTTAGTGAGGCATGCGCGGACAGCAAAGGGCTCTAGAGATCCTAGAGGCACGGCGCACTCACTTGGAGATCGCTGCTTGGTGGTTGCGGCTGTCCGGGGCCCTGTTCCAGACTCGGCGCCCGACGAGCGTAGGGCTGGTCGGGGCTGGCACCGCTGCCATCATTATCGAGCGAGTTCACGCTGCCTGTAGGGGTTGACCTCGCTCCTGCGCCCTTTTCATCTCTTGCTATCCTCGCACTGGCGCCGCCGACGGGCGTCTGAGGGCTGCCGCTCGGGGGAGGGCCATCGCGGCTTGAGAGGCCCCTGTCCTGGTGCTTCTTGGACTTGAAGAGGAAAGCCATCTCGGCTGATGACCGCGGACAAGTATCTCAATCGAGGAGCATGCCAGAGGCCACTGGACGGGACAGCCAAGGGACAATTGACGTCTGGCGAAATATAGTCGGGAGATGGTTGTGCGCGCAGGTGAAGAGGCGTTGAATGCGATTCGGCCCAGTAAGGGGGGAAAGTCGGTGCGATTAACCGGGTTAGTTGGCGACAGGTCCCGCAGACACCAGCATCGAGAGCAGGATCTGGACAGACAGGAACACAGCAAGAAAGGGGAGAGAAGGCGCTGACGCTGCGTGGTGGGAGGGCGAGAACGAAGATGGCCGGGCGCTGCTTCGGATGGGCGTTCCTCTCCGCGTCGTCGTCGACCAAGTTGAAGAAGATGGCTGGCAAGAAGAGGACCGGCGTGGTGGTGGTGGAGTCGATGGCAGCCGTTGATTTTTTGGTCAACCTCGTTCTTTTTTTGGGCGGCCTTGTCCAGTCTGATTTTGGCGGAGCAGCCCCCCCTGAAGCCAGCAGTGATGAGCCTTTCTTTGGCTTGGGGGCGAGTGTTTAAGGAGGGACCGCACGCGCGGGAGGCAGGTCGGGAGGCGGGCACGCCAGCCAAACAGGGATTAGCCTCCCCTATTAAATTTAAGTCTCCTCCCACCCTTTTTTCGTCCCATAAGGTACCTATCCACAAGTCCCAGGCCGTCCCATCCATCCCTCGCTTGCCTTGCTCTGCTCGCTTGTCGCTGTCTGTCATGTCTTGTCCGCCTTTCGTCATCATGGGCAGGTGCCAGAATCGAGGCCAAGCATCGAACTCTAATGGAAAACACTTGACACAGCTTACTTGCTGTCAGCAGATGGGCGAGATGTACTTGTAGTTAGATCTTTTTGCGCCGATGACTGGAAGGCTACACAGCAGATTGTACTTGGTCATTGGAATCATTTTCCCGTTCCTGATCTCGTACCTACCCCCAGCTTCCAGGGCAACTATTACAAGGGCTTCCTCCTAAGCTGGCGCCAATGACAGGAGTAATAAAGAATCCATGCACGTTGTTGTTCAGCTGGACAGTAACTACCTGGATACTTGTAGGTATCCCATCCACCCAGATAAGCCACGACTGAAACAGCCTCAAGAGTCTGTTGGCGCAGGCGAGAGTGAGGAACATGGCGGAATTCCAGAAGAGCTTGGCCATGCTATCCGAAGTACATATCGGTCTCGGACCCGGCGATTCACACAACACGGTACGTGCTCAAGGAGTCGGCAAACAAGCTTCAACTGTGTTGTCGTCAAAATCAGCTTTCCTCAAGGGATCCTGCCGCTTCAGCTGCACTCCTTTGAGGATTCTCTCCGATTTTCTCTCTTATGAATGCGCGCCGATCACTAAAATGAAGCATGCCTTGCATCAATACGCGGTCTTGAAGATGGTGGTACGGAGCTGGGCAGAGCAGCGCAAGCGGTCCCTCCACAAGCACCGTTGGAAACCCAATGTGGAGAGGAGAAGAAATGTGGATCTCGGTCGAAGTCATCATCTCCCTGGAGTTCCTGCCCGCACTCCTGAGCCTTGGAGGCAAGCAGTTCTCGGCTGCTAGGCTACAGCACCTGTGGTGATGCCAAGAGATACTGACGCAAACAGACATAAATTTGGATATCTCAATAACAATTTGATCTGTTCAAGAACTGTAAAGCTTGCTGGGTGATCTGTTTCAAGGCGGTCGATAATGGCAATGGCAGCTAGGCGGGCGGGTCCTAATAAGATGTTGGTGTGTTTCAGCTCTTGCGCACTGGTACCCTCCAAATGCTACCCGAGCTCCGGTCATCTCCTACCCATGCCCGGCCGGCCGGCCGTGGGCGCGCCCCTCAATACTGCTCTTCACCTGGTCCTGGATGAACCTTTCAAAGACCTGACGGGGTTGAATCAGTGCACGGAGCTTTCTATTGTTCAACCTGCAGCACTCTGTATGTACTTGTAGATACAAAATCTATCTGCAATATCCCCTTGATGGCCGGAGCAACATCTTGATCCAAAAAGTCGAGCTTGTCCATTGGAGCAGCATGTGGTCTACGGTCTACCAGACTTTGTCACAGCCAGCCAGACCTGGGTAAATTTCAACGTAAATACGTGGTTCAGCTAAGGTAACATGACTTGAATGAAGTATCTAACTCGCTAGTACTCGTAGGGGCTTCAACCTCGCATACCTGTAGGTAGCTCTCGCCATGGTATCGCCATCTCGAGACAGGGTCTCCTCCGTAGGTCAACTGGAGGTCGCCCGAGGTTAGCGCCGTCGAAGAATTCTAGCGCGGCTCAAGGCCATCAACCCATTCGCGGAAGCAACCTGAAAGCTTGCAACCAATCGAGTGAGTCTAAATTGGCAGCGACTCAAGCCCAGCCAGATCAGATTGAGCGCTGAATGCACCGCCGGCTTACCTGAGGTTACCTACTAGTGCACCTGACCAGCACTTTTGACGGGCGCACCATATTGGGTGTCACTAATACCTAAGCACAAGCTTGGTCCAGGCCTGACCGCATCCAACGACTCGCGTCACCACCAAAAGCTAATCCTCCTGTCTTCCCACAACCAACCCACCATCTTACCCTCAACCCCACAGCTGCCCATGGCTCGACTGCCATGTGTGTGATTCCAGTGTGCGCAATGGATTGTCGACCGTAGATACAACTATGACGGCCCGCGCAGTCCAGCATAGCCAGCACAAGCCCCAGACTCATCATCGCGAAAACACCACGGGAGCCTCTCCCCGACAGGCCCCGTCGCCATCGCCCCAGCACCCCGACCGCGCTCGTGCAGACCCTCACCACCATCTTGCGCATCCCTCACATGCTGGAGGCCCTCCAGCTATAGCTCGCGGAAGCTCCGCGGCCATGCCCTCTCGCGTCGAGTCGAATGGCCCGGCGGCTGCCGGCAATGGCGGTGCGACGCCGCCCATGCGATCTAGACCCGACATGCGCAGCGCCGGGTCATCGGGCCACGTCCGATCCCGCTCCAATGGCGCTCAGCTCGATTCGGACTCATCCGGCGGCAGACGTCCCCTCAGTGCTCCTGGTGACAAGGAGGAACTGACTATCACAACGACCAACGGCGACACCGACCCAGAGCGGGGCACCCGTCTTGCAAAGCCGCTATTGCTGCGATCCAAGAGCGAGCACGGCCTGGTGCGCGAAGAAGTCATCAACATCGACCGTGCTGAAGACGAACACTATGAATGGGGCGCAAGGCATGGGTTTGAAGAGCACTATGAGTCTGAGGACATCATCTCCCAACTTGCTAATGTAGGTGTTTTTGCCTTCCGTCATTCTCCTGCGCTTGAGGAGGACGAGCCTGGAGCATGGTAGAGAGCAGTCAAGCGGCATCCTCGCTCCTGTGCGCCCCTTGTCTCGATGATTTTGTCTATCGAGGGTTCTCCGCTGATAGCTCCTGTGATCCAGAACTGGTACATGTATTTTACCGACAAGCGCCACGAGACCACAGGCAAGCCTAAACAGACTACGTTCGATCTTCAAGACTGGCGCATGCGAGACCGACTCAAGACCGTGTCGGCTGCTATTGCCGTCTGCCTGAACATTGGTGTCGAGCCTCCTGACCAGCTCAAGACATCGCCCGGTGCAAAACTAGAGGCATGGCAAGACCCGTCTGTTCCTCCGGTCCAGAAAGCCTTGGAGAACATTGGGAAAGCCTTGCAAGCTCAGTACGAAACCTTGGCCATCCGGACTCGCTATAAGCAATATCTGGATCCGTCGGTGGAAGAGACTAAGAAGTTTTGCATCTCGCTGCGTCGCAATGCAAAGGACGAACGGGTCCTTCTGCACTACAACGGACACGGAGTGCCCAAGCCTACTGCGTCTGGGGAGATCTGGGTCTTCAACAAGAATTATACCCAGTACATTCCAGTGTCGTTGTACGATCTACAGCATTGGCTTCAAGCACCCACGATATTTGTATGGGACTGCTCCGAGGCGGGCAATATCCTCAACAACTATCATCGCTTTGTCGAGAAGCATGAGCAAGAAGAGGATGAGGCGGCAGCTCTCGATCCCAACTACGAAAAGACGAATTTCCGCCCATACATCCACCTCGCCTCCTGTGCTGTCAAGGAAAATCTGCCCACGAACCCCTTACTGCCCGCGGACCTGTTCACGTCGTGTCTCACAACCCCAATAGAGATGGCCCTGTGGTTTTTCGTCTTGCAGAATCCTCTCAAGACGAACCTGACTCCCGAGCGGGCGAAGAAACTCCCAGGTCGTCTGCAAGAGCGACGTACCCCCCTGGGAGAGCTCAATTGGATCTTCACCGCCATTACCGACACCATTGCCTGGACGACATTGCCCAGACATGTTTTCCGCAAGTTCTTCCGGCAGGACCTTATGGTGGCCGCGCTTTTCAGGAACTTCCTGCTCGCTCAGCGCGTCATGTCGGTCTACGGGTGTCATCCTCAATCGTATCCCGAATTGCCAGACACAAGGCAGCACCCGCTTTGGGAAGGCTGGGATCTCGCTGTCGACCAGGCTCTCGCTCAACTCCCGATGCTGGAGAGAAAGGAGACAGAAAATCTCGACTACGAATATCAGAACTCGACCTTCTTTACCGAGCAGCTGACGGCCTTTGAGATATACCTAACCAGAGGTGACGCCTTGTCCCAGAAGCCCCCTGACCAGCTGCCCGTCGTCTTGCAAGTTCTGCTCAGTCAACAACACCGAGTGCGGGCCCTCATCCTCCTGGGCCGGTTCCTCGATCTTGGGCCGTGGGCAGTCCAACTGGCCTTGAGCATAGGCATCTTCCCTTATGTGCTGAAGTTGCTGCAGTCCGCTGCTGCTGAGCTCAAACCGGTCATGGTCTTTATCTGGACTCGGGTTCTGGCTGTTGACATCTCTTGCCAGCAGGACTTGATCAAGGACAGTGGTTACAACTACTTCGCGTCCATTCTCAAGCCCTCAGAAAACCTGCCTGTATCTAACAGTGACGAGCACAAGGCAATGTGCGCATTCATATTGGCTATGCTCTGCAAAGGGTACAAACCTGGCCAGACCGTTTGCAACCAGACCGACATCATGACCTTCTGCCTGATGCATTTGACCAACGAGGAAAATCCCCTCTTGCGGCAATGGTGCTGCCTTTGCATCAGCCAGCTCTGGCAGGATCTGCCAGAGGCGAAATGGCGTGGGATCAGAGAGAACGCCCCAACGAAACTCTCCAACCTGAGCAGGGACCCTGTGTGTGAAGTAAGGGCGGCTATGCTCCACGCGATGACCACTTTCTTGGGCATACCGGACCTTACCGACGAAGTTGCCCGCATTGAAGAGTCGGTGGCGTGGACCTTGCTTGACATGGCCAACGACGGCAGTGCCATGGTGCGCAAGGAACTGCTCGTATTTCTATCTCATTTCGCCCTTCGCTACGAGAATAAGTTCCTCGTTGCTGCTTACGAGCACCTCCTCGAGGAGAAGGAGTACATTCTGCACCCCCCTAGGGACGACGGTCTGGAGCACAAGCTGGGCTTGCACTATGCACGCCCAGAAAATCGCAACAGGGATGGCACGATCAAGCCCACCGCTCATGGCATGTCACACAATACCATTTTTGCAGCGTGCTGGAAACACATCATGATCTTGACTGTGGATCCTCACACCGAGGTGCAGAGCCACGCGACTATCATTGCTGACTTCATCCACAACGCCCTGCTGCATTCGTCAGTCGGCGCCCAGGCGCAAAACCTTATGGATGACATCCAGAGGAGAGTCAAGCGTGCCATGTCGAAAGCACAGTCGCTCTCGTCGCAGAGGAGCAACATCTCCCACGTCGCCAACGGTGACGGCGTGATGCCCCCGCAGTCGCCTGGTCTGATCCGCAGAACAGTGAGCTCGCTGTTCTCGCCCTTCTTCAACGTCGACACGCCCACCACCCCTACCACACCCGGGCCGCCTTCACCGGCTCTCTACCGGACTGCTTCCCAGAGAAGTAAAAAGAGTATTGACTGGCCCGCAGCCGCGGAGCAGAACGACCAGGACAGGTCTGCCGACGCCTATCACACCGTACGGGAGCCTGTGTCGCCTGGGTTCGAAAGCAGGGATAGGAGAGAACTGCCAGCGCTGCCGCTGCCGAGCACCTTTCTCGACTGGTCTATTGAGTACTTCCGGGAGCCTCAGATGAAGGCAAGTGAGGCCGAGGAACCCGGCAGTACCGAATACAATGAGCGCTTGTGGCGCCGATCAAGGAACGAGGGTGTCATCAGAGAGACTCAGCCGCAGAAAGCCCACGCGGGATCACACAAGTGGAATGATCAATTCAGCATCATTAACAATGGCGCTCAACCGGCAAAGCTGACCTTCCACCAGTTTGAGGACCACCTTGCCGTTGCCGACAATGGCAACACTATTAACATCTGGGACTGGAAGAAGCACCACAGGTTAAGCAGCTTCTCCAACGGCAACCCAGAGGGTTCCAAGATCAGCGATATGAAATTTATCAACGAGGATGATCAGGCGTTCCTGATGACAGGGACGTCGGACGGCGTTATCCGTGTTTACCGCAACTACGACTCGGATCTGAAGATTGAGCTGGCTTCCGCATGGAGAGCGCTCACCCACCTGGTACCCAGCAATGTCAACTCTGGGATGGTCTTTGACTGGCAGCAAGTCAGCGGCACCGTCATCGTGGCCGGCGACGTCCGGGTTATCCGCCTCTGGAACGCCGGGCACGAGACCTGCGTGACGGACATACCGGCTCGATCTGGGTCATGCGTGACGTCACTGACGTCAGACCAGATGACGGGCAACATCTTTGTGGCCGGATTTGGCGACGGTGCGGTGCGGGTGTTTGACACTCGGTGCAGGCCGCAGGAGGCGATGGTCAGGAAGTGGAAGGACGACTCCGACCGGGTCTGGGTCAAGAGCGTGCACATGCAGCGCGGCGGCCAGCGAGAGCTCCTGTCGGCGAGCCGCAACGGAAAGGTGAAGCTCTGGGACATCCGGATGGACAGCCCTCTTCACACCTTCCAGACCACGAGGGATCACCTGCGGACCGCGAGCACCCATGAGCATCTGCCCGTCTTTGCCGTGTAAGTTCTCTCCTTGCATATCACCTAACGTATCAATCATGCTGACACTTGCTGCTTAAAGTGGCACGTCTGCGCACAGCGTCAAGGTCTTCAATTTCGACGGCAAGCTCCTGTCGCGCATCGAGCCCTATTCCAACTTCCTGCAGAACCGAGGCTCGCCGATCTCGGCCACGGCCTTCCATCCCCATCGCGAGGTGCTCGCGTGTGCCGCGCGGGGCGATTACCACATTAACCTTTTTCGCTGCTCAAACGAGGAGGCAGACGGCATACATCACTAGATCGCATCGTCCAGGTTGATGCTCTGGAGCACCTCTGGCGGTGCTTCCACTTAAGAGGCTGTTCTGAGACCGTGTGGTTTCCCGGATTGCCTTGTCTATGTGGCTTCTTTCACACATCTTCTTCATTATTCCGCTGTGCTCCCCATACACCTGGAGATGGGAGCTTCCTCCTTTTGCATGGCCTGGCTATTTCTTGCTAAGAAAAGTCTTGAGGGGTAATGAGTTCGTGAGAGGGGTGTGCATGTACACCCAACGTATCTGTTTAATTTGATAATGAGAACTGTAGATGCTAGCGTCCACAAGAAGAGGACCTCTGGCTCTTTGTAAATTAAAGTATACTGCACTTATCATCCTAGAGACGGTCTCTTCTGTACGAGATTTCTCGGAGATCGAACTGAATCAACATTGAATGATGGAACCCTCGAATTTGAGAGTCGCAGTGCTTATCGATAAGCCAAAAAGTCTAGGCAGCCCCAGAAGCACTTGGACCATTCGCCATGAGAGACAACCTGGCAGGAGACATCTCTCCGAATACAACACCAAATCTTCAAGAAGGCACAAATGCCATGCGCAGGGCCCGCAGAGCGCATCATGAGCTTCAAGCGGGAGTTTGACTCCCAGTCGGCGACAGACGAGGAGGCTGCCGCAAAGCCCCCAAAGAAACAGCGCATGCATGACGGCGCCTCAAACGGGAAAGGCAAACACCACAGCTCGGCGCCGACGACAGACCTCACATATGGCCAGCGCTACGTGTTCTCCAGCTTGGACGAGCCAACAGTTCCCTACGGCGAAGACCTCGAGTTTGAGGATGAGCAAGACGCTCTAGCATATCTCAAAGCTGTACGGTACGTTAAAGCCCAACTCGATAACCGCCCCCCCCTCTCTTCTTTGCGGTCTGTGCATCTGTCGCTAAGTTTGCATTAAGATCGTTCAAGTGGTGAGGTATGCTAACATGGCGAGTATCACAGACAAGAAGCTGGCGGTATCCCTCACCTACTCGTGGCCGCGAAGGCTGGCCCACAGCTACCCCCCCGGCCGGGGCCAGACGAGCTTTGCTACGACGAGGAAGATGTAGATCGAGCATTGTACGATACCGGATTAGGGGACACAAGGGGTTACTATTTCGACGGCACGTACACGGCTGCCCCTGGTCCAGAGTCCGAGGATGGACTGTTGTCTGAGGGGGAAGCCGGGGATGAGAAGCGCATATACGAAGCATACTACTCATCCATCATACACCGATTCAACCAGCTGCGCGACCTCCTGCATCAGGACCCGCCCGCTTCGGCCCTCTCCGCTCTGTCGTCAGAACACGCCACGAACGTCGGCCCCTCGGCCCCTCGATCACAGTCGTTCCTGGTCTGGCGGGGCCGCCTGCTCCGGACCGATCCGCTGCCGGCGCAGGTTGCGGCCATGGACAAGGAGAGCATCCTGTGGCTGCTGCGCGTCATCCTGAACGGCAAGCTCATGCAGCGCGGGTCTCACCTGCGCGAGCGGACGAGCCGGTGGCTGTGGGCCCTGCTAGCCCGCCTGCCTGACCGGGGCGAGCTCGATCACACGGATGTCGGCTGGGTGCGGGAACTGGGCAAGCGGGCGGTGCTGATGATGACGAGCATCGCGCAGATGGCGGCGCTCAGAGAGCAAGTCGAGCTCGACGAAGGGGGCCGAGACGATGACGAGGATGGTCTTGACGACGATCCTGTCAAGCAAGAACGCGACGAGGATGAAGCTGAAATCAAAGGGGAGGCGGACGGCGATGCTGAGGAGATAGAGACTTGCTCGGTGGGGAGTGCGCCCATGGAGGACTCGGCGTCTGAAGGAGGGGAAGTGCTCGTCGGACCTGCCCCTGTGACCCAAGATGCCGAAGCTGACATTGAGGCCGCAAAGGCTCGACTGCTCGCTAGGCTCGACGCGGTCGAGGATACGCCGCCCGAGCCGGGCTTCGTCCCGGTCACAGAACCAGAGATCCCAACGCCGGCGCCGCCATCGCAGCCCTCGACGCACGAGGTGGGCGGCGGCGGCGATGACGTGCCGTTCGACGCGGCGCGGGCCCGCATCAACATGAGGGCCACGCTGAACATGATCCTTACGGTCGCGGGTGAGTTTTACGGGCAACGGGATCTGCTAGAGTTTCGCGACCCGTTTCCAGGTTTGTAGCGTTTTTTTTTTCTAGAAAAGATTGTGTGCACCGTTGCGGACGGACTACGTATACCCCCTCTTGTGTGAGTCTGCTCTTTCTTAGGGGTGCTGAGCCATTTGTATTGCAACATAGAGGTAGCTTTTCCTTGGGTTCACAATATACCGATCGATATCGTGTTGATACATCAAGCCCTTGCTGTACAATCACATGAATGCCGCCAGTGGTAACCGAAGCAATATTGAGTGCATAAGGTGGCGGCTTACGTACTTCCTGGTACATGAACACCGTAGGGCAAGATGCTATGAGGGAGGGCATTGCAATATGGGATGACGGGCGTGTCTCTGTTGGTTCCAGTGTGCATTTAATACGGGTGAGCAAACCAATAGAGTTGACTGCATTAGACTAAGCAGACGGCTTTTTTTTTATGCCCTGCAAGCTGTAGATCGCTTACTCTGCTTTCGCTCATTTCCGGACGGCCAGGCCCAGACAGAGATGGCATTGAAGCCGTTCTCCGGAGGTACAGTAGCAGCTCATGCCTCTTGCTTCGGCAATTGATGCGGTACTATTTCTCCCTACCTGGCCTGGATCATGTCATCTTCAAACACACACACACACACACACACCCCTGGAGCACTTAACGCGAAAAAAACACGACCGGGACGCGGTCGTCCAGGCTTCGGCGGTCCCCCACACTAGAGAGTAATAGAGGGTCTTTTGCCCAGCTCCAGCCAATGGATTTGGTGGGAATCTGCTAGAACAACCACTGGCTCGCACATGCTGGCACGCTGGCTCTCTCACTGCCCCAGCCTCATTTTTACTCCCCCGTCATGTACAAACGTCCTTGGACATTCCTCACTCTTCTTCCACCCAAACACACGCACACAGCCCCTGCTCCAGCACAGACCGACTTGACGACGTTGATCATAATAGGCATCTACCTTGAACTGGAAATCATCTTCTTTTCTGGATTCTTGCGCAATTGCAGAACAAGATCCAGTTTGAAAGTCTCCACTCTGTACCAGCATCCGTCTCAATTGCTGCAGGTCGACACCACATCCTTCCAACCCCCCCAGGATACACTTGCCAGTCTTGCCGCTGTGGTGTCTTGTCTTTCTTGCAGGCCAGGCGATTGCAGATCGGGCCAGCTTCCTCTCTGTCGGCATTCACCCCCGGTACGGGACGTCGAAAGACCGCAGAGTTTCTTTATCTTACAGGCTTTGGGAGGGGAACCTGTGAACCACCAAACAGCACCCTCCACCACCACCGCCTTATCTCCAACCTCGACACCAACCTGTACAACAAACCCCCTCAACACATCCCTCTTCCCTCTGTCAGAGACCATGTCCGCCCCGCGAACCAAGCGGCCCTTCGCCGGCGCCGCCAGCGACCCGGCCCAGCGCCAGATCACATCCTTCTTCCGCCCCAGCTGCGGCGGCGAGGGCGACGGCGACGAGTCAGGCTATCAGACCGCAGTCTCGCTCACCCCCGCCCAGGTCCAGGCCGACCTGCTCTGCGTCGGCATGCGCATCCGCAAGTCGGTGCCCGAGGGCTACAAGACGGGCTCCGACTGCGGCTCCTTCTCGCTCTGGTCCGACGCCGATCCCAAGCAGGCGGCCAGCAGCAGACACCAGCATCAACAGTCCTCGCGCGTGCCGTCCTCCGCGCGAGCCGCGGAGAAGCGCGAGCTCCTCCCCTTCTGCGGCATCCACAAGGTCGGCGGCCTCGCCTCCCAGCCCGCCTTCGACAGCGCCGGGCCGGCCCTGTTCCCGCCGTCGGCGTTCGGGCCCTCCTCCTCCTCCTCCTCCTCGGCAGCGGCGGCGGCGGCGGCAGACGACGTCTCTGACATGAACGACTGCCCCGGCCTGACCAGCAGCCAAGAGTCGGCCGCTTCCTTCGCCTCCGTCGACACGATCGCCTCCGCCAACAACCTGCTTTCTTCATCGTCATCGTTGGCGCCGCCGCCGCAGCGCAAGCGCTTCTACGCCGAGGACGAGTCGGTCGAGAAGCCCGTCTCCCTGCGCGACGAGTGGCTCGACGGCGAGGTCAGCCCCCGGACGCTGGCGCCCGTGGGCTGGGACAACGGCCGCGTCATGGCCGTGCCCCGGGGCCGGCGAGGTCTCCTCGGCCTCGGCGGAGCTGCTGCTGCCGGTGGTAGCCGCAAGGGAGCCCCCGCCGTCGTTGCCTCGCTGCCGCCCGCGCGCCTGACCGACCTGGGCCAGGAGAACCTCGACCTCGTCATGGACGGCGAGAGCGACTTTGAGGAGGCCAGCTTCCTCGACTTCCGGACCTGGGGGGCGCCTCTACCGCGGGACATGGAGATGGGCGGCATCTAAGACGCTCCTTTTTGTCGTCCTCTGAGAACATGCACTGCTGCTGGTCAAATCGGTAATTTTGTATTGATGAAGGCGTGTGTGAGAGAGTGTGTGAATGCGTGTGTGTGTGTGTATCATTTGTGTGTAACTGGGAAACGGGCCGGGCTTCTGTGTGGCTTTCTTGACTTTGGGATTTTGATATCATGGAGCGTGGAGTTATGGTATACCTGGGGGCGTGGACAAACCCCCCGATGGTAATTGGGAGACAGGCATGGGTCTAGCTAGCATCAGCCGCAAGTGCATGAGATGGGACTTGTATTGCGAGAGGAGTGTGTCAATGGAATATTGAATGTTTGGCATCTTTACCTGGTCGAGTTTGCATCGTGGCTTGTCGTTCGTGCCTGTCACAGGACACTTTACGCGGAGCCCAGGTCCATAAGAATTACGAGACTACGGATTTACACTCGCTCTGCCAAGTCATTGTCACAATCGGGCTACGTTGCTACTCGCAAGTCATTTTCAAAGACACATGACAGGGACGGTGATGAATTGTGGAATCCATGAATTCAAATCGCAAAGCACAGTGAGAGGTCCTCCCCCGTCTCCGTGTACACTGCACTCGGGTATGGCGATTCAATCAGCTCATCCACGTCCTCGTGCTCAAGAAAGGTCCGCTCTGGACACGGTGCAGACCGTCAAGAAACACTCATGTGAAAAATGCCATTTTTGCCAGCTATCCACCCATGCAGTATGAGATTCTGCCTGTACGAAATCTTCCCTAAGATACACGCACGCAGAGGGAAAAAGACAAACAAACGTCGTGGGAAAAGAGGATGTCGATAATGCTAGATATCCGGACCCCAAACGCCCCTTTTGTTGTGTGCGAGGTGGTTTTTGTCCATCTTCTATCCGCAAGGTGGTCGTCGTTCGTAGAGAGACATTACTTTTCTATACGCCCCAATGTCGAGAGTGAGAGAGTTTTTGCAGATGTTCCGAGATGTGCCCCCAATGAATCATGACCAGCCGTGATAAAAGAAAGCAGATTTTGATAATCTACTTCCTCCGGAAGGAGCAGCCCTCGGTGAGCCTGGCCTTGCCACCGGTGGGCTGGCACAGGACGGTCGTGCAGCCCTGGCAGATGACGACGGTCTGGGCGTGGGAGAAGACGGTGGTGATGGTGAAGCAGCCGGGGCACTTGACATCCATGAAGAAGGAGCGGGGAGCAGGGACAAGCATCTGGCGGATTGTTAGTTCATTTGAACCCCTCCAATACTGCTGGGACAAGTCGTTCGAGAAAATTTGCCAAAACATACCTTGAGCTTGTGCTTCTTGGCCTCAGCCGCAGGGCTGGGGTTCAGGAGGTCGACTGCCAGAACCTAGGGATAGACATGTTAGCACCCATGCGTCTCCATCGTTGTGCTGGTCACCCTGCTGTGCCATCGAATCTCTCTGCCTGCAATCGTCGCCAACACATCCGAATCGTTCCCGAAAATCATTCCATTGACCCGTCCCACAACCCGTCTTCGCAGATTGATCCTCCTCTTGATGGGTTCGTCGGTTGCATTGGCTCGGATCGGTGGCGAGTGTCGTCGTGCACGAGAGTCGCTGCGACAACAGCAGGGAGGGGCGGGTAGGCGGCTTACCATCTTGACGGTTTGAGGTGAGAAGTATCTCTAGTGATCAAAGTCGCGAGCGGAGAGAAAGTTGACGAAATCTGTCGGTGCTGAGAACAGATTTGGGCGCGACGATGGATGGAGTTCGTAGAGGTAGGAAGGGCAACGGTGATGAAAAATTGTGAGGGGATGGATTTCGATTTGTTCTGGTTACCGGACAGCCAAAAGCAGTTTAGCTCATTAGGGTTTTTTTTCGATTGTGTGGGCGTTCAGCGAGTGGAAGACCCGCACGGACCAAGAAATGTACCTGCCCACGTGACACTGGCCCTGTTCCTCCCGTGGCGAAAAAACAAGGGAAGCTCCAGGAGCTTGGACCCCAGTCGGGAATGGAACCTTAGTCAGATGGTCACGCATCCAGAGCATTCTAGGCCACTGTCACGGGAGAGAACCTCCGCCTACAAACGGCTTGCGACGCGCTCCAGGCAGCTGGATGCAGCACCCCGCCGTGGGGTTGCTTCTCACTGAGGCCTGCCAGTCGCCAATTCTCCACGACACCACATTTCTTAGGATAATTAACGTTTCTTCTGCAACCTCAAGGGTCTATCCACGAGGAAAGTACTCTCCGGAATGGCTGCTCCGACAGATCAGCGGATTGCCGTCCCCATTGACGACCCCAACGCCGACACAGAATGGTGCGACCGACCCCCAAATTAGCTACCCTTGCCACTGGCCGCATGACGCATCCAAGCTAACTTATGATCCCAGGAACGAGATATTGAGGAAACATGGAGTCATTCCCGAGAAGCCGCCTAGCCCGACCCCCATGATTGAAGAGGCGATTCTTGAAGGGCGAAGATTGGCACATGAGAATCGATTAGAAGGCAAAGACCTGGACGAGCTTGACGAGCTTGAGGATGATGAAGATGAAGAGTTCCTCGAGCGGTACCGCCAGCAAAGGATGCGCGAGCTAGACGCCCTGACTAAGAAATCCCTACACGGCAGCGTCTACCCCCTTACAAAGCCAGAATATTCACGCGAGGTCACCGAAGCATCGAACAATGGGGTTGTCTTGGTCAACCTCACCGCATCCATGGGCACGAATGTGGAGTCCAGGGTGCTCACAGAGCTCTGGCGGCAGGCAGCGAAGGAATATGGCGACGTCAAGTTCTGCGAGATGCGAGCGAACCAGGCCATCGAGAACTACCCAGACAAGAACTGCCCCACGATCCTCGTCTACAAGAACGGAGACATTGTGAAGCAGGTGGTCACCCTAGTGACTGTCGGCGGTGCACGGATGAACATGCTCGACCTCGACAAGATTCTAGTCGAAGTAGGCGCAGTGCAAGACTCGGATATGAGAGTATTGAAGAGGAGGAGAGAAGCAGAGGACGCCGAAGAGGAGCGTCTGGCGGGCACGAACAAAAGTGTGAGAAGTAGCGCTCGTCAGAATGACGATGACGACGACGACTGGGATTGAGCAGTGGTTGTATCCGACCCGCGCTGATCGTCTGTGAGACAGCACATCTAATTTCAATCGGCCGCCATATGTATGGACTTGTGAATGATACCCAAATAGAGAATTTCATGCAAATGTCGTCCCATCTTCGCCAAATGTTAGCCATCCCAGTGAGTTTCCATGATAGAGATGAATGCCATGCTCTTCCCCCCCCCAAGAAGGTGTTTGCGGAATAAAATATTCAAAATCTCAAGGGAGGTTATTCAATATTGAAGCTATGCCCGAGAGACTGCGGAGTAATCGTGGTGTCTCTTATCAATCAGTACATTTCAGGGTCTGGCCCGCTAAAGGCTTAGCGGGATGCCGTCATTTGTTTACCAGCTCCGTATTTCGGGGATTGGCAGTCGCGTGTCGAAGTCCATCCAGACATCCGCGTCCTCCGCACAAAGTTCAAGCCCAACTCGAAGAGCTTGTCTCGCGTGTAAACATTTCGGTTTCAACTGTACATTAATTGCGCTTACATTGTTGTACATACACCTTTTTTTTGTCTTTTCTCCTCGATTCCTCCCTTTTCCTGACCAGATTCATTGCCATCACTCGTGGAGACATGGCTGACGAGCCGACCCTCCCCACACTTCCCCCATTCGCATGGGACGCGTCGACGCAGAGCTTCCAATCCTCCAAGAAGCGAAGCCGCAAGAACAAGGCACCGCCTCTGTTCTCCCAGTCCAGCGATCCCGCCGTCTTCTCGAGCGATGACGACCCGGCAATCGACAACTATGTCCAGGGCCGCAGGAAGAAGCGCTACGTCGGCCCTTGGTACGCGCAACACCCCGCCTCGGGCGACTCCTCCTTTGAAGATGATCCACAGCTGGTGCACCGCCCGGCGCCGAAGCCGAGGAGGATGCTGGAGAGACAGCTCGATAGCGGTGTCTGGATGGGCAGCGACGGTACCGACATGGATGAGAGCGGCGTCGAGGACCTGCCGCTCCCTACCACCCGGCCTAACATCCCGCAGCTGCAGCCCAGGGCTCAGCGGACGTTTGGGCGGGTCGCTAGCTTGCGCGTGAGCGCGGCAGAAGCTTTGGCACGCAATAGGATCAGAGAGTGCGTCGAGGAGGGGGATGAGAAGGTCGATTTGTCGTGTGTAGCTCCCCTGGTGCTCCGGAGACCCAAGGCAGCTATGAGCTAATATATTCTTAACAGTGCGATTGGACTAAAGACGCTCTCCAACCCAACAATCGAGCCGCTGTCAGAGTTTGCCTGCATTCCGCTTGTCACAAAGGGCGTTGCATTCGAGCAGAGCACTCCATCTCTAAAGCTCTTCCTTGGGAGCAATGCACTCACACGGCTACCCCGTGCCATCTTTCAACTTGAGCATTTGACCGTGCTCAGTCTGCGAGGTAATGGACTCCGGGAGGTCCCGACAGGTATCGGCCAACTGCCCAATCTCAAGGTCCTGAATTTGTCTCAGAACGCCTTGAACCATCTATCCTATGAGCTCGCCGAGCTCTTGATGAACAGCAAGAACATATCGGAGCTCTACCTACACCCAAACCCTTTCTGGCAGCCTGAGAGCCTATCTACAATAGCAGAGTCCGCCATCGGCGAATCAGGGGAGCGCGAAATGCTGCAACGATTTGAAGGCCATCGGTTCTGCGGAGGTCTGGCCGCCCGGTCGCCCGTTCAGCTGTCGTATAGCAATGGAGTCGTGCACTCCGGCTTCCGTCTCGAGCCTCTCTCTCCAGACTCCAGGCTCGTGCCGACAGAACAAGGTCTGTACGGCGACTTGGAAGGCGATACCCAGCCAAGTGCATCGACGCAACTCAAGGATACGTCCTCATCGAGGGTCCCAACTCTGTTCGAGCTGGCTCTGCGCACCTGCTACCAAACATCTCAGCTAGAGCAACTGCCGGATATGCTTCCGATGGACTCTCCTCCCCACCTGCGGGAGCTACTTCTCGAGGCGATGTCGCAGCGTGAGATGGGCGGTCTCGCGTGCACGGTGTGTAGGCGGCCGATGGTCGTACCCAGGACAGCCTGGATAGAGTGGTGGCATTTGTGCCATTCTTCTTCGCTCCCGAGTGATGCTGGAGGCGTCTCGGTAACGCCGCTTAGCCACGATGCGGACGAGCGGTTGGTGCCATTCCTAAGGAGGGGCTGCTCCTGGAAGTGCATACCTGGCGAGTGTGTCAAGGGAGCACTCGTCAAGTCTGCAGAAGTAGCGGATGATGTAAAGGATGCAGTTCACCTTTCGTAGCTGGGGATTCCAATGTTCTTTGCTGGCGAATATGATCACGACAAAGCTGGAGCTCTTGGCCTGGCGTTTGGCGTCTATATTTGGTTGTCTGACAAAATTTGATGAAACTAGACTCGATATTGTATTGTACACAGTCAACCCCAAGGCATTCGGCAAAGGACAAAAGGGTCATATTAGTTAGGATTTCAAATTGAGCATCATGATGAGAGTCTGTCAATGGCCCAGTATAGCTCTTGACTCCACTCATGGTAAAGTCGACATAGATTAGTGTCGGACTAGGTCACTATGGCACACTGGCAAACGAGTCAAAATACGGGATGGGATGATCTCATTACCATGACAACTCGGGTAATGGCATCTCCGTATGATCCAGAGGAAACGCAAATCCAGAGTTGAGCAGATACGGCTTCCTGGCCTGCTGAGGACCGGAGATATTCGTGGCTTCACTTCTCAAACTTTCTTCGAGCTCGAGACGGAGCTGCATAATTGTTTCATTGCCTAAGTTGCCTAACGTTGTATAACTCGACTTTGTCACTTCACGCAGCGCCGAGCAGTTTGCCCAATGCATTGGTTGATTGCTAACATCTCCATCAGGGTGCCTGTCTGCATCGTAGGCTGCGACTGACGAAGTACAAGATCTTCGGTGAGAAAGGCTTGACAGGGTGATCTTCTCGCGTTTTGTAGTGGAATACGAGATAATTGTGTTGATCTATGGGTATACGCATATACGCATATACATACAGACATGGTCTTACACGGCAGGAACCCGAAATTCATTCCTGGTGCGACCTCCCTAATTTCGATTGTTTCTCTTGCATGGGAGAAACGTAACCCAGGGAGGGTCTTAGGATACCATGTCTCTCACAGAGCAAGCACCGCATCGGCCACTTACACCCGTTTTCGTATGCTGTCCTATCACTAGGAGGCATAGATTGATCCTACCATCATAACTCCCACGTGGCCCTAGGTGGGAAAGGAGAAGCTTTTCACTGGATGATACTGTGGTCCATCGAAGAAACTCAAGTCTTCTCGAGCTCGGAATCGGCTAGTAAGGGCATCTATCATCTATGGCACACAGGAGACGGGCCGAGTGAAGATCCGGAAACATCATCAATAGGTGCCAACACTAGCTACAGCACGACGACAAGCTAGGTGCCATCTGATGAAAGTCTTCGCAGCTTTGGTCTAAGGCAACCAACCAAGGACGGGTGGAACGTTGAACGCCCATCAAGGTACCCGGGATTGGCTGCAGTAAAACTCTGTCTTGAACCCGTGATTCCATTTGGACGAAACCTCGACCGCTTGTTTGAAACCTAGGCATTTGTACCACCAGACGAGAACACACCGAAAAATTGCGATGCGAGTCGGATTTTCGCATGACTGTCCAGGCATCAAGGAATTCCGGATGCAGCATATGGAAATGGATATGGCAATTCTCATCAGTTCAGCCTCGTGAACACGTAAGAATAATTAGAACTAATTCAGAAGTACGCATCCTTCCATCCCAAAGCTACCAATCAATTGAGGCCCCCCCCCCTGCTCGACAACGTGCCAATCATCTACTTGGAAGGCGCATGGCCAAGTCGTGGGCGCTGCTGCACCGGAAAGCTTCCGCGATGTTAGTGTTGAACATCGGTACAACACATCAGTCCAGTGCCGCTCACCGCAGCTTCTAATTGTCCTTCTGAAGAAAAAGAAACGGCAAGGACAGTAGAAATCCGTTAGAAATCCGTTCCGTTGCAATTCTCAAGGGTACCTGTCGTCGTTCTGTATATTGCAGCCTCGTTGGCCAGACTTGGCTTGTCTGTTACATGTAGGTTACATTCAACTTCCAGAGGACATCAAATGTAAAGTGACATGACCGCCTCTACCATGCACTAGTCTAGCATTGGAAGGATAGAAAGGAAGCGTATCCGATTGGGCATGCATGCTGCCTGCACGACTACCTAGGAGGCTTCCCTTGAACGGATGTTTGCTTTTTTCGTTCGCACCAATTGCTTCTCGCAGCCGGTTGTGCCCTCATCTCGAAAGCTTTGATGTCTTCTTGAGCAGGTCTCCTGTATGCTGGCATGGGCTTTGAGACCCAATTACTATCAGCGAGACTAAAGGGCCCTTTCAGCCCAAATCTCTGCTTGCCACATTTTGATGTCATAAAGACTCATGCCAACCATCACTGGGATCTGGGATCAACATGCAAAATTGGGCATGAAGCAGCCCTCCGCCAACGCCATGTTTGCTCGCCTCTCGGTGTAGTTTATGCTGCTTCACCATCCACCGACTCCCAATCGGGTGTTAGACTGCCCCGAGCTGCAAGTTCCCATTGCATCATTTTGCTATCATATGTGCACACCGAAGGCGGAATGCGATAATGCCATCAATCGGATCATGTCCTCTGAGTCTGTCTCCTCCACAGCCAGAACTGCAGGGATCGACGTGGTTTTCGTCTCCTCTCTCGTGGTACTCTGAATGTGCAGGTCAATGCTGCTTCCCGGGTTGCCTTGTGAAGGCTGCTGCTACCAGCAATTCAGGGCGATCAGTATTAGGGCATGATGCGTCAAAGCAACTGCTTCAGACATTCTCCACACGGGCAATGGGCGGTGAGAGTCAGCCCTCTCCAAGGTCCCTTGATTTGTGGAGGATTGAAAATTCATGGACCTTGACGGGGGGGGGGCCTTCGCGTCGATATGCATTAGTTTCTCCAAAGTAAGGCTTGCCTTCTTCCTCACCGCAATTTAGTCGGGCATCTGCTACAGGCATCACAGGGGGCCGGACCGGTGGCCATCGGCAACGAGTCGGACATCGGCTGAGACCGCTGCCGATGAGCGTGCTTGCCGATTACTTTCGACGGGCCTCATCTTGGCCTGTGCGGGCACCAGAACCTTTGCCCACTCACAGGATGAACAAGAAGAAAAACCTCGGATCTCGGGGCTTAGCAGGCAACGGCAGAGCTTAGCAGCATCAGACACCATGCTGTGTGTGCTGACTTAATGAATACGAATCCTAGACCTGGCAAAGAGTGCCAGGCAGCTGTTGTCAGGGGTACTACGGGTCATGGACTCATTGCTTTTCCTAATTATCAGTCGTGGCAGCCAGAGATGGTCCGCCATAATTTTACCAGGATCAATAGTTATGAGGCGTGCCAGTGATTAAAGGACATGGATGAAGCTGCCAATGACTAGGGGGCTCCCTGTATGTATGAAACAAAGCAATGCGAACAATATCTCATCAAAGCCAATCGCATCTAACAACCTTGATGAGCTGGCGAGTAAGGCATCCACCATTGGGCAGTCTACTGCGACTTGATTGTGTAAAGGGGAAGGATACCAGGATCCTTGGCATAACACTCTCCCTACCAACTGAGCGGCCTTTCACCCTGCCAGCCAAAGATAATGCAGCTTGACACACTCAGCAAAGAATAAGGCGGATAGTAGTAACGGGTAGCGTCGTTAAGGTCGGAAAGAGACTATCACGGGAGCGATCCCTCGCCCATGTAGGAAATGCATCCTCGGAACTGCAATGGAAATGGACAGAAACGTCGCCAGGAATCACTCATAACTCAGTACCCCCATCATTTTAGCATGTGAAATCCTGTTTGGATCGTTCGAGTCTGCAATCAACGAAAGGGGTGTGGACTGACTGGCGACGCCCCTATGGCCTGATGTGTGCGACCCGGCCGAAATCGACAACTCGGAGGCATGATGACTTGTTCTTGTCGGAATAAAAAGGTCGCGTGATTGATTTGAATACTTGTCGTAGATTCATACTTTGTAGAGAAGTAGGCATCCATATAGCGGTGGAATAATAGACGCCTTCTTCACGGATGAGGAGATGAAGCCAGCCACTTACAGCCAACTTCCAGTCAACTTACAGCCGTATCAGACTCACAGGCCTTCACCACACCCATTCTAATCCCTACTCAATCCGAGAGGCAATAATCTAAGCCGCAGTAGAGAGCCTATTTGGCAGTTGATAGGTTGGTAGACCGAGCCATGTGTTCGCCCTAACATTGGTGGCGATGGCTTTACACAAATGTATTGGTGAAGACTGTATTTTTACAAGTTCAACTTCTCAATAACTTCGAATACATCGGCCCGAATGATTCATAAATTATCATGAGTAAACATGGCTGAGTCATATCCATGGGAGACCTCAGCTCGCCTCTCGCCTCTCGCCTCATCTGAGGGCTGGGAACAGAGCTGAAGAATTTGCAGGGGGGGAGGCGGAGTCCTTCCGACTCACGAGAAAATCAATTTTTCTCGAACTATTTTCTTCTCTTTATGATATCTGCTCTCTCCACAATGTTCTTAGCCATCCACTTTACATATTGACGTGTGGTCGTGATAAAGTGCATGATTTGTCCTTCCGGAAACGCCGTTATCCAACCAGAAGCGATGTTGCCATCGGTGGCGAGAAGCCTCGCAAGTACTGTCTTTTTGGCAACACCTTCACGACTTTGATTGGTAGCACGTCATTCTCACTCGTTTTCCTGAATCGCTTGTGTGGCTGATTGTCAGAGCGCATACTAGCCATGATAAACTGGTCGCTTGGCCACGGCATTACCCCTTGGTGAGGACATTGTCGGCAGGCGCCAGGATAATGTTTGGCATCAAGTAAATACATCGTACAATATATCATGAGGTTGCAAATTTCCAATCGAACCAGACATTATCATCTTGGGTCGAGATCGGCTAATTGGAAGGATATATACTGACTTGATATGGAAGTATCTTTCTGGGAACAATGCCCATCTTGCTGTCTAAACGTTGCAAGCTGCACTCGACGGAACTGAATTAAATAAAGACCATTCTCTTGAAGCTAACAGATACTAGGAATGAACTGTATTATCGATAAGGTGCTTCACCTTTCCATGTTTTGCAGTCCTATTATTTCTCACTGACAGACTGCGTTATTGGAACAGTGAGCTCTGGATTTGCCCATGAGAGTTCTCAAGATATATTCCATAGCTTACATATGGGGGAAGCATGTCACATCAATACACTGTGCTTGGCAAGTCGTCGTGGTGGATCTCGAATCGTGCCGGCGATGAATTGAAGAGGGCCAATAATTGCAGGTCCATACAATATCCCCAGGGTCGGGCCATGTATTTGGCTTGCAGCCTGCAAGTTCTATTTCTAACAGTTGAGTACTACGCAAGTCCGTCTTCTGTAACTGACCCAAGTTTTGAGTGATATCCTTGCCACTCATGCTGGAAGAGAGAGAAGATTCAAGTTTCTCAAACATGCTATACGTCTTTCCGCTTCTCAATGGCTCCAATACTCAAATGGAACAAGATCAACAAACACAATACTCACAACGAGTCCACAAGAGCCTACACACTGAAGGGATTAGCTGATAATGATTTGAATTGCTATATCCAAACATGGGGGCAGATTTCTGATACTGTTCGTTTCGATCGCAAGTACGAATAGTGTCAGGCAATAACTCTCACCTGAATGACACAGATGAATCAAACCAGTATGCCCAGCCTGATTCTCAAAACCAACCACTTACACAAAAATGGCTAGCGACTAGATACACCAGGGAAAGGGCTGAGTAAAGATGCACTTTCGGTAAGTATGAAGTCGTGAATAGTGCCCAACCAGTAATGACATTTAATGCATCAATGTTTGGCATAGTCATGCCTGCCATTTAATTAATACAGCGAGGGCGTAGTACGTAAGCCGCACATGGTGTGAGATACGATAGCTCTTTGCCAGGTCTCAGATTTGCTTGACCATCAATAGTGCAAGTAGATAGACAGATAGACAGCCCGATGGAGGTGTAGTCAGGAATGGCCCGGATGGGTGTGCAGATCAAGCGAGACTGACGAGGGTGGAAAAGCACATAACATCAACACATGATCGCCTGTTGCCCATTCATTCCAAGTCATTTATCCACACTGATACCGACACAGTCCGGGTATAAATCCACGCTTACCCAGTCCAGGGGACACGCCTTGCTTCTTCAACCTTGACCGCCATGAAGCTGTCAGGACTCAGGACCAGACCGAACAGAGTGCGATCGCGTGGCAGGCCCAATCAGTCAGACCGTCATAAGAGCATAGCACGTCTATTTTTTGCGTGCGCTCACAAAATCGGGCTGGATTAAAAATAATCGAGATGGTATGGGCATTCTGGACACCCCAAGTCCATGCGGCTCTTCAAAGTTGGAGGGTGGTGCGCGAACCACCTGTGGGGCCTACCGTCTCAAGGGCAAAGCCGCGAATTTTGGTGGGCCGCCGCCGAAACTGCGCAGGTGGGAAGCTACCGAGTAGTCCGCGCCCGCCAATGCTATCGTCATGGGTACTTAACTCGCAGTGTCGCTGATCTTTGTCAATGAGCATCCTTTTGCAATCACAGCTTTACCAGAGCTCCCAGAGCTACCATAGCTTTAATTTTGACCTCTTTTGCGTCCTTACTCAGCCTAATGCTGTACCGATTGACCCGGCAGCGGTTCCTTCCTCGTTCCTCCTCAGCAATGTCTGGTGGTGGCAACAGCCCATGATCGAACCTTGAGCCATTCAAACAGGCTGTCAAACGTTTTTTCCTTGTACAAAACCACCATACGTTAAAGGCTCTTTTTCCCCTTCTTCGCTATCCCAACGCGATGCAAGTCTTCTGGAGATGGCGGACCGACTACAACAGCGATTTACGGAGCATCTGCGGCTAAACAACCGGTATCGTTGCGTGATTTGTTCCCGGTCGCAATTCGACCGTCGCGGCCTCGGCCGCCACCTAGAAACCGAGCATGATAAGCAGACGACCACGCAAGAAGGAGCTGCAGAGCTGCAGCGACTCATAGAAGCCGGCAGGCCGCGCGATAAGCCGTATGTCCTTCCCGAGAGCCTGATCTGTACCAAGGCTAACAATCGTCCACAGACCTGACCCCGCACTGCCTGCAGTCAGAACCCATGCTCCGAGCTCCTCAAAACGACCATCCCCCGAGCCAGATATACAACCAGGTGACCAATCAGAGGGAGCTGGCGGCACCGGAGTTCGGGACAGAGGACCAGATTGGTCGCCCTCCCAGGACAAGGACGACGACGAAGGAAGCGATAGACGAAAGCGGATCAAGTCTCCCACAAGCTCGGTGCAGGTGCAACACACCCAAGGTTCCCCGACGACGACATCACGCAGCCGAGCCCGCCCACAGCTATCTGCACGAGCTCCAGGCGACACTCTAGCTGATCCCCGCAACCCTAAAGGCAGAAGAATATGGGAAGGGGGTTCTTTGCGACCGTCCGGCTACGTCCCCGGGCAGAGAGGCTCCTCGAGATACCAGGAAGCAGACGAGGAAGAAGATCGAAACACAGTCGAACGATGCATTAAACAGCCCCAGACGAGGCCAATCAGTCACGAGCAATTAGTAGCCGAAGTCAAGGGTATCTATGCCGGCCTTGTCATGGTCGAGAGTAAATGTATCGAGGTTGACAATGGGCAAAATGCCCAGAGTGCCTCGGACGCCAAGTTGAGCGACGAACAGTGGCAAGCCCTTATAGCATTACACCGCACCCTCCTTCATGAGCACCACGATTTCTTTTTGGCTTCACAGCACCCGTCTGCTTCGGCCGCGCTGAGAAGATTGGCCCTGAAATATGCTATGCCCGCGAGAATGTGGCGTCACGGCATTCACTCTTTTTTGGAACTTTTGCGGGCAAGGTTGCCGGAGTCTCGGGAGCATATGCTGAGTTTTATTTATCTGGCTTATTCTATTATGGCGCTTCTCTTCGAAACGGTGCCAGCCTTTGAAGACGTCTGGATCGAGTGTTTGGGAGACCTTGGCCGATACCGGTATGAATCCAAAGCATCATATGCATCTGATGGTGGTACAATCTGCTTGGAATCTTGATTCTAACATCGTGACAGCATGGCGATCGAGGATGATGACCTCAGGGACCGAGAGGTGTGGACAACTGTGTCTAGACGCTGGTATTCCCGTGCTTCGGACAAGACTCCTTCGACGGGTCGTTTGTATCACCATCTCGCCATCCTTGCACGGCCTCATGCCGTCCAGCAGCTCTTCTTTTACACTAAGAGCCTGACTGTGGCGGTGCCCTTTCCTGCAGCGAGAGAGTCCATCCTGACCCTTTTGGATCCAGTGCTGAGCGATCCGACCAAAGTACAGACGTTTGATTTGGCTTTTGTTGAGGTGCATGCACTGATGTTTACGAAGAGGCACCTCGAGAAGCTGCCCTACTCGATGACCAAGTATCACAAGGTGCTCGATGAGCAGATTGCCCGCAACCCCAGGGCCTACATTGAGATGGGATACTTGACAGCCATTGTGAACTGCTCTGCCGAGCTCGAGTATGGCTCGGAGAGCAACTGTCTCATCCAGACGATTTCTCAGGCCAAGAAGGAAGTCGACGCTGAAAATGCGATGGTGGGTATTGAATGCTTTGAGCCTGATGTCACACCCTCGGAGATATACATCAAGGCAAGAAGCTTTTCTGTGATCACCGATGAAATAATCCTTCGCCGCTTTGGAGACACAAGTTGTTTTGGATACATCCACGCCAGACTAGTCTGGCTACTTCACCTGGCTGAGACTCCCCAAGCCATGGCATATATGGAAGACTTCTTCCCTTGGAAACTATTGGTTTTATCCCTGAACTTTCTGCTCGCCGATCAGAAGGACCTGAGCAGCATTGAGGCCGAAGCATTTCCGCGGCCAGAGAAAGGAGAGCAGCGCCCCCTGCGAGAAGACTGGGCTCTCAGGGGCTACCCGGGCACCGACAACTATTTCCCATCCGACTGGTTCCGGCCCGATCTTGATGAAGAAGACAAGGCATTCGAGACTGCCAGCATGACCCAGGACCGGAAAGAGCGCATCCTGTGGCTGGCAGTCAGGCTAGCTAGATACCGGAAGTGGATTACATATGACGGTGACATTCAGCATAGATTCAACGCAGTGGCTAAGTACGACATGGACGTGTCACTGGTGCTCAAAAAAGAGCCGGGACTGGAAGACGGATCGGGTACGGAGGATAGCGTGACGGACAGAGACACCACGATGAGTTCACCCCCCACTATCATAGAATGAGATTGGTGTTTGTTGGAGACTTGCTTTGGAAACCCTCTCTGTGTGTGTTGTTCCCTTGCGTGACCCCTTCCTATGTGGTGTCTCTTGCTGATCATGAGATAGCCAGGCTACGGACGCACAACCTGTCAGCCCGAACCGGTGTGCAACCCACGATGGCAGCCTTGTTCCCGCAGCCTGATCGGCCCCCAAGCTGCCCGTCTGGTCAGCTCTGGTGCTGCTGCATAAGCCCTTGATCACTTGACGAAAGGGGTTTAAGCCCAGCCGGAGACTTGTCAGCAGGTACAACATGGGCGACTAACTGCATGTCGCCCTGCTGACCCCCGACAGATGCTTCGGTCTCTGAGCAACGGGAAGTCCCATTGCTCCAAGGACTTCGCTCATGGACCAATCTGTGAGGGCATTTTGTGCAGATATGCTGGCTGAGAAGAGTACCTGATTACTCTTCCACAAACCAAACACATATCTGTTGCCCCTAGCACAGGCACGGGCGTTCGGTAAAAGGCTTTCAGCAGCTGGGACAGGACAGGAGTGCGCGTCGCGGTGGCTTAGCGAGTCACGGGCTTGGCCAGAGAGCTTTGCTTTGCAATCCTGTGAGGCTGAAATAAGGCGTCAGAAGCTCCTCCGGAGTTTACAACTGGCTCGAAAGGGCGAATGGTGACGGAAGCTACTATGTCCGAACCACATTGGTCGTGGCGTAGCCGAGGGGTGTAATGATTTACTCCCTCTATTGGATGTGACACCTCGGGATTTGGGACAACAACTCTCGGATCCTACCGGATGGGGTTTGCACAAAAGGGGATTTATCTTGCGTCGAGGCATCATCGGTTCAGTAAGCACCATCTGCAGTTTCCCCCGATGGCCGATTCTTAATCGCCGTTGAATCGTTGCTGACGCATCGCAGATCCAGTAAGCCCCGGAACAAATGGTTTATTAGCACGGGTATCACAGCGATGCAGTCTAACGACGGGAAGGGAATATTCTGGAAGGGCATTCAGCGGCGTGGGCGGTTGCATCGCATTAAGGATATCTTTTACTCTTTACGCCCATTTAATCCCCATTGGCGACGTTGTCTGCTGTGCAGGTCAACTGTCTGCCTTTCCTTTCGATGAGTAGGATAAAAACAGGTATTAGTAATAGCATTGAATGACGACATGAATATGAATAAGAACCAACTCATTTGCCGCTTTATGCGAACGAAAGAAAGATGTAGGTGGCGTTGCCTTTGATAAATGCAAGAGGTTGTTCGTTCCCATGCAATACTACCAAATAAGTGCATGTGTGCTGTTAATGCATGGCAACCCTCATTGAGTCCTGTCAGTTTGCGGAGCAGCCTTTGGTCCATTCGCTCCCTGGTGCGACAACCACCAGCCACCAGCAGATAAAGCAGCTCATGGTTCTCCAGTTGAAATTGCAATGTGCTGCATTACGGAAAAGAGTTCCCGCACTTTTACACGTACCCAACTAAGTATGGGTGATGTCACATAACACACACAAACACACACACACCATGGAGCTCACTGAGCCACTTGACTCTTCGTCATGATAGCTGCATTATTATGCAGCCTTCGAGCCCAACGTGGAGGGTCGCAGGAACTCCGATGCCCCCGATTCGGTTTTAGTACGGTTGCCTGAAAGTCAAAGAGCTAGAGTTTCGTTTTGAGTGGTCCTCCATGCTGCCAGTGGCAGTTCGTCCGTAAATGCAATCGCCAGATGCCCTCTCCTGAGTGTATTCTCCTTCTGCAACGGAAACTGGCCGGTGTATCTGGAATAATATGACGATAGCTTAAAGACGGGAAGAATATTTGCCTCTGAGTCTTTCCACTGGGACAAAGTCATCAGTTCTTACCAGAGGCCTGGTGTAAATTGTTCGACATTCAGGGGGTAGTACTTTCAATCATGAGCATGAGCGCCCGAAGGCGGGGGCCTTCACTGTCGAGCAGTGCCCAAAGCTCTCCTCCCAAAGGGGCATTTCGATTGCGGACAGCCAAGAAAGCGAAGGCAACCTGGGTCCATTCAGACACCGAGACGGGATCGATGTGCGTCCTGCACCAGACACCGAGGTTGAACACTGTTTCCCAAGTTCAAACTGCCGTAGCCAGTCGCGAATATCTTGTACACTGGTAAATCTCAAGATCGGTTACGCAACCAACCCCTCCGCAAATGCCGTCGGACTCCCGTGTCTCAAAACACTGCTGCCGGATTGCAAGCCGCCGGTGGGCTGGTGTCGTCTGGCGCAGAAGAAAGAGAAGGGCCTGGTAAGCGAGATTGGTGTCGCCATTAGGCAACAAACGAACAAGCCGCCTTGGCCGGCAGGTAGTGTTGCTCAGCCATCCACGGATGCGCAAGGAAAGGGACGAAAAGAAGGCAACCAAATTGGTGGATATCCAGCTGCGGCTCAGGTGTATTGGGCGCTTGGAAAGGGCCTCATCGTCGCTAGTAGCTGCCAAACTTGGTCATGGTCCACTTGGGCGAGTGAAGGCGGATCCTCCCCGGCGGTGAGTGCTTCAGGCAAGCTGGAACTCTGGTCGATTCTGGAGGCGAAGGACCCCCTTTGGTGCCACCTGCGCAGTCATCGTAAACAACCCAGGCGACAGAAAGCCACAGTTGGAAGGGAAGACGTGATTGTTTGTATCCACTCATCGAGGCAGCAGAACCGCGATGACTGTGTCCCGGTGGACAACATCAAGCTCCGTCGATTGCCTTCGCACGCCTGATGGAGCGGGGGTCGGTGAGCTGCCCGACCAGGCAAAAGGCAAAAGGCAAAAGGGATCAAGGCCCCGGTGGTAAGGTCGTAGCAGCATGGGAGTTGCCGTAACCATTGCGCCCGAATGCACGTACGAGCACATTGCAACGTAGTCCAGTGCGTGCGTGCTAGCAGGGCGAGACCGACGAGAGGCTCTGTCTCTGCAGCACAAGACGTTACGCGGGGCGCCTCAGTGAAAAGAGTTCGGTGAAAGTTGTGCACTTCGCCATGGTGCACGGCACGCTCGGGTCCTGCAAAACGCGTCTCGTGATGGAACCTAGGACTATGCCTCGTTTTTTTTCGTTTTTTTTTTTTTTTTTGCCTGCTTGTGAAGCCAAAAAGTTTCTCGAGAAGTCGTCTGTCTTCCAAATGGGCTGCCGTTGGCCATTGACCGGTGAGGTGAGGAGCACGGCCGTCTCTTTCACCGCTCGTGTCTGTGCGAGCTAGGAGGCCGAGCATCGAATGGACAGTCCGTGACAACAGCAGGTAGGTCTGACCGCTGCCTGGTGTCCAAAGGCAGACAGCAAGAAGTATTAACCTTAAAGAAGAAATAAAAAAGAGAGGCAAGAAAAAAGAATAGAAAAACAGATACATGCAAGCGGCAGCAGCTGGAACAGAGAAGCTCAAGCCACTTGACTTGTGAGAGCAGTGGGAGACCTGGAGGTCGATATATCTCCCATACTCAATCTCCAGGATTATATAGTACTATAAAAAGCAACATTAGTCAGATACTATATAGTCCTAAGCGAATGATAAGAGGACATCTCTCACTATTGGGAATGCGGGTGCATGTCCCTTTTCTGTGGCCAAAGTTGCCCTCATCTGGGGTGTAAGTCGGGATGATGCTCGTGTAAGTCAGGAACAATATGTGTAGCCGGCGGCAGACAGCGCGACATATACAAGAAGTCTTCCAAATATGTTACACAGGGCTATAAAAGACATCCCAGATCACAAGTGTGATAATCATGTCTATAGTCGTGTCAGCTGCTCGACGGGCATCAGGCTTTGCCATGCTCGTTCTTTTGAGCATTTGGAGGGGGGACCGCCAGGTCGCCGATGGCTGCTGTGCTACAGCGAGGCTTCCCCACTGGAATGAGGCTCTAAGCGCTGGGACCTCAGTAATCGAGCCCCTAGCGATTGGACGACAGTGGGCCCGACTGAGAGGTATGGAAGATGGCCCTTCCCCGCCATGCAGCGCCATGCAGGGATTCCGTGCCGCTACTGCACAACACACAGCATGTCAAGCCGCTTTCGGCACACTCCCCGCACCAAAGTGCACTTTTCATGACGCAACACGAGCTGCACAACCAACCAGAACCCTCGATCTGTGCTGTTGGTGATGAGAATTGCAGCCGTGCAGCTACGCAACCCACCCTCCTGCTTGAGTGAACGAACTGCTCGTTTACCCGAACCGCTTTGACAGGTCTGGTCTTTCTCCAAGGTTCAGCCGACCATTGGTCAATCCCGGCCATCAACAACAGCGAACTTCAGGATCGCAACGGCTGATCAGCTGCGGCTGGCACTCGTTTTGGTTCTTGCTGGATCAAGTCGGCGACTGTCGAGATTCGCCATTGACGATAGAAGGTCGGAAATCACTTGCGCGACCACGGCCGGTGTCAATGGAAGGTGCCTCTTGCTGACGAGGAGCGAGTCCACATGTGCAAGTGCGCGCGCGCACACAGGAGAATTACAGCATCGAGACAAATCCCCACTGCTGTCCGCAGTTCCGCTGGTGCATTCCGCTCTCATGCGTCCATCCCATTCTGTCTCGTTTTGCGAGCTGCAAGAGACAAGCATTGCAGGTAAATGCCACGGCATGTCCTCCCCGACTTCGCTGTCCGTGCAGATGGCGCCATGTATCATGCATCTCATGGCACATGAGGAGCAATGGCATATCACCTGCCTCTTTCAAAGATAGAGGGGAGCATTGGACTTACAAACGAGGATTGACTTTTGTAGATCCCAATGGAGGAGACGCTGCTTCCGACGTCGAGCGACGCCACACAGCTCAGTCGCCTATGCGGACCTTATCTCGGCCTCCAAGATCAGATGCATCGCTCTCCCTTGTAGACCGCAACAAAAGATATAGCATGGCAAGTCAACCTGCAAAATCTTGAATGGAAGGTCCTGATCTTGGCGTTGGAAGTGCGCTTCTTAGTGGCGGCGTGCCGTCAAACAAGAGCCAGCAAGAGTCTTCATCGCTCCTCCGGCCGTGCTCAACACTACGAAATAGTAAGGCAAAACGAAGAGGAGACTTTGGACGAACAGTACCAAGGTGTATTGAACTTCATCTGTGCTTTGTTTGGACTGGATGAAATGGGCTGATATCAATTTGCTCGGCGAGATCCCATGGCCCAGCTTGCGAGTGACAGTAAGATCTTCCAAATCTCCAGACATACTTTATATTTCTCTTTAGTATGTTATACATTACGCTTCACTCGATATCGCAATCCTATGGGGTGAGGTCAGCAAGGCTGGAGGAAGCACGAGGCTATGACTGTCTCAGCTCCTTGCCATGCTTTCACATGTTATCTTCTTGCGAGGTGTTTCTCCCAGAGCGGGTGTTTTCTCTTTCAAATTATGTTTTTTCTTTCTCACCATTTATCTCTTGAAATGTTTTCTTTGTATTTAATCACAAGGAAGCATAATATGGTCATGTTCGTCCCTGGTCGAGCTGGATGCCAGGGCCCGCCAGACATGAGCCAACAAGTCAAGGTTACCCGAAGCCTTCGTCACCCAACAAGCTTACAGAACAAATGGTCCCAATACTATTTTGCGTTTTATATGAATTTACAAATTATATCAACTCCTCAAGTCATACTACCTAGTGGAGGTACGATCTTAGTGTCGAAATGCAAGCTCGGGAGTCGAGGCCGTTCAAGCTGACGTGCTTTGCAAGTCACCTGTCACCGCAAGAAAGGAATTTATCCTCATGAATTGCAGGATTATATGGCCCTAGTATGCTTCAATCTAGACCGTCCTTGAAATTCAGATGTTCAAGTCAAGAGCCTGCTCATCATAGTTCGGAGTTTCGTACGCCTACATGCCGTGAAAGAAAGGGATGGAGTGCCCCCATCAACGAACTCGGACGATGTAGAATTCTAACCAATCATTCAGTTGCATTGGATAGAACTGCTACGCTTGTTAGATCGCACGCAGATCTTGTTAGTACCTCAGTGCTCATTCCGTCCGCTCTGAGACTTCCACACTGCCACATCTGCGCCCGTTCACTGATCACATTTCCTGAATCACTAGAGCTAACAATTTTACAAACCTAATAAACGAGGTTCCAGACCTTCTCTCATAATTACCTGCCCGATCTTACACTTCTCATAAGCTTGACACCCAACTTGACGAAATCCGCCGAATGCCTCTCCTCACCGCCATCTGTCTCACGTCACCCACACAAGACTCGGAGTCAACACTGAATTGGTGTCATAATCAACCCATCAGTCTTCGTTTGTGATCTTTTGGGTATGTGCCAGCTACAACGTCGCATTTTCTGTGTTTTGTTTTTGCTACCTGATCGATCTGCACTTTCGACCCAAGCGCACAACGCCATCAAAAGTGCATCATCGAAGTGCGAATGGATGATGCGCTGTTTATGCGGTTTGCCTTCTGTGATAATTCATAAAACTCACAGACAGGCAACAGAGATCGAGATTACCCAAAGAGCGGTGGGATAAAGCGAAGCCGGCTGGAAGGACCTGTCCTGCCATTTTCCCGGCTTATGGGCAACCACCATTGGGCAATGTCGGCCCGGAAAGCCTCATCATCTTCGATGTTGCTCATCGAACTGATCACTGAGAATGGAGGCCTGTTGTCTGGGAGAACAAGACACAGCAGTTAGAATTTTAGTTCCTCTCCCAAGATCCCTATTACTGCCGACTACAACATTCGAGTCAGAGCAGGAAAGCATCCCATGTGGTGTGGTTCCGAACCTGGAACTCGCCCAATGGCAACAGAAGGCTTACACCTCGCCCGGTTACCCGAAGACTTCACGTTTGTCTACTGTGATCCTTGTTCCGGTCTCACGCAAGGCAAGAGCTCGGGCACTCGGGACCATCCTCTCCATCAAGGGACTCGTCTAAGTTATCCCGATTGAGACCGTCGTGGCGCTCTTGTTGCCATGCTGGTCTTGGTCGCCTTGATCCACCGCCAAGAAGGAGAAGGGCTTGCTCCCGCATGGGTTCACGTCTACTCGCATGGGCAAAGCCAATTGAAGAGGTTGTGCATGGCCCTGCGGCAAGCTCGCACTTGCGTCAATTTTCGACGAGGCAGGCAGCTTCATGCATGTACGAATCCCCCCCAACATCCTAACCCCTCCTCAGGCTATTACTGCATCCTACTAGGTGCAGTCATATCATACCCGCAAGGCTGGCTTCACCGAAAAAGCAAGACCCCTAAACTTGACAACGTCCTTTAGTCACGGAGATATCTACATGTCGATTATCTCTCGTTCAATTTGGGGGCCAGGGGGAGTGGAGAAGATAAGCCCTTTTTGCAGCCGAAAGAGGGAAGAACGAAAGAACGAACTCGCAGCCATCCAGAGTCAGCTGAGGATCCTTTCATCCTCTTCAGTCGCGCTGCAGCCGACGCACCGGGCTGGGCTACTTCAGCTCCTCCAATCGGGGACCTCCGGAGTCGATATCGCCGACCGGGAAGCCCAGGGACATTCACGAGATGAATGCCTCAATTTGGGGATTCCCCTCCCCTTCGGTCACCGTTCTGGCATCGTGGGGGTTGCCTTTGGTTGCCTTAATTTCTAGAATTTTCGAGGTCGGACCGGGATCCCGACCTTTTCTCGTTGCCAGATCGACGGGCTTGCATCACTTGTTCCGTCATTCCGATTTCTTCGGAGTTTCTCTCGCTCTTCCTTTCCTCCGTATATCGTCGGGAAGAAGGAAAAGGCAGGGCGAGCGACAGCCAGCCACATCGGACGGCTGCAGCAGCCCCGGGTGGCGAGGGTGGGGAAAAAAAAACCCCTGGTGTACGGCTCGTAGCTGAAAACCGGCAAGGCTGAAGAAATACGAGTTCCTCCGGGCTTCAAGTTGCACACCCCCCATCGGGACACAACAAAGGGACGAAAAGGGAAAGCGACGGACAAATATTTCGAGATACAGATCAAGGAAGAGGCAAAAATGCAAATAAGGGTGGCTACCCGACCTGGTTTTATACGAAGACGTGGGCTCCAACGACTGGACGCCCCAGACATTCATCGCTTCGAAAGGGCCCCGGACACGGGCCGGCCCGTGGGCCGCTGCTGCCCCCCTGAGAATGCACATTGAGCTCTGCTCCCGGTTCGTTCTTGGCAGGCGAGGGCGGCAATGCAGGCTTGACAGGACGGAGAAAATGCATGGCTTCGCCAATGATCGTCCCGACCCCTGGAAGAGGCGGTCCATTCACGACGAAAGGCATCCAAGAGGCCGGGGTCATTATTCGTTCGATGCGGAGTTGCCCTCGCAGCAGGCGTTGTGATCGAGAGGTGCCGCGCATATATTGGCAGAAGAGGCGGTCGATGATGCCCAACGACAATTATGCGCCAGCCGATTCATGCCCGAGGGCGAAGACTGTCCTTGTTACACTACATGCCAAGCTCCGGACGTGTAATGACGTCAAATTGAATGGTATCTTGCAAGGTCCAGGAGCCAGGCATGTTAGTTGTTACGACAAGAAACTTGGCCCGGTCTGGTGTTTCGAAATGAAGACAGGGGTTATCGCAAGGGAAAGCTTAATCCAACCAAGTATCCAGGATCATGAAACGGATCCCAATCAGGAAATGTCAGTGTTAGACGCCAGGTGATGGTTTCCAAGTGGACACCTCGGAAGACCTTCAGCATAATAATTGCAAATGTATTACAATGTTCAACCATGTTGATATTGAGGCGGTGATGAATGGTCGGGCGACCTACTGGCCATTACGACCTGGTATCACAATATGTACACTCCCCAAGCCCGACCAATTCCTCTTCCTTCCCATGTTAGATAAAAAGCTTCGTAAATGACTCAAAAATTCCCAGGTCCCCGACTATCCAGTCCCAAACGCCACTGATCCCCTGAAGAGCCTTGGTACAAAAAGCGTTATGCAGACTACCGCGTGTCGTCCATCCCTCCATCCGATAAAAATCCTACAAAATGGTAGGGCAATGATAAAATAACGATCATTGCCGCAAGAGTGAAAGATCGCAGCAAACCCCCAAAAACGGGTACGACACGTTACATCCCCTTTTCTGACAAGCCGGTGCTCATCCACACAAAGGAGGACATGATGCCGCCCAGGATGAGAATGGTGAGAATGCTGGCTCCAGCCTTGTCGCCCGTCGTGGGAGGCGGATGATGAAACACGTCGGTAGCGGTCTGTCCAGCGTTGGGGTTTCCTTGACTCGTACCGCCCGTGCTGTTGGTCAGCGGCGGCTTGATACCAGCTTGATCGACAAGGAGTGATGACAGTGCAGCCAGCGCGTTCATCTGCTGGCCGGCGCCCAAGAGTCCATCAAACTGCCCCGTCGTCCAACGGAAACCACACTGGCGCCCGTTAGGGCCACCTTGGCAAGACTTGACGGCAGCAGCGGTCGACTTCTGAAGAGTGGCCATGATCTTCTCGTGAGTGAAAGGCGCGACCTGTGTCGTCTGGGCCATCCAGCGGTGAAGATAACCCTTGAAGGACAGCATATCAGTCTTGCACTGAATGCTGTTTTGGAGCTCGCACGAGACCTCGACAGCGGGGCCGTTGTGGAAGAAAACTTCGACCGTGCGATCGACCAGTCCCTGCGTCCGCTCTTTCCAGACATCGGAGCCATTCGTCTGGGGAGACTCATTAGTCCTTGAAAAATAGTCGGCCAACTTGGGTGCAGTTTCACTTACAAAATTGTACATAAAAGCAGCGCCTTGGAGGAAGATGGCGGCGTTGTATGAGAATTGCGCCTTGAAGATGTCGGTGCAATTGACCTGCACGTGGCCACCGTCATAGACATTCCAAGCAGAGTCCATCAGTCCCACGCCCGTTACCCAATTCCAGGTCTTGGTGGCGATATCCGCATAAGTCTGGTTGCCGGTATAGCGAGCAAGACGGGCGCCCAAGTTAAAGAAGATGCCGTTGGAGATGGCGTTCTTGTAATCGTAGCCGACATTGTAGTTTGGAATCTGCCACCGCAGACCTCCATTGCAGGTGTCGTCGTGACGATCAGGGGCCGCCTGAGTGTTGAAGACAGCCTGGGCGAGCGCGAGCCATTGCGGCTGGTCGGGTGGAGGATTAGGGAAGCCGACCTCGGCCGCCAACATGGCCGAGAGACCCCAGAACCCTTGGTCATCGTTTCCTAGCGAGGCGGTCCAATTCGGGGGCATGTAGCTGTTCTGAGGAGCGCCGGCCTGGAAAATCATCGAGTCGCTCGACAGTTTGTTGTACGCGGTGTCGCCGGTGTAATGCCAGTAGTCAACCAGCGTCCCCCACATTGCGCCGGCCTGCCACCAGTAGTAGTCTCCCGCCGGAGGTGGCCCCGGGAGAATGCCAGGAGTCGCGCCAGACTGGTTGCCCTTGTAATATTGTAGCAAGTCCCATGCTACCTGTGACGCAGCTTGCTTGATGGAATCTGTGCATTGGCAATGGTGTCAGCGCGGTTCTTGTGGGGTTTTGCGAGGGAGGGTGCACCCGTGCGACCGGCCTTGGCGGCGGAGAGGTCCAGGGGTCCAGGATTCGCGACCCGAGAAAATCGACCTACCTGCCGAGCTCAAATCAACCTGGAGGGCCGCCGAGGCGATTCCGGCCGAGGAAAGCAAAGCGAGTGTCGAGGACTTCATCGTGGCGATAGTAAATGGACGAAAAAAGGGACCGCGGAATTCGGGAGGTCGCTGCGACAGTGAAAAACGGGCACTGTCGAATCGGTTGCAAAGTCGTGCGGGTAAAAATACGACGTCTAGTACAATGTCGTCATGTCGATGCCGCAGGGTCCCTTGCGATTGAGCGTCAGAGATGACAGACGACGCGCTCGAGAGAAAAGGGCGAATTGATCAAAAACGAAGGTCGACGGCGGTGAAGTTGAGGAAGGGAAGAGGAAGAATGACGGAAGGGAGGGACAAAACTGGATTTGGGACGAGACTGCAGGCCGTTGTGGTGGTGGTGGTGGTGTGGTCACAGGTGTCAGCCCGTTTGGGGCCAGCACTAGATGGCAGGATGGGTGTATGGAGCGTGGGCATACGAGCCAGAAGATACAAGACTTTCCGATGTGTGCACTAAAGACGATCTAGTAACTCTCGGCGAAGGTCTAATCATGTGTAATGGGCGTCGGACTCATCCTCGGACGAACTGTACCTGCTCTAGCCCGCCACGCCAGACCCCATTACGAGGTACCTGAATGCACACAGTAAGCCCAAAGCAGCTCCCAATTTCCAGGACGTAGAGGCCAGCCCCTGCAGATTCCCCTTGGCGGGATGCTGGCGGGCTGCTAGTGCACGATCCCCGCATTGCTTAGCCATCGCGTCCGCCCTTCTCACTGGTTCCAGCGGCCTTCTCCCCCACTAAATTCCTTTCAATGGTACGTTCGTGGCAGATTGGAAAATGCAAACCGGGGTTGAGGTTTTTTCTTCAGGCTTGTCAGTGCACGCTCCTCTCGCTTGATTGCCTTTTCGCGTTCTCTGCTAGATCTCTCGGCATGGTTATCTATCACGCTATTGCTTTTTGCCATGGCAGAGAGACCCAGTCGTCCAGATACCCCCTAGGCAACTTGCTGGTCGGCCGCTCCCTGGACCATGTCACGTTCAATTGATACATGGTGGATAACAATTATGGATGCCAGGTCTGGCAAAAGTGGGCACCTGTTGTCATCATGCAGGTCAAGATGCGGGATCTGCGAAAAGCCTTTCCCAGCCAGTGCCAGCCCATACGAGGTTGAGAATACGGATAATATCACCCTGTCAATCTTCATCTACAGGATGGACTACCCGTCTCCAGCACAGCCTTAAACCTCTACCTCTTCGAGGAATGGTGTGTGCTCCCGAGGCCCCGTCTATGGAGATCCAGGCGTGCCAGGCGTGCTGTCGACAGCAGGAACAGAAACGGTTGCCTGGGCTGGGGAGCGGAGATCGCGGCTCCAGAGACCTTGACGATCAGCCTTTTATGTGGAACGACTCAAGGAGGCACCAAAAACGCGCGTCGTCGACCATAGCAGCGCGAAAATCCGAGTCTCACTGTGCGGGCCATGCATTCCAGTCTTCAAAACTTATTGCATCACGCTCGTTTCAAGACGAGCTTTGTGAGCTTCTTTCGACCTCACGCGTCCCACCTTTCGAACCCACATTCCAGTTTCTGTTGCCTTTCCTGCACGCGCCAGGGACCCGACAGTGGCCCCTACCACCGGGAGTTAGGTACACACACTTCATCACCTTCTTTCTGCGATCTTCTTTGCACGCTGCTTGACTTGGGACTGTCTCGTGATCCAAGTTGCTTACAGCGGCCACCTGCCAAAGAGCTGGCACGGTCCCTGGACAGAAAGTATTCAGTGTCTCCGCTCTGAGAAGTCGGAACTAAGACCTAGCGCCGAGCTTCTAGATCATGTCGCCACGGACGCCGTCAATCACCAGTCTTGAGACATTGTCAAGATGGGCAAAGTTTATTTGAATCGAAATCCGGGTCTTGAAGCGAACCTGACCTGCCTCGTTGAGGCCAATCAACCACCCATGAGCGCGAAGCCACTGTCTTGCCCTCTTCGGGCTTGCTTCAGCCTGTCCGCTGTGTTCTCAGCTTGCAACTGAGTTCCTGAGGATGCAGGCTCACAACTCTCGCCCGAATGCCATCATCGCATCATGGGAGTTCTGCCTAATTTGGCCTGGCTCATGACATTCTCCCTACTGTGAACACCCATGACCAGGCAACAATCATGCACCGCGGCAGCGATACCAGAACTGGAGAAGCATGCCCAATGGGTCTTTGACTTCAGTCGCCGCCTTGAAAGGCATCCGAAACTGTGAGTCACTGTGTTGTTGGAGCTGACATGGTCCTGGAGGCTCTGATATACGCCCCAAATGAGAGACATCGCAGGCTTCTCATGGCTTATTTTCGGCATTTTGTGTCGTGGCTGGAGCCAACACCTCAGTCCTACTGTGCCCGATGAGCTTAACATTGGTGGCAGTAAGCCTTTATCCGGGCGAATACCGAACTCGTCCTGCTTCGTATTGGCAGTGAGTCGACTGAGGACTGCCTATCGCCGCCGGACTCGATGCTGCTCTCTTCCGTGCCTCTCAGGACCCCAGTCTGAATTGGACCACACAGACCATTTTCGAACTTCTGGGGATCGAGAGGACGGTCTAGGAGGATCTGTTCTGCGTATTTCCAGCCTCACTAGCTATGCCTCGTAGCAAGCTCGGTGAACCGCCGGGAAAGCAATGTGGTGAGGTCAGATCTTATCTTATACCGAACACCCCGATGTCTGAAATTGCCAAATGAACGTCGGAAACAAAGGTTTTTTGATTGTAGGCAACTTTGCTTATTCCCTCCCTGTCAGCAACCCCGACCAATGGCATAGATATTCTCAGACGTGTAAGACGGCGCAGGATCAATAGATCCCATCGTTCAGCCCTAATACCATGGCTTTTCGGTTAAACCTATTTCGGTTCCTCATCTCAGACTCGGTTGCCTTTCTAACCCCGTCTCATCGAGGGAAATCCGCATGCGAAATTGGGCACACTGACGCCTGGTTGCCTTTCCGTTGTTTATTTAGATCAGCACGACGGCGCGTATTGCTGTTGGCAGTTGGCCCCCGAACCCGACCAACAACACCAAGGCTTGCTCCTTACATTGGGTGTCCAACAATTGAGCAACGCAATTGAGCCTCCAGCCATTCAGCCAACAAAAGCGTTCCCCTAACTGCCCAATGGTCAAGGCGCTAATGCGAGCTTGTTCAGTGGTTCCGCTGCGGGGGATATCGTCCGGTCAGTGGCGCCTCAGCGAATGGCCAATGCTCAGCTCAGGCTCTTTCGGAGACCCAAATGCGAGTTGCATTGGGGACGGGTCGATTCATTCCGCGCTTGGAACGTTCTATTGCTGCAAATTGCTCTGTTACTTGCAGCAATTGATGGAGGCAGGCAGCAAGGCAACCTGTGATTATGCTAGTCGAGCGCATGTGAGCCGTGTGATGGGCGTAGTCACACCAACGACAATCCTGTCAGGATCAATATCACAGCCTCTCCGCACGCGTGCGTCCATCCCCCTCCCCTCTACGTGGGAGTTACCAGGCCCGTTCACACCCTCCATCACCATCACGACCAGCGTAGATCAAACGCAATTTGTTCCGGGCATACTGTTGTTGGCGGAAAGCCTCAAACACCACACATAAAGCAGCAACGTCAAATTCGGCTGAGCTTGGTTGCCTTTGTCTGTGTACATGTTTCAGCCAAAAGGCAGTCATCTCCCGTATCCATCAGCCTTGCAGTCAAGCGAAACACGGGAATATACCGAAGCCACGGAAAGGTCTTGTTAGACACGAGGCTTCGGTGAGATGTTCCGCTCACGAGCACAAGGGCCGGATAAAAAAAAAAAAAAAGAGCTGCAGCTGATCACCCTCTGTGCCGTTGGCTTGTGTCTCCTGCATGGCACATGCACGCCCTGCACGGGCTCGACAACCCCGAGTCCTTTTCCGACACATCTATACGCTCTCCCGCTGCAAGTTGACAGTCCAAGGCCACCAATTGACGACGAGAGGCAACCATATGGCGTTGAACGTGTCTTCTCGCGAGCCGTCATGGCGTTACAAAGTGCACTTAAAAAGCAACAATAGGACGGGAACATTGCAGTCTGTCATGCCCCGGGTTGGGGGCCAACTTGTGTATCGGAAGGCGGAAGAGTGTTGGTCAGGTGTTGGTTCCGATGACGCAGCTCAACGCCAGCCGCATGACGAAGGGACGGCAGTCTAGTGTCTACTAGGTGCCTGTGTCGTCAACATCCAGAGAAACCCCCAGGGCAGTTGTACTCGAGGCCACTCAATGAACGGCGAGCCATGTTAGAAGTCATGAACATTGCTCAATAACAGATTCCGAAGGAACCAGGAGTTGCATATTTGACTTCACAAAGTGTAGAGGACATGTTTACCCGCAAACATTCACGACAAGAAGAAGACTGAGCTTGATTTTGCAGTTGTCAACAATCCATGAGCACAATCCAAGTATTGGCTGCTAATCTGAGTTCAAATCCATTGCAAACTGCCAAATCCGCAAAATTGACTGTAATGAACCACTTGACAAGTGTCTTGAATCAAAAAGCTGTGGGCTTGAAGAGCCAGATCGGTTCCATGTAAACGCCGTGGGTGTGGTTAGTGGTACCAACTTCGCGGACAGTGCCACCACAAACTCCCAAATTAGCATTGATGATCTTCTGGAGCTGTTTGAGATATTCCACAGATCGCCTTCTGTGTACATCTGATGTCTCTGGCTTCTTGGCCTGGCAAAGCTTCGATGGTGATTGAGTCACGCTTGCCAGCGCCGGATCCCGAAAAGGTTGAGCGTTGCTCGAAGGTGAGAGCTGCAGATTCTCTTGCTTACGATGCAGCTTTATGAAATCACAATGTTTCTACGGTCCATTCATTTGGCTTATCGATGGCATAAATCCTGACTTCTTCATACGTGCATGCCACGGAACCATCCCTCAAAATCAAGACGCACAATGCAGTCTTTTGGTTTTCTAGGTATTATTATCAGCAGAGTAGGAAGTGTCGGTTTCTTTGTGTATAAGTTCCTATGCTTCCCTTTGGTCATGGAGTGTTTGAATCAGCGGAATTTAATGAAGAGTAATCGAAGCGGTAACATCGTCA